TATTCCTTCACTCCCGATCAGTTTAAGGCAGGCACAAGGCAACAGAGAAAAAAGGCCTGCAGTGTATCTTCTATTACCCATCTGAAACCAGCTGATGATGCCATTACACAGCAGCGATTTCAACGAGATGTCATAACTGGAACAACATTTGGGAAATCTCTCATTAGCAAGTATGTTGCAGCTAACGCTAAAGACCTGCTATTGCCACCAGGCATTACACTTGACATAGACAGTGAACTTGAAATGCACACCTGTACGTGTGATGGAGCTTGCACATGCAAACATTATGCAACGCCAATCCGTTGTACATTTGACAAAGAAAGTCAAAAACCAACCATTACAGCTCTGGTGGATGTTCAACAACGTAAAGGTGAAGCAGAAATGTCACAGGTAGACTGGCTAATAGCCAGCAGATCTGATCTCAAAGCAGGCGGAAGAGTTGTCAGTTTGATTACATCAGGTGACATTGATGCTGTCTGCATTCATCTCTATGCCATATCCAAGCACTGGCCTCGTCATGACAATGGCTCTTTTATAAATGAAGTTTTTGTGGTTCTGCAGAAGCCACATATGCTTCATGATATCTACAACATCACAGCCATCATTCAACTTTTTGAGGATAAATACCAAGATCCAGACATAGGAGTGAAGCTGGCATTGGGTCTCTGCATTGGAGGGAATGACTTCATCCCCAAATTCAAAGGTATCTCACATACCCAAATTTTGAAGACATACCTCTCCAGCAGTCACTTTAGGCAAAATCTTTTCCAGATTTTGAAAGGAACACAACCCTCAATTGACAAAGATATTTATGAAGATTTCGTAAAACATCTCTACTGTCCAAAAAATGTATCTCCAAATTCTGTTACCGTAGAAGAAGTAAGAACGGTGAGCATGAAACTGAAAAAGAAATCCGATGACAGCTTTATCTCCCAGCTTGAGCTCAGAAATGCCGAAACATGGATGCCACCAACCAGTGCACTCCATCGCCTAGCTGACCTGATCCAACTCCAGGTAGAGTACCTGGAGACAGCAGGATACCACGATGCTGATCTGCCGGATTTCATGGCTTCCTCATGCCTCAAAATAACAAAAACAGGAGAGGTCGAATATGACTTTGGACCGGAGGTCCATTTGAATGTACAAGACATCCAAACTAAAATTAAAGATGGCAAGAGAAAACAAGAAGATACACCACAGAAAGGACAAAGGAGGAAGAGACAACTTACATCCACACCCAGAAAGAAACCTTGAAAATATAGTCAGTACCTTAATTGACATCATCAGACTTCAGACAATGTTGATAAATATTTTGAGGAAGATGTTATACATACCAAAGTTGACAATGTGAACAACATAATTCAGCATTTTGTTAGTACTGCTTCCTTCAAAGAAGAAGAATTCAACACATTTCACAAACAGTTTCTATCACACAATCAGGACATGACAGTTAATTTCTTGTGGATAGTGAAAATGAAAAGTCATTTTATGCTCATATTCTCACAGTGTATTTCAATAGTCAGTATTTTGTAGATATTTGTGCCTTGTATTTGTAACATCTACAATATGGATAGATATGTATCTTCTCATGACCAATTTGTATAAAGTAGAACATGTTCATCAAAATCATACTGTCAGTTTGTGTTTGTACACAGCAATGTACAGACATTTAAATCAGCATATGTTATGGCCAGACAACAGGCAGTACATGGACATGTTTTCACTATGTTGTGGAAAGTGATACAGATGATACTGTCATGAACACTTTGTACCACCACACAGTCGTGTGAATTACCATTATTTTATGTACTTATTTTATGAACACTTAACGCTGTAACAGTACATGAACATGCCATTTTTGTCGATGATTGAAAACGGCAGACACATGTATGTCATAGTGCATCAATGTGCACTACATTATTCACGGCTCGGGAAGATCCGGTGTACAGCAACCCATGCTTGCCGTAAAAGGCGACTAACGGGGTCGGGTGGTCAGGCTCGCTGACTTGGTTGATGCATGTCATCCCAATTGCGTGGATCGATGCTCATGATGTCAATCACTGGATTGTCTGATCCGGACTTGATTATTCACAGACCACCGTCATATAGCTGGAATATTGCTGAGTGCGGCGTTAAACAACAAACAAACAAAACATAATTGACACATCATATCAATCCATGATCCAAATGGATTCTTTCATTGACTGTATGAAGTGCCTTATAATTTTTTTCTTTTCCAAAATCATAATTCACAACGATGTGTATATAAGTAAGTATATGTAAATAGTTAACCGAATCTGTTTACAATTAGTTTAGCATAGTTTTCATACAATACTATTTGATGCTGAATAACTTTCAGAAAATACATGCCAGAGCAAAGTCACTGATTCCCCGCATGCAAATCGTAAATTTGCTAAGTATATTTACATGTATTTGATAACAATGTTCTGAAAATGTTATGAATTTGATGTTATTAAATGAATCTTATGAAATGTTATCAGTTGAATGCTATGAAGTGATCACTGCTAATACAAATCAATGCTGTAAATACGTGTATTGTCATTTGTTTTATCCAAGATAGCGGATATAAACACAAACATATACAACGAACAACGGATATAATGAACTGATTTCTCTGGTCCCTTGTAGTTCGTTTTATCCATGTTCTACTGTACTCGGAAGTTCATGCTCAGCTGTGTGCGTTCTGTTTTAAATTCATTTGATGTTTGCTATTCAATACATATTTATTGAAAGAACAAACCCTACTCTTTGCCTGGAGGACGCACTTTAGGTTCTCCCCTATTTCATTTACATTACAAAATGTTCATGCAAAGAAAATTTGCATCTCCTCTCTAGGCCTTTTTAATATTTGTATTCAATGGTGTATGTCAACTTTCCGTTATAAGTAGAAGTATACACCCTGCTCCCTGTGGGTATTTTTGTACAATAAATCTTCTTCTAATGTATAAAATATTATTGAATAGTTGCAAATTTTAGTGTAACTGTAAATCACTCCAATTCAACATAAACCATCAGTTCAACATTATACTCATTAATTAATCAACCATGTAATAATAAATACATTCAACTTTTCATTCAACTTGCTGAAAACACAGGCTACACAGAATAGTAAAGAATTCTTCAAATGACACATCTGGAAGCAAGGTCGTAGCGCTAATGAGAAAAGTCAAGGAATGGGGTCAAGAAAGGTCGTATGTTAAGGCCTGTTGGCTGAATTTATTTTGACACTTTACAACAAATACAAGTGATAGCTTATCGGGGCAAAATGCTGAGGAGACTGGGTTATACGTAGGACTGAGTATATAACTTCACGTCGACAAGAAGATCATATCTGTAAGGTAACCTGCAAAATCGGTTTCAGAATGCACCCTTGACAACACGCAGCATTCTTGGCCTACTTCCGATTAGTGCAAGGAGTGTGGAGAATAGATTACTGAAGCATAACATCCGACCACAATGTCTGTACTCCTTATTTCATGCTAAGTGGTCATACTGCACGTCTGGCCTTTCCATGTTATTTGACTTGTCCTATTCACGGATAAGTGGAGGTTTCTCCTTGACAGCAGTGATGGCAGTCGGTGTGTTGATCGACGATGGAGGGAACGTTACGCGACGCGTGTGTAGTTCAACGTTCTGCATTCAGTGGTTGGAGCGTTATGGCACAGGGATGCATAACTGCTCATCACAGGCCCCCTTGAGATGTCTTCTTTGGCAATTTTACTTGTGTACGGTACAGTGACGAAGTTATCTTCAAGTACCCCCGTTGCTTCAGACCCACAAATGACACATCACATGATATCATTGCAGCAGTACAATGGACACCCTCATGTTGCACGTGTGGTCATAGATTTGATGGGACAACACAACACGCCAACACTCATCAAACGTGTGGCATGAAATGAAACGTTCAACTCAACCAGGGACGTTCGTCCGACTGCAACTGGCCTTGGTTCAGATTTGGGATGGCATCTCACAAGACATCCTCAATTATCTGCGTCAATAAGGCGCCATTGTGAAGCTTGTGTCGCTGCTAATGGTACTCAAACCTGATTTTAACTTGAGAAATGACAATTGACGCCATGCCACTTTCAGCTTTATCTGATGTTTATAGAGGACACGTGTTGACACTATCATGAATTCTTGTTTCATGGGCAACACTATATTGTCCAAAATCCTTTATAATGCACCGGTTCTTATTTTCAGCAAATAAGAAGAAGAAGAAGATACTAGTAGTTACTGCATCGGAACAAATCCGTATTTCATCAGACATCATATTAGTGACTGATGCGCCAAATTCGGAAATGTCTTGCATGTGTCTTGCATGTGTCTGCCATAAACATTTTGAAAGGTGACGCAATGAGTATTTCAAAGGTGAAGTTATTCTTCTTGTCATACAATCCTGTCGATAACGGGTCTCTTTTATTTCAAGTTCATTTGGGTAAATGTGTGAATGGGAAATTATTTTATCTGACCATTATGGAATGATATCCGATTATCGAAGTTCAACTTATACTCCTTTTTCCAATTCTTGTGTTTGGTTTTCCCAATCTGCGAAGAAATCCTTTTCATGTGTATGAATGTTCCGAAGGAGAGGAGCTTAATGGGTGTCCAGGGGGATGCCTTAGTTTTGCCTAAATGTTGTTTTCCCAGAGTCCTCAAAGATATGCTGATGAAGCCCTGTCTTTCAAATATTGTTTTGTCAGTAAACTTGAGATGGCATTGCGTGAATAATATTCTATTCCCCACAAACTTGTACAATATAAAAACACATTGCAACAAACAAACAGCAAAACATATTTACCCGAATCAGGTTTTGTCAAGAAGAAATCACATTGATGATGACAATTATACAGATTATTACCTAAATAGAATAGAGATTGTTGGCAAATAACATTTTCAAAAAAAATATCTCAGCAATGCCATTAGCTGGATAACATATCATGTAACTTGAGTAAACTATGCATCCTAGGAGTACTTACCGACACAGCACATTTGACCAGTTGGACACTGGAGACCAGGTACTGGAATTGTACAGGTACCACTGGCAACACACCCGACGCCAGGAAGATTGCATTCTGAAAATGAGGAGTTGTCAAAACAGACCTAAGTTGAATTTGGTTTAATATGAACTATATGAATAGCATTCTCTCTCATTTGGTTAGCATCAAAACTCAGTTATTGGTAATCATTTTCCCTTCTTTCAAAATTAGAATGTGAATTACCTGTACTAATTTACATTCGAGCGATATGGAAAACGTAATATTGACATCCTTTCACTAAAATCTCATAGATTGTGTTGATTATTCAGTCCTGAAAGTTATTTTGCACTCCCTCCAAATTTACAATTTTCCACTACAAGACAGGATGTCGTTGTTATTATTATTATTATTATTATTATTATTATTATTATTATTATTATTGAATCAAAGAATGTTAACTCATACTATTTCATAGATGTCATTATTTGATCATCCCTGTATATAGACATTATAGAATTCATGACATCATGGCATAATGCTAGCAGATCGATTCGAGGCAATTATTGAATACTTCTGAGTGTTTTTGAACACTGAAATTTAAATGTACATATCCCATGTATTTCTGTAATTGCCTTTTATGTAAATAGACTTGTTACGTACGTGGCGAGGTCGTTGTTGTCGGTGGTGCTGAAATTGTAAACATTCCTTTCCATAATCATGAGAAATTTCGGATTCCTACTATATCATAATCATATGTCTTCGTATTATTCACTGTTTGCTAGGTGAACGGTTCAGAACACACCGGTGGTACACATCATACACTCAAGCAAAGACAAGTCAAGTGTTTACCTGAACAAATACAGAAAAATATGGTTTTGTCAAAATAGGAATATTTTTTTACATAAAGAAGCAATAATGATTATTGCAAAGTTATCAAAACTTGTCACATACTCTTGTGGAAACAAATAACGTGGTTTGGCAGGTCTCTTATATTTTCTAGTTTAGACGGGTACATAAGTAAAAGAAAATAAGTCTGATTGACCATTATTGAATTATATCAGATCATTGAAGCTTAAGTTATACACCTTTAGTTATACAATTGCCAGGGTTTGCGGAAAGTAATAAGTCTTATGCATATAGAAACAGATCATGTAGACGTGGAGCGCAAATTGTGTTTACTTCGTTTTTGACAAATTGTCCTGAACCTCTGAAGATAGATATGCATTTATGGTCACCAGGGTTTCAAACAAAAGCCCATTAGATCAAGGAGTGAAGTTTTTCCCTAAGTTTGACATATACAATAATGGTGTACAAAGTCGAAAAAACCGAATGTTTTGACAGGGTTGAAATTGGTTTTTTTTCATGAGATTGTATTATTATTATTATTATTATTATTATTATTCATTTCTATCAGAGCATTCAAGCTTAAAGTTATGCACCTTGTCCAAATTCCAGTGTTTGGATTTCGACAGTCTGTGCAGAAATTCCTATTCCTATGCGTAAGCAAGCAATCCGGAAGACAAGGGGCACAATCGGTGACCATTACCATGCCTACATTTGCCTGAACGTATTTCCAAATTTCACATAGATGGTGTCTATGAGGAAGGCCGTTATTTCACAAAAATGTTGTCTACGTCACTCTCAGGTAACATTTGCTTCAAATAATATTCTAATGCACACACTTGAGTACGTATGTGAACACTCAAAATCTATCCAGAGTATAACATAGTCACCCGTAATCGCATTGGTATTCCCCCTGTTGCCAAGCAACATTAAACTGATAATGAAGTATCAATACAGCTTATAACCCAGATGCAAGAGAGATGAGGGTGAATTATCTGTTCAATAATTGATTTATTTCGAAGAACACTTGAGAAATATGATACACTTAATCTTGTCATCCCTTCACTTAAACCTCATGGATTATGATGTATTATCGGGCTTGAAAGTTATTTTCAGTTTATAATATATACACAGTTTGTATCTCCACGGTACGTTATTAAAATTCAAACGCATGTTTGATGGTGGTTTTTTTAATCGGATATTTTTCGCAAACATGCTTTTATTTAATTCCTTATACTCCCCTCTATATAAACATTAGTGAATTGTGTAAAGCAGCCCTTGAGCAATAATGGCTGACTCGCTGAAGTACATATGTTGCCAATGGCATCATATGTTATGGTCTTACTGAGCAATGAGAAATGTATTTGTATGCAGTCCATGTATGTCTTTAATTGATTGACCTTAATGTAGATAGTCTTATTACTTACGTGCCGTGGTCGTTGGTGGTGCTGAAATGGTAAAGAAGGTGTTAGGATGGCGCTCATTTCTTCAGAAATAGTCTACATCAAAGCAACAAACCATTTCTATATTCAGCAAAGTCTCTGCAAGAGGACAGCCCAAATGTACGCTTCCAACTGTGTCAACAACATGTATTTTTAATCAATGAGGAATGTTGATCACTTCAGGTGTTCGTTGAAAGGTGAGAGGTGGGAATTAGTTTATTTCAGCATTATTGAATTCTATCAGATGACTGTAGCCTGAGATATACACCTGAAGTTATATAATTGCCGTGGTTTGATTGTGCCCGTCCGTACAGAAAGTAATGAGTCCAACGCAAAAGGAAACAGATCAGGGAGAAGTGGAGCGCAAGTTGAGTTCACGGGGATGCCTACTTTGTTTTTTACAAATTGTCCTGAACCTCTGAACACAGATATGTATCTATGGTCACCGGAGTTTTAAACAAAACACAATGTATCAAGGAATGAAGTTTTCCCTTAAGTTTGGCATGTGGGATAATGTGTACAAAGTTGAACAAAAATGCTTTGACAGCGCTTTGAAGCTTTAGTTATGAACTTTGTCCAATTTCGTGTGTTTTCGTTTCGTAAATATGTGTAGAAATTCTTATTCCTATGCGTAAACAAGCCATCGGGAAGAAGAGTGTCACAATCGGTGACCATAAGCATACCTATTTCTTGCCTGAATGTCGTATTTCCAAATTACACATAGTTGATGTCTATGAAGAAGCCCGTTATTACACAAAATTACCATCATCTTCAGATGACATTTACTTCAAACAATATTCTAATACACACACGTGAATGCATATGTTAATACTCTTAATCTACCCACAGTCCAACATATTCATCCGTAATCGCATTGGTATTCCCCTTTTTGCCAAGCAACATTAAACTGATAATGAAGTATTAATACAGCTTATAACCCAGATGCAAGAGAGATGAGGGTGAATTATCTGTTCAATAATTGATTTATTTCGAAGAACATTTGAGAAATATGGTACTCTTAATCTTGTCATCCCTTCACTCAAACCTCATGGATTATGATGTATTATCGGGCCTAAAAGTTATTTTCAGTTTATAATATATACACAGTTTGTATTTCCACGGTACGTTATTAGAATTCAAACGCATGTTGGATTGTTTTCTTTGAATCGGATATTATTAGCAAACATACTTTTATTTATTTCCTTATTCTCCCCTTTATATAAAACATCAGTGATTTGTGTCAAGCAGCCCTTGAGCCATAATGTCCGACACGCTGAGGTTAATATGTTGCCAATAGCATCATATATTATAGTGTTACAGAGGATTGAGAAACGTATTTGTACACAGTCCATGTATTTTTTTAATTCCACTTAATGTAGATAGTCTTGTTACTTACGTGGCGTGGTCGTTGGTGGTGCTGAAATGGTAAAGAAGTTGTTAAGATGGCGCTCATTTCTTCAGTAATGGTCTACATAAAAACAACAAACCATTTCTATATTCAGCATAGTCTCTGCTAAAAGGTGAGCCCAATGCACGCTTCCAACTGTGTCAACAACATGTATTTTTAATCAATGAGGAATGTTGATCACTTCAGGTGTTCGTTGAAAGGTGAGAGGTGGGAATTAGTTTATTTCACCATTATTGAATTCTAACAGATGACTGTAGCCTGAGATATACACCTGAAGTTATACAATTGCCGTGGTTTGATTGTGCCCGTCCGTGCAGAAAGTAATGAGTCCAACGCAAAAGGAAACAGATCAGGAAGAAGTGGAGCGCAAGTTGAGTTCACGGGGATGCCTACTTTGTTTTTTAATTGTCCTGAACCTCTGAACACAGATATGTATCTATGGTCACCGGAGTTTTAAACAAAACACAATGTATCAAGGAATGAAGTTTTCCCTTAAGTTTGGCATGTGGAATAATGTGAACAGAGTTGAACAAAAATGTTTTGACAGGGTTTTGAACTTGGTTCTCTTTCCGAGATTGCAAAAAACAAGCCAAATCCTTATTTCCTACAGTCTTGAGGATATGCTTTTGTCCGTCTCAGTTATTACTCATTAATTAATAATATGAAGCAGTTGAGGTGGTTTTATTTTTCGTTTCTTATATAAAAAAAAAGGCCTCTGGACCAGACAGGTAAATAAGTGTAAGGAAATTTGTCTTTTGACCTGAGGATTGAGAAAATATATTTATGTAGTTTTATATTTATGGAGAACGTCTTGTAACTCATGTGGCGCGGACGTTGTGGTCGGTGGCGTTCCTAAAAGGGTAAAAAGGGTGTTAAAATGTAGCTCACTTCTTCAGTAGTCTTTTGCAGTTAAAAGCGACAAAACCCTGTCAGTAAACATGAGAAAGCTCTGCTAATAGGAGAGTACATTGTACGATTCCTTTTACGGGTGTACATAATCAGCATGAGTGCTTATGCCAGGTGCTTATGCCAGGTGTTCGCTAAAAGGTGAGTGTGTTCTTCCCACCGATTGCACCCAACACAAACACACGCAAAGGTAAGGCAAGAGGTCACCGTAACAAACACGGAATATATGCCACAAGTCAAAATAAGAATTTCCATCTGTCATCATTTTGGTAAACGATGTATAAAAATAGAGTGTCCTCCAAGAAACTTTTTCAACGTCTTACTTAAACTTTGAATACTCCAACACTGATCACAAGTTTTGAGAATGAGTCATGTGACACTCTTTGAAAGAGAGCATGTTCGATTGTGCCTCCGAAGATGATCAATATAGACACCAAAGGGTAGAGTTGCTGCAATATAACTCGTCATGAAGGAAGATTACTGTTGAATCTTTATACACTGATCAAAATATGAAACAGATTAGGCATCTTCACTGGTCTCTTTTTTCTAGTGTCTTCAGGTAAATGAATGGTATTTCTCTATGTGACGCTTATTGAACAATATCAGATGATCGACATACCTGAAGTTTAAATTTAACTTAAGTCATGTGTTTTTACTTTCCCTCCCACGAAATTGATATGCATAATGAAGCAGATCAGAAAGGAGGGGATCACACTTTTAGCTTTTGCCTAAATGTCTCCATCATCAAATATGTTCAAACAATCACGTCTAAAAGTCCTCTGTACGAATCCTAATGCACCAATGGAAAAAATCCACTACACCATAAAACAACACACGAAAATCTGTATCCTGTCCTCGTGAAACTAAGTTCTCGTGTTTTAACTGTGAAAAACAACTTTTCTCGACGACCAAACCTTGTAAACGTAATGCGACGTCTATCTGAAAATGAGCGGTTGCATGCCACTGGAATGCTTGAAACCAAAATTGCACAAAACGTTGGAACTAGGCATATCGGTTGTCATTAGCAATAGACTCGAAACACTAGGGAGTAGACCTCCTCGAATAACTTCACGTCGACAAGAAGATCATATCTGTAAGGTAACCTGCAAAATCGGTTTCAGAATGGACCCTTGACAACACGCAGCATTCTTGGCCTACTTCCGATTAGTGCAAGGAGTGTGGAGAATAGATTACTGAAGCATAACATCCGACCACAATGTCTGTATTTCATGCTAAGTGGTCATACTGCACGTCTGGCCTTTCCATGTTATTTGACTTGTCCTATTCACGGATTAGTGGAGGTTTCTCCTTGACAGCAGTGATGGCAGTCGGTGTGTTGATCGACGATGGAGGGAACGTTACGCGACGCGTGTGTAGTTCAACGTTCTGCATTCAGTGGTTGGAGCGTTATGGCACAGGGATGCATCACTGCTCATCACAGGCCCCCTTGAGATGTCTTCTTTGGCAATTTTACTTGTGTACGGTACAGTGACGAAGTTATCTTCAAGTACCCCCGTTGCTTCAGACCCACAAATGACACATCACATGATGTCATTGCAGCAGTACAATGCACACCCTCATGTTGCACGTGTGGTCATAGATTTGATGGGACAACACAACACGCTAACACTCATCAAACGTGTGGCATGAAATGAAACGTTCAACCCAACCAGGGGCGTCCGACTGCAACTGGCCTTGGTTAAGATTTGGGATGGCATCAAACAAGACATCCTCAATTATCTGCGTCAATGAGGCGCCATTGTGAAGCTTATGTCACTGCCAATGGTACTCAAACCTGATTTTAACTTGTGAAATGACAATTGACGCCATGCCACTTTCAGCTTTATCTGATGTTTATAGAGGACACGTGTTGACACTATCATGAATTCTTGTTTCATGGGCAACACTATATTGTCCAAAATCCTTTATAATGCACCGGTACTTATTTTCAGCAAATAATAAGATACTAGTAGTTACTGCATCGGAACAAATCCGTATTTCATCAGACATCATATTAGTGACTGATGCGCCAAATTCGGAAATGTCTTGCATGTGTCTTGCATGTGTCTGCCATAAACATTTTGAAAGGTGACGCAATGAGTATTTCAAAGGTGAAGTTATTCTTCTTGTCATACAATCCTGTCGATAACGGGTCTCTTTTATTTCAAGTTCATTTGGGTAAATGTGTGAATGGGAAATTATTTTATCTGACCATTATGGAATGATATCCGATTATCGAAGTTTAACTTATACTCCTTATTCCAATTCCTGTGTTTGGTTTTCCCAATCTGCGAAGAAATCCTTTTCATGTGCATGCATGTTCCAAAGGAGAAAAGCTTAATGGGTGTCCAGGGGGATGCCTTAGTTTTGCCTACATGTTGTTTTCCAAGAGTCCATAAAGATATGCTGATGAAGCCCTGTCCTTCAAATATTGTTTTGTCAGTAAACTTGAGATGGAATTGCGTGAATAATATTCTATTCCCCACAAACTTGTACAATATAAAAACACATTGCAACAAACAAACAGCAAAACATATTTACCCGAATCAGGTTTTGTCAAGACGAAATCACATTGATGATGACAATTATACAGATTATTACCTAAAAAGAATAGAGATTGTTGGCAAATAACGTTTTCAAAAAAATATCTCAGCAATGCCATTAGCTGGATAACATATCATGTAACTTGAGTAAACTACGCATCCTAGGAGTACTTACCGACACAGCACATTTGACCAGTTGGACACTGGAGACCAGGTACTGGAATAGTACAGGTACCACTGGCAACACACCCGACGCCAGGAAGATTGCATTCTGAAAATGAGGAGTTGTCAAAACAGACCTAAGTTGAATTTGGTTTAATATGAACTATATGAATAGCATTCTCTCTCAATTGGTAACAATCAAAACTCAGTTATTGGTAATCATTTTCCCTTCATTCAAAATTAGAATGTGAATTACCTGTACTAATTTACATTCGAGCGATATGGAAAACGTAATCTTGACATCATTTCACTAAAATCTCATAGATTGTGTTGATTATTCAGTCCTGAAAGTTATTTTGCATTCCTTCCAAATTTACAGTTTTCCAGTCCAAGACAGGATTTTGTTATTATTTTTATTATAAATTTGACCATTATTGAATTCTAGCAGATCATTGAAGCTTGAGATATACACCTTAGGTTATACAGTTGCCGTTGTGCAGAAAGTCATGAGTCTTATGCATAAAGAAACAGATCAGGGAGTAGTTTTGACAGGTTTGAACTTGGTTTTGTTTTGTCCCACTGTCTGATGGATGTGTTTTTGTCCGTCTCAATTGTTACTCATAAATCTTGAATATGAAACAGTTCAGATGGTTTTACGTGTTGTTTTTGTGAAACAAATCCTAGATCAGACAGGTAAATTAATGTAAGGGACTTTGTTTTTTGGGCTGAGGATTGAGACATATATGTGAACACTTATATAGATCATCTTGTTACTTACGTGGCGGGGGCGTTGTGGTCGGTGGCGTTCCTGAAAGAGTACAAAGGGCATTAATATGAAGCCCACTTCTTCAGTAGTGCTTTGAAAGCTCTGCTAAAAAAGGCCATTGTACGATTCCTTGTTCAGGAGAATATAATACGCATGAATATTTCAATTAATATTATAAAATAGTGCTTATGCAAGGTGTTCGCTGAAAGGTGAGTGTGTTCTGCCCAACGATTGCACCGATCACAAACACACGTTGGTAAGGCAAGAGGTCACCCTAACAATCACGCAATATATGCCACAAGTCAAAATATGAATTTGCATCGGTCATAATTTTGTTCACCGATGCTTCAAAATTAGAAGTGTCCTCCATTGGATACTGCAACATCGATCACAAGTTTTGAGGATGAGTCATATGATTCTCTTTGAAAGAGAGCATGTTCGATTGTACCTCAAAAGATCATCAATGTAGACACCAATGGATAGAGTTGTCATATTCACCCATGATGGCCCTGAAATTGCGCATGCAACAAGGTCACTGGATGCTTAAAAGGCCATGAATAAGAAAATCATCCCATATGCAAAGAACACATGGAACCAAGTCCTCGTGTCTTAACAATGAAAAGCACCTTTGTTGACGACCAAACCTTGTAAATGACAATAGACGCCATGCCACTTTCAGCTTTATCTGACGTTTACAAAGGACACGTGTTGACACCTTCATGAGTTTTTATCTCCAGGGAGTCACTATATTGTCCAAGATTGTTTTGAGTATGCACAGATACTTATTTTCCGCAAATATTGAAGAATAAGGTGCAAGAAATAACTGCATCGAACAAATCCGAATTTCATCAGACATCATTTTTTGGCACTGACGTGCATCTTCCTGAGGCAAGACAGTAAACTGACTTTAAAAGTCAAGTTTCCACCCTTGCCGAACTATGCCCGAATTCCTGGGGTCGATCGTAACGCAACCAGTGGTTATTATGAGTTAGGTTCCTTCTGAGTCTCTCCAATCGACCAACCGATTCCATTACTTGAATTTGTTTCAAACAAAATGGCGGCGACCAGTCAAGACGAATTGATCGATAACAAAGATCTATACACTGATAAAACGGGTCTTACATCGCCAGGTGCATCAAATCACGCGAGCAACTTGATTGAAAACAGGAGCAGGTTTGGAAAATATCTGTTGACAACGAGTTGGCGGTGCACATGTTTTGCAAATTCTGCAATCGACCGAAATCTGCACGACAGTTTACGAACCGGAATTCGATTTTGTTGTGTGATTTTGATTGGACTATGCATAGACTCGTTAATCCAGCCGAAATGTATTTCCATAATACCAGCCTAGTTCTGCAAGGGTGGAAATTGTCTGCCATAAACATTTTGAAAGGTGACGCAATGAGTATTTCAAAGGTGAAGTTATTCCTCTTGTCATACAAATCCTGTGAATAGATCTTGTGTTACATGAAATTTTATGCATATATATGTGGGGTTTAATGGGTATCTGTTATTTCAAGTGGATTTCTTGCATGTGTCTGCCATAAACATTTTGAAAGGTGACGCAAAGAGTATTCACATGTGAAGCTATTCCTCTTCTCATACAATCTTGTGGATACATCTTTTGTTACTCGGAATTTAATGAATAGATCTGTACATAAAACAGATTCGGTGCCTTAACAGGTCTCAATGGGTGCCCAGAGGGGTGCCTTAGTTTTGCCTACATGTTGTTTTCCAAGAGTCTACAAAGATATGCTGATGAAGCCCTGTATTTCATATATTGTTTTCCTAATAAACTTGTGATGACATTGCTTAAAAAATATTCTATTCCGCACAAACTTGTACAATATAGAACCACACTCCAACAAACAAACAGAAAATCACATCACCCTGAAGCAGATTCTCTTAAGACGATATCACACTGATGACGACCTATTAATTAATGACAGTTATACAGATTAATACCTAAATAGAACAGAGATGGTGGGCAAACTACCTTTTCGAAAATAACTTTCAAGCAGTGTCATTGGCTGGATAATATATCATATCACTTGAGTAAACTACGCATCCTAGGAGTACTTACCGACACAGCACATTTGCCCACCTGGACACTGGCGACCAGGTAATGGGATAACACAGAAGGTACCAGTGGCAAAACACCCGATGCCAGGAAGATTGCATTCTGAAAATGAGGAGTTGTCAAAACAGACCTTAGTTGAATTTGGTTTAATATGAACTGTATGATTGGCATTCTCCCTTATTTGGTAAGCATCAAAACTCATTGATTGGTAATAATTTTCCCTTCCTTCAAAATTAAAATGTGAATTACTTGTACTAATAGTGGATGCATTTACATTCGAGAGATATGGAAAACATAATCTTGACATCCTTTCACTAAAATCTCATAGATTGTGTTGATTATTCAGTCCTGAAAGTTATTTTGCATTCCTTCCAAATTAACAGTTTTCCACTCCAAGACAGGATGTTGTTATTATTATTATTATTATAAATTTGACCATTATTGAATTCTAGCAGATCATTGAAGCTTGAGATATACACCTTAGGTTATACAGTTGCCGTTGTTTGATTGTCCCCGTCCGTGCAGAAAGGCATGAGTCTTATGCATAAAGAAACAGATCAGGGAGTAGTGGAGCACAATTAGTGCTCATTGGGGTGCCTATTTTGTTCATGACAAATTGTCCTGTTAAGTTTGTCATGTGAAAAAATAGTGTACAAAGTTGAAAAAAATGTTTTGACAGGTTTGAACTTGGTTTTGTTTTGAGATTGCAAAAATTCAACTACATCCTTATTTGTCCCACTGTCTAATGGATGTGTTTGTGTCCGTCTCAATTGTTACTCATAAATCTTGAATATGAAACAGTTCAGATGGTTTTACGTGTTGTTTTTATGAAACAAATCCTAGATCAGACAGGTAAATTAATGTAAGGGACTTTGTTTTTTGGGCTGAGGATTGAGACATTTATGTGAACACTTATGTAGATCATCTTGTAACTTACGTGGCGGGGGCGTTGTGGTCGGTGGCGTTCCTGAAAGAGTACAAAGGGCATTAATATGAAGCTCACTTCTTCAGTAGTGCTTTGAAAGCTCTGCTAAAAAAGGCCATTGTACGATTCCTTGTACCGGAGTATATAATAAGCATGAATATTAAAATAGTGCTTATGCAAAGTGTCTGCTGAAAGGTGAGTGTGTTCTGCCCACCAATTGCACCGATCACAAACACACGTTGGTAAGGCAAGAGGTCGCCCTGACAAACACGCAATATATGCCACAAGTCAAAATTGTCATATTCACCCATGATGGCCCTGAAATTGTGCATGCAACAAGATCACTGGATGCTTAAAAGGCCATGAATAAGAAAATCATCCCATATGCAAAGTACACATGGAACCAAGTCCTCGTGTCTTAACAATGAAAAGCAACTTTGTTGACGACCAAACCTTGTAAACTTTATGTATACAAAACGTTGGTATAAGGCATTTCAATGGTCGTTAGCAATATACTGGAAACACCATGAAGTTAAGGTCCACGAGTAACTTCACGTCGGCAAGATGATCATATAAGTCTGGTAACCTGCATAATAGGTTTCAGAATGCACATTTGACAAAACGCAACATTCTTGGCCTACTTCCGATCAGTGCAAGGAGTGTGGGGAATAGATTACCGAAGCATAACATCCAACCATAACGTCCAGATGTACTCCTAATTTCCTGCGACGTCAACATACTGCATGTCTGGCCTTTCCAGACTAGTGGACTTGTCCTCCTCACGGATTAGTGGAGGTTTCTCTGAGACAGCAGTGATGGCAGTCTGCATTCGGTACTAGGAGCGTGAAATGACAATAGACGCCATGCCACTTTCAGCTTTATCTGACGTTTACAAAGGACACGTGTTGACACTTTCATGAGTTTTTATCTCCAGGGAATCACTATATTGTCCAAGATTGTTTTGAGTTTGCACAGATACTTATTTTCCGCAAATATTGAAGAATAAGGTACAAGAAATAACTGCATCGGAACAAATCCGAATTTCATCAGACATCATTTTTTGGCACTGACGTGCATCTTCCTGAGGCAAGACAGTAAACTGACTTTAAAAGTCAAGTTTCCACCCTTGCCGAACCATGCCCGAATTCCTGGGGTCGATCGTAGCGCCACCAGTGGTTATTATGAGTTAGGTTCCTTCTGAGTCTCTCCAATCGACCAACCGATTCCATTACTTGAATTTGTTTCAAACAAAATGGCGGCGACCAGTCAAGACGATCTGATCGATAACAAAGATCTATAGTGTGATAAAACGGGTCTTACATCGCCAGGTGCATCAAATCACGCGAGCAACTTGATTGAAAACAGGAGCAGGTTTGGAAAATATCTGTTGACAACGAGTTGGCGGTGCACATGTTTTGCAAATTCTGCAATCGACCGAAATCTGCACGACAGTTTACGAACCGGAATTCGATTTTGTTGTGTGATTTTGATTGGACTATGCATAGACTCGTTAATCCAGCCGAAATGTATTTCCATAATACCAGCCTAGTTCTGCAAGGGTGGAAATTGTCTGCCATAAACATTTTGAAAGGTGACGCAATGAGTATTTCAAAGGTGAAGTTATTCCTCTTGTCATACAATCCTGTGGATAGATCTTTTGTTACTCGGAATTTAATGAATAGATCTGTACATAAAACAGATTCGGTGGCTTAACGGGTCTCATTTTTCTTCAAGTTTATTTGGGTGAATGTGTGAAAAGGAATTTGTCTATTGGGCCATTATTGAAATATTTCCGATTATTGATGTTTAACTTATACTCCTTATCCAAATTCCTGAGTTTTGGTTTTCCCAATCTTCGCAGAAATTCTTATTCATCTGCATAAAGAAACCTGTTCCGAAGGAGAGGAGCTCAATGGTGCCCAGGGGGGTGCCTTAGTTTTGCCTACATGTTGTTTTCCAAGAGTCTACAAAGATATGCTGATGAAGCCCTGTATTTCATATATTGTTTTCCTAGTAAACTTGTGATGACATTGCTTAAAAAATATTCTATTCCGCACAAACTTGTACAATATAGAATTACACTCCAACAATCAAACAGCCAAACACATCACCCTGAAGCAGATTCTCTTAAGACGAAATCACACTGATGATGACCTATTAATTAATGACAGTTATACAGATTATTACCTAAATAGAATAGAGATGGTGGGCAAATTACCTTTTCGAAAATAACTGTCAAGCAGTGTCATTGGCTGGATAATATATCATATCACTTTAGTAAACTACGCATCCTAGGAGTACTTACCGACACAACACATTTGACCAGCTGGACACTGGCGACCAGGTAATGGGATAGCACAGGAGGTACCAGTGGGAAAACACCCGACGCCAGGAAGATTGCATTCTGCAAATGAGGATTTGTATCATAAAAAGACCTAAGTTGAATTTGGTTTCATATGAACAGTATGATTGACATTCTCTCTCGTTTCTTAAGCATAGAAACTCAGTGATAACTAATCATGTTCCCTTCATTCAAACTGAGAATCCGAATTATCTGTACTGATAGTGAATGCTTTGACATATGGAAGACCTGATCATGGAATCCTTTCACTAAAATCTCATAGATTGTGATTAATTTTCAGTCCTTAAAGTTGTCATGCATTCCTTCCAAATTTACAGTTTTCCACTCCAAGACAGGATGTTGTTGTTGTTGTTCTTATTATTATTATTATTATTATTATTATTATTATTATTATTATTATTATTCAATCAAAGGATGTTACCACACCATTTCATTAATGTCATTATTTGATCATACCTTTATGTAGACATTATAGGATTCATAACATAATGGCATAATGCCATCAAGATCGATATCAGGCAACTACTGAATACTTCTGAGTGTTTTTGTACACTGTAAAATAAAATTATAAACTTTCAAGTAAATATATTTGTAACGTACGTGGCGAGGTCGTTGTTGTCGGTGGTGCTGAAATTGTAATCATTCCTTTCCATAATCATAAGAATGTTCTGATTCCAACTATATAATAATCATATGTCTTTGAAAAACTATAGAATACTGATGATACCACGTGTTTGCTAGAAGGTAAGCATTTCAGAAAACACCTGTGGTACACATCATATACACAAGCAAAGACAAGTCAAGTGTTGTCCTGAACAAATACAGAAACATATGGTATTGTCAAAATTGCACAGAAACAATTCAGAAAATCAGCAGACATCATTTTTTTTCAATGAAGCGTCAATTGAGGAAAATGTCCTACACATATCCACCATAAAAAGGTCTTCAAACTTATCAGCCATCAGTATGACGCTCTTTAATATATTCGTGGAAAGGGCAGGCACGATACACCTCAAACATTATTAACTGTAGACGCCAAAGGTGGCTGCAGGAATATTCTTTGGCATTAAGAGGCAGTAATGAAATTGCAAAGTTGAAGTTATCTCAACTCGCCTGCTTCGTATTTTGACAAATTGTCCTGAGGGTTTCAAACAAATGCCCTATGGCTTAAGAAATGAAGTTTTCCCTTAAGTTTGCCATATGGACTAATGATGTACAAAGTCGAAAAATACAGTGTTTAACAGGGTTCAACTTGGTTCTTCTTTTAGATTGCAAAACATCAAGCCAAACCCTTATTTGTCTCACGGTCTTGTGCATATGTTTTTGTCCCACTAAATTGCTACTCAATAGAGACGCACAATCAGTGACCATAAGCATGCCTACTGCTTGCCTGAGTGTCGTATTTCCAAATTTCACATAGATTGTGTGTATGAGAAATGCTGTTATTTCACAAAATTTTCATCAACGTCATCTTCAGATGACATTTGCTTCAAATAATAGTCTAATGACCGCACTCTTAATCTAAACACAGTATAACATATTCCCCCTGAATCGCATAGCTACTCCCCCTCTTACCAAGCAACATAAACTTATTATGAAATATTAATACATCTTATAACCCAGATGAAATAGGAGATGAGGGTGAATTATCTGTTCTATAATTGATTTATTTTGAAGAACATGAGAGAATTATGGTACACTTAATATTATCATCCCTTCACTTAAACATCATGGATTATGATGAATTATCAGGCCTGGAGTTTTTTTTCAGTTCATAATAAATACACAGTTTGTATCTCCACGGTACGTTGTTATTAACATTCAAACTCATGTCTGATTGTTTTTATGGAATCGGATATTATTCTCAACATGCTTTCGTTAAATTCCTTATCCTCCCCTCTATATAAACATTAGTGAATTGTGTCAAGCAGCCTTGGAGTCATAATGGCGGACTCGCCGAGGTTCATATGTTGCCAATAGCATCATATATTATAGTGTCACAGAGAATTGAGAAACGTATTTGCATGCAGTCCATGTATTTCTTCAATCGCCCTTAATGAAGATAGTTTTGTTACTTACGTGGCGTGGTCGTTGGTGGTGCTGAAAAGGTAAAGAAGGTGTAAATATGGCGCTCATTTCTTCAATAATGATCTACATAAAAGCAACAATACATTTCCATACCCAGCAAAGTATCTGCTAAAAGGTGAGCCCCATGTACGCTTCCAACTGTGTCAACAACATGTATTTTTAATCAATGAGGAATGTTGACCATATGGAGTGTTCGTTGAAAGGTGAGAGGTGGGAATTAGTTTATTTAGACAATTATTGAAATCTAGCAGATCATTGAAGCTTGAGATATACACCTTAAGTTATACAACTGCAGTGGTTTGATTTTGCCCGTCCGTGCAGAAAGTCATTAGTCTCATGCATAAATAAACAGATCAGGGAGAAGTGGAGCACAATTTGTGTTCATTAGGATGCCTACTTCGATTTTGACAAATTGTCCTGGAGCCTTGAAGATAGATATGCATCTACGGTCACCAGGGTTTTAAACAAAAGCCCTATTGCTTAAGGAATGAAGTTTTCCCTTAAGTTTGCCATGTGGAATAATGGTGTACAAAGTCGAAAAATACAATCTTTTGACATGGTTGAACTTGGTTCTTTTCTCCGATTGCAAAAAATCAACCCAAATCCTTATTTGTTTCAGTCTTGTGAATATGTTTTTGTCCGTCTGTATTTGTTACTCAAAAATCTAAAATATGAAACAGTTGGGTTGGTTTCACTTGTTGTTTTTTTCAAACAATTTCTAGATCAAACAGGTAAATAAGTGAAAGGAAATTTGTCTTTTGACTGTTATTCATTAATTTCAGAGCATTGAAGCTTAAGTTATGCACCTTGTCCAAAATTCCAATATTTTCAATTCGGCAATCTGTGCAGAAATCCTTATTCCAATGCATAAAGTAACTGATCAGGAAGAAGTGGCGCACAATCGGTGACCATATGCATGCCTACTTCTTGCCTGAGTGTCGTTTTTCCAAATTTCACATAGATGGTGTGTATGAAAAAGGCTGTTATTTCAACAAAATTGTCATCTACGTCATCTTCAGATGACATTTGCTTCAAATAATATTCTAATGCCCACACGTGTAAACATGTTAACACTCTTAATCTATACACAGTATAACATATTTACCCTGAATCGCATAGCTATTCCCCCTGTTACCAAGCAACATAAACTTATTATGAAATATTAATACATCTTATAACCCAGATGAAATAGGAGATGAGGGTGAATTATCTGTTCTATAATTGATTTATTTTGAAGAACATGAGAGAATTATGGTACACTTAATATTATCATCCCTTCACTTAAACATCATGGATTATGATGAATTATCAGGCCTGGAGTTTTTTTTCAGTTCATAATAAATACACAGTTTGTATCTCCACGGTACGTTGTTATTAACATTCAAACTCATGTCTGATTGTTTTTATGGAATCGGATATTATTCTCAACATGCTTTCGTTAAATTCCTTATCCTCCCCTCTATATAAACATTAGTGAATTGTGTCAAGCAGCCTTGGAGTCATAATGGCGGACTCGCCGAGGTTCATATGTTGCCAATAGCATCATATATTATAGTGTCACAGAGAATTGAGAAACGTATTTGCATGCAGTCCATGTATTTCTTCAATCGCCCTTAATGAAGATAGTTTTGTTACTTACGTGGCGTGGTCGTTGGTGGTGCTGAAAAGGTAAAGAAGGTGTAAATATGGCGCTCATTTCTTCAATAATGATCTACATAAAAGCAACAATACATTTCCATACCCAGCAAAGTATCTGCTAAAAGGTGAGCCCCATGTACGCTTCCAACTGTGTCAACAACATGTATTTTTAATCAATGAGGAATGTTGACCATATGGAGTGTTCGTTGAAAGGTGAGAGGTGGGAATTAGTTTATTTAGACAATTATTGAAATCTAGCAGATCATTGAAGCTTGAGATATACACCTTAAGTTATACAACTGCAGTGGTTTGATTTTGCCCGTCCGTGCAGAAAGTCATTAGTCTCATGCATAAATAAACAGATCAGGGAGAAGTGGAGCACAATTTGTGTTCATTAGGATGCCTACTTCGATTTTGACAAATTGTCCTGGAGCCTTGAAGATAGATATGCATCTACGGTCACCAGGGTTTTAAACAAAAGCCCTATTGCTTAAGGAATGAAGTTTTCCCTTAAGTTTGCCATGTGGAATAATGGTGTACAAAGTCGAAAAATACAATCTTTTGACATGGTTGAACTTGGTTCTTTTCTCCGATTGCAAAAAATCAACCCAAATCCTTATTTGTTTCAGTCTTGTGAATATGTTTTTGTCCGTCTGTATTTGTTACTCAAAAATCTAAAATATGAAACAGTTGGATTGGTTTCACTTGTTGTTTTTTTCAAACAATTTCTAGATCAAACAGGTAAATAAGTGAAAGGAAATTTGTCTTTTGACTGTTATTCATTAATTTCAGAGCATTGAAGCTTAAGTTATGCACCTTGTCCAAAATTCCAATATTTTCAATTCGGCAATCTGTGCAGAAATCCTTATTCCAATGCATAAAGTAACTGATCAGGAAGAAGTGGCGCACAATCGGTGACCATATGCATGCCTACTTCTTGCCTGAGTGTCGTTTTTCCAAATTTCACATAGATGGTGTGTATGAAAAAGGCTGTTATTTCAACAAAATTGTCATCTACGTCATCTTCAGATGACATTTGCTTCAAATAATATTCTAATGCCCACACGTGTAAACATGTTAACACTCTTAATCTATACACAGTATAACATATTTACCCTGAATCGCATAGCTATTCCCCCTGTTACCAAGCAACATAAACTTATTATGAAATATTAATACATCTTATAACCCAGATGAAATAGGAGATGAGGGTGAATTATCTGTTCTATAATTGATTTATTTTGAAGAACATGAGAGAATTATGGTACACTTAATATTATCATCCCTTCACTTAAACATCATGGATTATGATGAATTATCAGGCCTGGAGTTTTTTTTCAGTTCATAATAAATACACAGTTTGTATCTCCACGGTACGTTGTTATTAACATTCAAACTCATGTCTGATTGTTTTTATGGAATCGGATATTATTCTCAACATGCTTTCGTTAAATTCCTTATCCTCCCCTCTATATAAACATTAGTGAATTGTGTCAAGCAGCCTTGGAGTCATACTGGCGGACTCGCCGAGGTTCATATGTTGCCAATAGCATCATATATTATAGTGTCACAGAGAATTGAGAAACGTATTTGCATGCAGTCCATGTATTTCTTAAATCGCCCTTAATGAAGATAGTTTTGTTACTTACGTGGCGTGGTCGTTGGTGGTGCTGAAAAGGTAAAGAAGGTGTAAATATGGCGCTCATTTCTTCAATAATGATCTACATAAAAGCAACAATACATTTCCATACCCAGCAAAGTCTCTGCTAAAAGGTGAGCCCCATGTACGCTTCCAACTGTGTCAACAACATGTATTTTTAATCAATGAGGAATGTTGACCATATGGAGTGGTCGTTGAAAGGTGAGAGGTGGGAATTAGTTTATTTAGACAATTATTGAATTCTAGCAGATCATGGAAGATAGAGATATACACCTTAAGTTATACAATTGTCGTGGTTTGATTTTGCCCGTCCGTGTAGAAAGTCATTAGTCTCATGCATAAATAAACAGATCAGGGAGAAGTGGAGCACAATTTGTGTTCATTAGGATGCCTACTTCGATTTTGACAAATTGTCCTGAAGCCTTGAAGATAGATATGCATCTACGGTCACCAGGGTTTTAAACAAAAGCCCTATTGCTCAAGGAATGTAGTTTTCCCTTAAGTTTGCTATGTGGAATAATGGTGTACAAAGTCGAAAATTACAATCTTTTGACAGGGTTGAACTTGGTTCTTTTCTCCGATTGCAAAATTCAACACAAATCCTTATTTGTTTCAGTCTTGTGAATATGTTTTTGTCCGTCTGTATTTGTTACTCAAAAATCTAAAATATGAAACAGTTGGGTTGGTTTCACTTGTTGTTTTTGTCAAACAATTTCTAGATCAAACAGGTGAATAAGTGAAAGGGAATTTGTCTTTTGACTGTTAGTCATTTATTTCAGAGCATTGAAGCTTAAGTTATACACCTTGTCCAAACTTCCAATGTTTTGAATCGGCAATCTGTGCAGAAATTCTTATTCTTATGCATAAAGTAACTGATCAGGAAGAAGTGGCACACAATCGCTGACCATATGCATGCCTACTTCTTGCCTGAGTGTCGTATTTCCAAATTTCACATAGATGGTGTGTATGAGAAAGGCTGTTATTTCATAAAATTGTCGTCTACGTCATCTTCAGATGACATTTGCTTCAAATATTATTCTAATTCCCACACGTGAAAACATGTTAACATTCTTAATCTACCCACAGTATAACATATTCCCCCTGAATCGCATAGATATTCCCCCTGTTACCAAGCAACATAAACTTATTATGAAATATTCATACATCTTATAACCCAGATGAAATAGGAGATGAGGGTGAATTATCTGTTCTATAATTGATTTATTTTGAAGAACATTATGGTACACTTAATATTATCTTCCCTTCACTTAAACATTATGGATTATGATGAATTATCAGGCCTCAAGGTTATTTTCAAGTTATAATTAATACACATTTTGTATCTCAATGGTAGTTCTATGGATGAACAACTTCTTTATTACAATTAGTCCGACGTTTCGGTGTAGATCCCAACACCTTTTTAAGCAAGTGATCGGGATGCTTGATAAAGGTGTTAGGATCTACACCGAAACGTCGCACTTACTGTAATAAAGAAGTTGTTCATCCATAGAACTCGTCTTACTTCATTCAAACGCATGTTTGATTGTTTTAATAGAATCGGATATTATTAGCAAACATGCTTTTAGTTATTTCCTTATTCTCCCCTCTATATGAATATCAGTGAATTGTGTCAAGCAGTCCCTGAGCCATAATGGCCGGCTGGCTGAGGTTCACATGTTGCCAATAGCATCACATGTTATGGTGTCATTGAGAATTGAGAAATGTATTTGTACGCAGTTCATGTATTTCTTAAATCACCCTTAATGTAGATAGTCTTGTTACTTACGTGGCGTGGTCGTTGGTGGTGCTGAAAAGGTAAAGAAGGTGTAAATATGGCGCTCATTTCTTCAATAATGATCTACATAAAAGCAACAATACATTTCCATACCCAGCAAAGTCTCTGCTAAAAGGTGAGCCCCATGTACGCTTCCAACTGTGTCAACAACATGTATTTTTAATAAATGTTGAATGTTTATCATATCAGATATTCGTTGAAAGGTGAGAGCTGGGAATTAGTTTATTTGACCATTATTGAATACTAGCAGATCATTGAAGCTTGAGATATACACCTTAAGTTATACAATTGCCATGTTTTCTTTTTACTCGTCCGTACAGAAAGTCACGAGTCTTATGCATAAAGAAACAGATCAGGGAGAAGTGGAGCACAATTAATGCTCATGGGGTTGCCTACTTTGTTTATGACAAATTGTCCTGAACCTACATATATACATATGCATCTACGGTCACCAGGGTTTCAAACAAAAGGCCTATGGATCAAGGAATGAAGTTTTCCCTTAAGTTTGTCATGTGGAATAATTGTGTAATGGTAAAGCACAAGATCGGGAAGGAAGAAGAGGCGCACAATCGTTGACCATAAGCATGCCTACATCTTGCTTGAATGTCGTATTTCCCAATTTCACATAGATGGTGTCTATGAGAAAGGCCGTCATTTCACAATATTGTTGCCTACGTCATCTTCAGATGACATTTGCTTCAAATAATATTCTAATGCACACACATTAGTACATATGTTAACAATCTAAATCGACCCACAGTATAACATATGCACCCGTAAACGCATTGGTATTCCCCCTGTTGCCAAGCAACATTATCTTATAATGAAATATTAATACAGCTAATGTAACACAGATGAAAGAGAGATGAGGGTGAATTATCTGTTCAATAATTGATTTATTTCGAAGAACATTTGAGAAATATGGTACACTCAATCTTGTCATCCCTTCACTCAAACCTCATGGATTATGATGTATTATCGGGCCTAAAAGTTATTTTCAGTTTATAATATATACACAGTTTGTATTTCCACGGTACGTTATTAGAATTCAAACGCATGTTGGATTGTTTTCTTTGAATCGTATATTATTAGCAAACATACTTTTATTTTATTTCCTTATTCTCCCCTTTATATAAAACATCAGTGATTTGTGTCAAGCAGCCCTTGAGCCATAATGTCCGGCTGGTATGGTACACTTAATTTTGTCATCTCTTCACTCAAACCTCATGGATTATGGTGTACTATCAGGCCTGAAAGTTATTTTCAATTCATAATAATTCCACAGTTTGTATCTCCACGGCTGGTTAATAACATTCGAACGCATGTTTGATTGTTTTTATTGAATCGGATATTATTCGCAAACATGCTTTTATTTATTTCCTTATTCTCCCCTCTATATAAGCATCAGTGATTGTGTCAAGCAGCCCTTGAGCCATAATGGCCGGCTGGCTGAGGTTCATATGTTGCCAATGGTATCATATGTTATGGTGTCATTGAGCATTGAGAAATGTATTTGTATGCTGTCCATGTATTTCTTTAATTGCCCATAATGTAGATGTCTTGTTACTTACGTGGCGTGGTCGTTGGTGGTGCTGAAATGGTAAAGAAGGTGTAAATATGGCGCTCATTTCTTCAATAATGAATAATGGTCTACATAAAAGCAACAATACATTTCCATACCCAGCAAAGTATCTGCTAAAAGGTGAGCCCGATGTACGCTTCCAACTGTGTCAACAACACGTATTTTTAATCTATTCGGTGGGAATTAGTTTATTTGACCATTATTGAATTCTAGGATATCATTGAAGCTTGAGATATACCCCTTGAATTATACAATTGCCGTGGTTTGATTTTGCCCGTCCGTGCAGAAAGCCATTAGTCTTATGCATAAAGAAACAGATCAGGGAGAAGTGGAGTGCAACTTGTGTTCACGGGGATGTCAACTTTGCGTTGACATACTGTTCTGAACCTCTGAAGATAGATATGTATCTATGGTCACCGGAGTTTTAAACAAAACACAATGGATCAAGGAATGAAGTTTTCGCTAAAGTTTGTCCTAAGAAAATGGTGTACCAAGTGGAAAAACAAATGTTTTAACCGGGTTTTGAACTTATTTGCTACAGTCTTGAGGATATGCTTTTGTCCGTCTCAACTGTTACTCATAAATTGACGATGTGAAGCATTTGAGGTGGTTTTATTTGTCGTGTTTATATAAAAAAGACCTCAGGACCAAACAGGTAAATAAGTGTAAGGAAATTTTATCTTTTGAGCTGAGGATTGAGAAAATATATTTATGTAGTTTTATATTTATCTAGAACGTCTTGTAACTTATGTGACGGGGACGTTGTGGTCGGTGGCGTTCCTAAAAGGGTAAAAAAGGGTGTTAAAATGTAGCTCACTTCTTCAGTAGTGTTTTGAAGTTAAAAGTGACAAAACCCTGTCTGTAAACATAAGAAAGCTCTGCTAAAAGGGGAGTCCATTTTACGATTCCTTTTACGGGACTACATAATGAGCATGAATAGTTGAATCACTATCAAAATAGTGCTTATGCCAGGTGTTCGCTAAAAGGTGAGTGTGTTCTTCCCACCGATTGCACCCAACACAAATACACGCAAAGGTAAGGCAAATGTTCACCTTAACATACACGGAATATATGCTACAAGTCAAACTATGAATTTAAATAGGTCATCGTTTTGGTCAACGATTTATTGAAATAGAAGTGTCCGCCATGAAATACTTTGAATGTTTTACTTAAGCCTTGAATACTGCAACACGGATAGCAAGTTTTGAGAATGAGTCATATGACACTCTTTGAATGAGAGCATGTTCGATTGTGCCTCCAAAGATGATCAATATAGACATCAAAGGAAAGAGTTGCTGCAATATTACTCATCATGAAGGAAAGTTAACTGTTGAATCTTTATACACTGATGCAAATATGAAACAGATTGTGCGTCTTCACTGGTCTGTTTGTTCAAGTTTCTTCAGGTAAATGAATGACATTTGTCTATGTGACCCTTATTGGACAATATCAGATGATCGACATACCTGAAGCTAAGTTTAACTTAATTCACGTATTTTGACTTTCCCAACCCGAAATTGATATGCATAAAGAAACAGATCAGAAAGGAGGGGATCACACTTTTAGCTTTTGCCTAAATGTCTCTATCATCAAATATGTTCAAACAATCACGTCTAAAAGTCCTCTGTACGAATCCTACTGCACCAATGGAAAACAAATCCACTACACCATAAAGCAACACACGAAAACCTGTATCATGTCCTCGTGGAACTATGTTCTCTTGTTTTAACTGTGAAAAACAATTTTTGTCGACGACCAAACCTTATAAACGTTATGCGACGTCTATCTGAAAATGAGCGGTTGCATGCAACTGGAATGATTGAAACCAGAATTACACAAAACGTTGGAACTAGGCATATCGGTTGTCGTTAGCAATAGACTCGAAACACTAGGGAGTAAACGTCCACGAATAACTTCACGTCGGCAAGATGATCATATCCGTCCGGTAACCCGCAAAATCGGTTTCAGAATGTGCCTTTGACAACACACAACATTATTGGCCTACTTCTGATTAGCGCAAAAGTGTGGGGAATAGATTACTGAAGCATAACATCCAACCACAATGTCTGTATTCCTTATTTCATGCTAAGTGGTCATACTGCACGTCTGGCCTTTCCATGTTATTTGACTTGTCCTATTCACGGATTAGTGGAGGTTTCTCCTTGACAGCAGTGATGGCAGTCGGTGTGTTGATCGACGATGGTGGGAACATTACGCGACGCGTGCGTAGTTCAACCTTCTGCATTCGGTGGGGGGAGCGTTATGGCACAGGGATGCATCACTGCTCATCAGAGGCCCCCTTGAGATGTCTTCGTTGGCAATTTTACTTGTGTACGGTACAGTGACGAAGTTATCTTCAAGTACCCCCGTTGCTTCAGACCAACAAATGCCACATTACATGATGTCATTGCAGCAGTACAATGCACACCCTCGTGTTCCACGTGTGTTCATAGATTTCATGGGACAACACAAAACACCAACACTCATCAAACGTGTGGCATGAAATGAAACATTCAACCCAACCAGGGACGTTTGTCCGGCTGCAACAGGCCTTGGTCCAGATTCGGGATGGCATCAAACAAGACATCCTCAATCATCTGCGTCAATGAGGCGCCATTGTGAAGCTTGTGTCACTGCAAATGGTACTCAAACCTGATTTAAACTTGTGAAATGACAATTGACGCCATGCCACTTTCAGCTTTATCTGATGTTTATAGAGGACACGTGTTGACATTATCATGAATTCTTGTTTCACCAGCGTAACTATATTGTCCAAAATTCTTTATAATGCACCGGTACTTATTTTAAGCAAATACGAAAGATTAAGATACAAGTAATAACTGCATCAGAACAAGTCCGTATTTCATCAGACATCATATTTGTCACTGATGCGCCAAATTCGGAAATGTCTTCCATATGTCTGCCATAAACATTTTGAAAGGTGACGCAATGACTATTTCAAAGGTGAAGTTATTCCTCTTGTCATACACTCCTGTGGATAGATATTGTGTTACATGAAATGTTTTGCTTATATATGTGCGGTTCAATGGGTATCTTTTATTTCAAGTTCATTTGGGTAAATGTGTGAATGGGAATAAGTCTATCTGACCATTATGGAATGATATCCAATTATCGAAGTTTAACTTATGCTCCTCATTCCAATTCCTGTGTTTGGTTTTCCCACTCTGCGAAGAAATTCTTTTTTACGTGCATGTATGTTCCAAAGCAGATGGGCTAAATGGGTGCCCAGGGGGATGCCTTAGTTTTGCCTAAATGTTGTTTCCCAAGAGTCCAAAAAGATATGCTGATAAAGCCCTGTCCTTCAAATATTGTCTTGTCAGTAAACTTGAGATGGCATTGCGTAAATAATAATATATCCTATACAAACCTGTACAATATAAAAACACATTGCAACAAACAAACAGTAAAACATATGAACCTGAATCAGGTTTTGTCAAGGCGAAATCAAATTGATCATGAGCATTATACAGTGTACCACCTAAATAATAGAGACTGTGGGCTGGATAACATATCATGTAACTTGAGTAAACTACGCATCCTAGGAGTACTTACCGACACAGCACATTTGGCCAGCTGGACACTGGAGACCAGGTACTGGGATATTACAGGTACCACTGGCAACACACCCGATGCCAGGAAGATTGCATTCTGAAAATGAGGAGTTGTCAAAACAGACCTTAGTTGAATTTGGTTTAATAAGAACTATATGAATGGCATTCTCCCTTATTTGGTAAGCATCAAAACTCATTGATTGGTAATAATTTTCCCTTCATTCAAAATTAGAATGTGAATAACCTGTACTAATAGTGGAAGCATTTACATTCGAGAGATATAGCAAACATAATCTTGACATCCTTTCACTAAAATCTCATAGATTGTGATGATTATTCAGTCCTAATTGTTATCTTGCATTCCTTCCAAATCTAACGTTTTCCACTCCAAGACAAAATGTTCTTATTATTATTATTATAAATTTGACCATTATTGAATTCTAGCAGATCATTGAAGCTTGAGATATACACCTTGGGTTATACAGTTGCAGTGGTTTGATTTTGCCCGTCAGTGCAGAAAGTCATGAGTCTTATGCATAAAGAAACAGATCAGGGAGTAGTGGAGCACAATTAGTGCTCATTGGGATGCCTACTTTGTTCATGACAAATTGTCCTGAACCTCTGAATATAGATATGTATCAATGGTCACCAGGGTTTCTAACAAAGGCCCTATGGATCAAAGAATGAAGTTTCCCCTTAAGTTTGTCATGTGGAATCATGGTGTACAAAGGTGAAAAAAATGTTTTGACAGGTTTGAACTTGGTTTTGTTTTGAGATTGCAAAAAATCAAGCTACATCCTTATTTGTCCCACTGTCTAGTTGATGTGTTTTTGTCCGTCTCAATGGTTACTCATAAATCCTAGATCAGACAGGTAAATTAGTGTAAGGGACTTTGTTTTTGAGCTGAGGATTGAGAAATTTATGTGAACACTTATGTAGATCATCTTGTAACTTACGTGGAGGGGGCGTTGTGGTCGGTGCTGTTCCTGAAAGAGTACAAAGGGCATTAATATGAAGCTCACTTCTTCAGTTGTGCTTTGAAAGCTCTGCTAAAAAAGGCTATTGTACAATTCCTTGTACCGGAGTATATAATAAGCATGAATATTTGAATTAATATTAAAATAGTGCTTATACAAGGTGGTTGATGAAAGGTGAGTGTGTTCTGCCCACCTATTGCACCCATCACAAACACACGTTGGTAAGGCAAGAGGTCACCCTAACAAACATGCAATATATGCTACAAGTCAAAATATGAATTTGCATCAGTCATCATTTTGTTCACCGGTGCTTCAAAATTAGAAGTGTCCTCCATGAAACTTTTTGAAAGTTTCACTAAAGCATTGGATACTGCAACATTGATCACAAGTTTTGAGGATGAGTCATATGATTCTCTTTGAAAGAGAGCATGTTCGATTGTACCTCAAAAGATCATCAATGTAGACACCAATGGATAGAGTTGTCATATTCACCCATGATGGCCCTGAAATTGCGCGTGCTACAAGATCATTGGATGCTTAAAAGGCCATGAATAAGAAAATCATCCCATATGCAAAGTACACATGGAACCAAGTCCTCGTGTCTTAACTATGAAAAGCAACTTTGTTGACGACCAAACCTTGTAAACGTTATGGGACGTCCATCACAAAACGTTGGTATAAGGCATTCAGTGGTCATTGGCACTGATGTGCCTCTTCCCGGGGCAAGACAGTAAACTGACTTTAAAAACAATGTGATTGAAAACAGGAACAGGTTTGGTAAATATCTGTTGACAGCGAGTTGGCGGTGCACATGTTTTGCAAATCCTGCAATCGACCGAAATCTGCAAGACAGTTTTCGAACCGGATTTCGATTTTGTTGTGTGATTTTGATAGGACTATATATAGACTCGTTAGTCCAGAACAAATGTAACTCCATAATACAAGCCTAGTTCGGCAAGGGTGGAAATTGGACTTTTATAGTCAGTTAACTCCCTTGCCTCGGGAAGATAAGTGCCAAATTTGGAAATGAGTATTTCAAAGGTGAAGTTATTCCTTTTGTCATACAATCCTATGGATAGATCTTGTGTTACATGGAATTTTATGCATATATGTGTGGGGTTTAATGGGTATCTTTTCTTTCAAGTACATTTCTTGCATGTGTCTGTCATAAACATTTTGAAAGGTGACGCAAAGAGTATTCAAATGTGAAGCTATTTCTCTTCTCATACAATCTTGTGGATAGATCTTTTATTACTCGGAATTTAATGCATAGATCTATACATAAAACAGATTCGGTGGCTCAAAAGGTCTCATTTATTTCAAGTTTATTTGGGTAAATGTGTGACAGGGAATTAGTCTATTGGGCCATTTTTTTTAAAAATATCCGATTATTGAAGTTTAACTTATACTCCTTATCCAAATTCCTGTGCTTTGGTTTTCCCAATCTTTGCAGAAATTCTTATTCATCTGCATAAAGAAACCTGTTCCGAAGGAGAGGAGCTCAAGTGGTGCCCAAGGGGATGCCTTAGGTTTGCCTACATGTTGTTTTCCAAGAGTCTACAAAGATATGCTGATGAAGCCCTGTATTTCATATATTGTTTTCCTAGTAAACTTGTGATGACATTGCTTAAATACTAGTCTATTCTACACAAACGTGTACAATATAGAACCACACTCCAACAATCAAACAGCAAAACACATCACCCTGAAGCAGATTCTCTTAAGACGAAATCACACTGATGACGACCTATTAATTAATGACAGTTATCCAGATTATTACCTAAATAGAACAGAGATGGTGGGCAAATTACCTATTCGAAAATAACTGTCAAGCAGTGTCATTGGCTAGATAATATATCATATCACTTGAGTAAACTACGCATACTATGAGTACTTACCGACACAACACATTTGACCAGCTGGACACTGGAGACCAGGTAATGGGACAGTACAGAAGGTACCAGTGGGAAAACATCCGACGCCAAGAAAATTGCATTCTGAAAATGAAGATTTGTATCATAAACAGAACTAAGTTGAACTTGGTTTCAAATGAACATTATGATTGACATTCTCTCTCGTTTCTTAAGCATAGAAACTCAGTGATAGCTAATCATTTTCCCTTCATTCAAAATGAGAATGCGAATTACATGTACTAATAGTGAATGTATTGACATTGGAGTGATATGGAAGACCTAATCAGGAAATCCTTTCACTAAAATCTCATAGATTGTGATTAATTTCCAGTCCTGAAAGTTATCATGCATTCCTTCCTAATTTACAGTTTTCCACTCCAAGACAGGATGTTGTTGTTCTTCTTCTTATTATTATTAATATTCAATCAAAGGATGTTACCACACACCATTTCATTAATGTCCTTATTTGATCATACCTTTATGTAGACATTATAGAATTCATGACATAATGGCATAATGCCATCAAGATCGATTTCAGGCAATTACTGAATACTTCTGAGTGTTTTTGAACACTGTGAAAATAAAATTATAAACTTTTATGTAAATAGACTTGTAACGTACGTGGCGAGGTAGTTGTTGTCGGTGGTGCTGAAATTGTAAACATTCCTTTCCATAATCATAAGAATTTTCTGATTCCAACTATATCATAATCATATGTCTTTGAAAAACTATAGAATAGTGATGATACCACGTGTTTGCTAGAAGGTAAGCGTTTCAGAAAACACCTGTGGTACACATCATATACACAAGCAAATACAAGTCAAGTGTTCTCCTGAATAAATACAGGAACATCAAATTGCATAGAAAAAATTCAGCAAATCGGCAGACAACATTTTTTTTCAACAAAACGTCAATTGAGGAAATGTCCTACTTATGTCCACCATAAAAGGTCTTCAAACTTGTCAGCCATCAGTATGACGCTCTTTAAGATATATTCTTGGAAAGGGCATGCACAATTCACCTCAAACATTATTCAATGCAGACGCCAAAGGTTGGGGCTGCAGGAATATTGCTTGGCATTAAGAGGCAGTTATGACAATTGCAAAGTTGAAGTCATCTCAACTCGCCTGCTTCGTATTTTGACAAATTGTCCTGAAGATAGATATGCATTTATGGTCACCAGGGTTTCAAACAAATGCCCTATGGATAAAAAAATGAAGTTTTCCCTTAAGTTTGCCATGTGGAATAACGCTGTACAAAGTCGAACAATAAAGTGTTTTGACAGGATTGAATTTGGTTCTTTTTTGAGAATGCAAAAATTCAAGACAAACCCTTATTTGTTTCAGTCTTCTGAATAAGTTTTTGTCCGTCTGAATTTGTTACTCATAAATCTAAAATATGAAACAGTTGGGGTGGTTTCACTTGGTTTTTTTTGTCAAACAATTTCTAGATCAAACAGGTAAATAAGTGAAAGGGAATATGTCTTTTGACTGAAATTCATTTATTTCAGAGCATTGAAGCTTAAGTTATGCACCTTGTCCAAAATTTCACTGTTTTGAATTCGGCAATCTGTGCAGAAATTCTTATTCCTATGCATAAAGGAACTAATCGGGAAGAAGTGGCGTGCAATCGGTGACCATAAGCGTGCCTACTTCTTGCCTGAGTGTCGTTTTTCCAAATTACACATAGATGGTGTGTATGAGAAAGGCTGTTATTTCACAAAATTGTCATCTACGTCATCTTCAGATGACATTTGCTTCAAATAATATTCTAATGCCCACACGTGAAAACATGTTAACACTCTTAATCTACCCACAGTATAACATATTCACCCTGAATCGCATAGCTATTCCCCCTGTTGCCAAGCAACATTAAACTGATAATGAAGTGTCAATACATCTTATAACCCAAATGAAATAGGAGATGAGGGGAATTATCTGTTCTATAATTAATTTATTTCGAAGAACATTGGAGAATTATGGTACACTTAATATTATCATCCCTTCACTTAAACATCATGGATTATGATGAATTATCAGGCCTGAAGGTTTTTTCAATTCATAATAAATACACAGTTGGTATCTCCACGTTAGGTTATTATTAACTACAAACGCATAACTTCTTTCAGTGGCATTTCAGTTGGTGTGATGAAGCAAGACGAGTTCTATGGATGAACAACTTCCTTATTACAAGTAGTGCGACGTTTCGGTGTGGATCCTTACACCTTTATCAAGCAAGTGATCGCGATGCTTGATAAAGGTGTTAGGATCTACACCGAAACGTCGCACCAATTGTAATAAAGTAGTTGTTCATCCACAGAACTCGTCATACTTCATTCAAACGCATGTTTGATTGTTTTAATGGAATCGGATATTATTAGCAAACATGTTTTTTTTATTTTCTAATCTCCCCTCTATATGAATATAAGTGAATTGTGCCAAGCAGCACTTAAGCCATAATGGCCGGCTGGCTGAGGTTATTATGTTGCCAATAGCATCATATGTTATGGTGTCATTGAGAATTGAGAAATGTGTTTGTGCGCAGTTGATGTATTTCTTTTAATTGACCTTAATGTAGACAGTCTTGTAACTTACGTGGCGTGGTCGTTGGTGGTGCTGAAATGGTAAAGAAGGTGCAAAGATGGCATTCATTTCTTCAATAATGGTCTACATAAAGCAAGAATACATTTCCATACCCAGCAAAGTATCTGCTAAAAGGTGAGCCCAATGTACGCTTCCAACTGTGTCAACAACATGTAGTTTTAATCAATGTGAATGTTGACCATATCAAGTGTTCGTTGAAAGGCGAGAGGGGGGAATTAATCTATTTGACCATTATTGAATTCTAGCAGATCATTGAAGCTTGAGATATACACCTTAAGTTATACAATTGTCGTGGTTTGATTTTGCCCGTCCGTGCAGAAAGCCATCAGTCTTATGCATAAAGAATCAGATCAGGGAGTAGTGGAGCACAATTTGTGTTCATGGGGATGCCTACTTCGATTTTGACAAATTGTCCTGAAGCCCTGCAGATAGATATGCATCTATGGTCACCAGGGTTTCAAACAAAAGCCCTATGGCTTAAGGAATGAAGTTTTCCCTTAATTTTGCCATTTGGAATAATGGTGTACAAAGTCGAAAAATACAATGTTTTGACAGGGTTGAACTTGGTTCTTTTCTCCGATTGCAAAAAATCAACCCAAATCCTTTTGGTTTCAGTTTTGTGAATATGTTTTTGTCCGTCTGAATTTGTTACTCAAAAATCTAAAATATGAAACAGTTGGGATGGTTTCACTTGTTGTTTTGTCAAACAATTTCTAGATCAAACAGGTAAATAAGTGAAAGGGAATTTGTCTTTTGACTGTTATTCATTTATTTCAGAGCATTGAAGCTTAAGTTATGCACCTTGTCCAAAATTTCACTGTTTTGAATTCGGCAATCTGTGCAGAAATTCTTATTCTTATGCATAAAGCAACTAATCGGGAAGAAGTGGCGCACAATCGGTGACCATAAGCATGCCTACTTCTTGCCTGAGTGTCGTATTTCCAAATTACACATAGATGGTGCGTATGAGAAAGGCTGTTATTTCACAAAATTGTCATCTACGTCATCTTCAGATGACATTTGCTTCAAATAATATTCTAATTCCCACACGTGAAAACATGTTAACGCTCTTAATCTACTCACAGTATAACATATTCACCCTGAATCGCATAGCTATTCCCCCTGTTGTCAAGCAACATTAAACTGATAATGAAGTATCATACATCTTATAACCCAAATGAAATAGGAGATGAGGGGAACTATCTGTTCTATAATTGATTTATTTCGAAGAACAATGGAGAATTATGGTACACTTAATATTATCATCCCTTCACTTAAAAATCATGGATTATGATGAATTATCAGGCCTGAAGGTTTTTTCAATTCATAATAAATACACAGTTGGTATCTCCACGTTAGGTTGTTATTAACTACAAACGCATAACTTCTTTCAGTGGCATTTCAGTTGGTGTGATGAAGCAAGACGAGTTCTATGGATGAACAACTTCCTTATTACAAGTAGTGCGACGTTTCGGTGTGGATCCTTACACCTTTATCAAGCAAGTGATCGCGATGCTTGATAAAGGTGTTAGGATCTACACCGAAACGTCGCACCAATTGTAATAAAGTAGTTGTTCATCCACAGAACTCGTCTTACTTCATTCAAACGCATGTTTGATTGTTTTAATGGAATCGGATATTATTAGCAAACATGCTTTTTTTATTTCCTTATTCTACCCTCTATATGAATATAAGTGAATTGTGCCAAGCAGCCCTTGAGCCATAATGGCCGGCTGGCTGAGGTTAACATGTTGCCAATAGCATCATATGTTATGGTGTCATTGAGAATTGAGAAATGTGTTTGTGCGCAGTCGATGTATTTCTTTTAATTGACCTTAATGTAGACAGTCTTGTAACTTACGTGGCGTGGTCGTTGGTGGTGCTGAAATGGTAAAGAAGGTGTAAAGATGGCAATCATTTCTTCAATAATGGTCCACATAAAAGCAAGAATACATTTCCATACCCAGCAAAGTATCTGCTAAAAGGTGAGCCCAATGTACGCTTCCAACTGTGTCAACAACATGTAGTTTTAATCAATGTGGAATGTTGACCATATCAAGTGTTCGTTGAACGGCGAGAGGTGGGAATTAATTTATTTGACCATTATTGATTTCTAGCAGATCATTGAAGCTTGAGATATACACCTTAAGTTATACAATTGTCGTGGTTTGATTTTGCCCGTCCGTGCAGAAAGCCATCAGTCTTATGCATAAGAGAAACAGATCAGGGAGTAGTGGAGCACAATTTGTGTTCATGGGGATGCCTACTTCGATTTTGACAAATTGTCCTGAAGCCCTGCAGATAGATATGCATCTATGGTCACCAGGGTTTCAAACAAAAGCCCTATGGCTTAAGGAATTAAGTTTTCCCTTAATTTTGCCATTTGCAAAAATTGTGTACAAAGTCGAAAAATACAATGTTTTGACAGGGTTGAACTTGGTTCTTTTCTCCGATTGCAAAAAATCAACCCAAATCCTTTTGGTTTCAGTTTTATGAATATGTTTTTGTCCGTCTGAATTCGTTACTCAAAAATCTAAAATATGAAACAGTTGGGATGGTTTCACTTGTTGTTTTTGTCAAACATCTTTCTAGATCAAACAGGTAAATAAGTGAAAGGGAATTTGTCTTTTGACTGTTATTCATTAATTTCAGAGAATTGAAGCTTAAGTTATGCACCTTGTCCAAAATTTCACTGTTTTGAATTCGGCAATCTTTGCAGAAATTCTTATTCCTATGCACAAAGCAACTAATCGGGAAGAAGTGGCGCATAATCGGTGATGCCTACTTTTCGCCTGAGTGTCGTTTTTCCAAATTTCACATAGATGGTGTGTATGAAAAAGGCTGTTATTTCAACAAAATTGTCGTCTACGTCATCTTCAGATGACATTTGCTTCAAATAATATTCTAATGCCCACACGTGTAAACATGTTAACGCTCTTAATCTACCCACAGTATAACATATTTACCCTGAATCGCATAGCTATTCCCCCTGTTACCAAGCAACATTAAACTCATTATAAAATATTAATACATCTTATAACCCAAATGAAATAGGAGATGAGGGGAATTATCTGTTCTATAATTGACTTATTTCGAAGAACATTGGAGAATACACAGTTTGTATTGCTACGGTAGGTTTTTATTAACATTCAAACGCATGTTTGATCGTTTTAATAGAATCCGATATATTAGCAAACATGCTTTTATATATTTCCTTATGCTCCCCTCTATATGCATATCAGTGAATTGTGTAAAGCAGCCATTGAGCCATAATGGCCGGCTGGCTGAGGTTCACATGTTGCCAGTAGCATCATATATTATGGTGCCATTGAGAATTGAGAAATGTATTTGTACGCAGTCCATGTATTTCTTAAATCGCCGTTAATGTAGATAGTCTTGTTACTTACGTGGCGTGGTCGTTGGTGGTGCTGAAATGGTAAAGAAGGTGTAAAGATGGCACTCATTTCTTCAATAATGGTCCACATAAAAGCAACAATACATGTCCATACCCAGCAAAGTATCTGCTAAAGGGTGAGCCTGATGTACGCTTCCAACTGTGTCAACAACCTCTGAATATACCTAGGCATCTATGGTCACCAGGGTTTCAAACAAAAGGCCTATGGATCAAGGAATGAAGTTTTCCCTTAAGTTTGTCATGTGGAATAATTGTGTAATGGTAAAGCACAAGATCGGGAAGGAAGAAGAGGGTCACAATCGTCGACCATAAGCATGCCCACATCTTGCTTGAATGTCGGATTTCCCAATTTCACATAGATGGTGTCTATGAGGAAGGCCGTCATTTCACAAAATTGTTGTCTACGTCATCTTCAGATGACATTTGCTTCAAATAGTATTTTAATGCACACACGTGAATACATATGTTAACAATCTAAATCTACCCACAGTATAGCATATGCACCCGTAATCGCATGGGTATTCCCCCTGTTGCCAAGCAACATTAAACTGATAATGAAGTATCAATACAGCTTATAACCCAGATGAAAGAGAGATGAGGGTGAATTATCTGTTCTATAATTGATTTATTTCGAAGAACATTGGAGAATTATGGTACACTTAATATTATCATCCCTTCACTTAAACATCATGGATTATGATGAATTATCAGGCCTGAAGGTTTTTTCATTAGAGAATTATGGTACATTTAATCTTGTCATCTCTTCACTCAAACCTCATGGATTATGATATACTATCAGGCCTGAAAGTTATTTTCAATTCATAATAAATACACAGTTTGTAACTACACTGTTGGTTAATAACATTCGAACGCATGTTTTTTTTTATGGAATCCGATATCATTAGCAAACATGCTTTTATTTATTTCCTTATTCTCCCCTTTATATAAGCATCAGTGAATTGTGTCAAGCATCCATTGAGCCATAATGGCCGGCTGGCTGAGGTTCATCTGTTGCCAATAGCATCATATGGTATGGTGTCAATGAGAATTGAGAAATTTATTTGCACATAGTCCATGTATTTCTTTAATTGCACTTAATGTAGATAGTCTTGTTACTTACGTGGCGTGGTCGTTGGTGGTGCTAAAATGGTAAAGAAGGTGTTCCTTCAGTAATGGTCTACATAAAAACAACAAACCATTTCTATATTCAGCAAAGTCTCTGCTAAAAGGACAGCCCAATGAATGCTTCCAACTGTATCAACAACATGGATTTGTAATCACTGTGGAATGTTGATCATTGCAGGTGTTCGTTGAAAGGCGAGAGGGGGGAATTAGTTTCTTTGACCATTATTGAATTCTAGCAGATGATTGGAGCTTGAGATATACATCTTGAGTTATACAATTGCCGTTGGTTGATTGTGACCGTCCGTGCAGAATGTCATGAGTCTTATGCATAAAGAAACAGATCAGGGAGAAGTGGAGCGCAAGTTGTGTTCACGGGGATGCCTACTTTGTGTTTGACATATTGTCCCGAACCTCTGAAGATAGATATGTATCTATGGTCACCGGAGTTTTTAACGAAACACAATGGATCAAGGAATGAAGTTTTCCCTTAAGTTTGCAATGTTGAATAATGGTGTACAAATTTGAAAAAATATTGTTTTGACAGGGTTCTGAACTTGGTTCTTTTTCTGAGATTGCAAAAAAAAAAGCCAAATCCTTATTTGCTATAGTCTTGAGGATATGCTTTTGTCCGTCTCAACTGTTTCTTATAAATAGATAATATGACGCATTTGAGGTGGCTTTATTTGTCGTGTTTATACAAAAAAAGACCTCAGGACCAAACAGGTAAATAAGTGTAAGGAAATTTGTCTTTTGAGCTGAGGATTGAGAAAATATATTTATGTAGTTTTATATTTATCTAGAACGTCTTGTAACTTATGTGGCGGGGACGTTGTGGTCGGTGGCGTTCCTAAAAGGGTAAAAAGGGTGTTAAAATGTAGCTCACTTCTTCGGTAGTGCTTTGAAGTTAAAAGCGACAAAACCCTGTCAGTAAACATGAGAAAGCTCCTCTAAAACGGGAGTCCATATTACGTTTCTTTTTACGGGACTACATAATGAGCATGAGTAGTTGAATCACTATTAAAATAGTCCTTATGCCAGGTGTTCGCAAAAAGGTGAGTGTTCTGCCCATCGATTGCACCCAACACAAACACACGCAAAGGTAAGGCAAATGTTCACCTTAACATACACGGAATAAATGCCACAAGTCAAAATATGAATTTCCATCGGTCATCGTTTTGATCACCGATGTATAAAAATAGAAGTGCCCTCCATAAAACATTTTGAATGTTTTACTTAAGCCTTGAATACTGCAACACGGATCACAAGTTTTGAGAATGAGTCATATGACACTCTTTGAAAAAAGCATGTTCGATTGTGCCTCCAAAAATGATCAATATAGACAACAAAGGATAGAGTTCCTGCAATATTACTCATCATGAAGGAAAGTTTATTGTTGAATCTTTATACACTGATCCAAATATGAAACAGATTAGGCGTCTTCACTGGTCTATTTGTTTTAGTCTCTTCTGGTAAATCAATGGCATTTGTCTATGTGACCCTTATTGAACAATATCAGATGATTGACATACCTGAAGTTTAAGTTTAACTTAATTCACGTATTTTGACTTTCCCAACCCGAAATTGATATGCATAAAGAAACAGATTAGAAAGGAGGGGATCACAATTTTAGCTTTTGCCTCATCAAATATGGTCAAACAATCACGTCTAAAAGTCCTCTGTACGAATCCTACTGCACCAACGGAAAAAAATCCACTACACCATAACACAACACACTAAAATCTGTATCATGTCCTCGTGGAACTAAGTTCTTGTGTTTTAGCTGTGAAAAACAACTTTTGTCGACGACCGAACCTTGTAAACGTTATGCGACGTCTATCTGAAAATGAGCGGTTGCATGCAACTGGAATGCTTGAAACCAGAATTGCACAAAAAGTTGGAACTAGGCATATCGGTTGTCGTTAGCAATAGACTGGAAACACTAGGGAGTAAACGTCCACGAATAACTTTACGTGATCATATCCGTCTGGTAACCTGCAAAATAAGTTTCAGAATGCACCTTTGACAACACACAACATCCTTGGCTTACTTCTGATTAGTGCAAGGAGTGTGGGGAATAGATTACTGAAGCATAACATCCAACCACAATGTTTGTACTCCTAATTTTTATACCACGTGGTCATACTGCACGTCTGGTCTTTCAAGTTATTTGATTTCTCCTATTCACGGATTAGTGGAGGTTTCTCCTTGACAGCAGTGATGGCATCTCACAAGACATCCTCAATTATCTGCGGCAATGAGGCGCCATTGTGAAGCTTGTGTCACTGCAAATGGTACTCAAACCTGATTTTAACTTGTGAAATGGCAATTGACGCCATGCCACTTTTAGCTTTATCTGATGTTTATAGAGGACACGCGTTGACATTATCATGAATTCTTGTTTCACCAGCATGACTATATTGTCCAAAATCCTTTATAATGCACCAGCACTTATTTTAAGCAAATACGAAAGAATAAGATACAAGTAATAACTGCATCGGAAAAAATCCGTATTTCATCAGACATCATATTTGTCACTGATGCGCCAAATTCGGGAAATGTCTTCCATAAACATTTTGAAAGGTGACGCAATGAGTATTTCAAAGGTGAAGTTATTCCTCTTGTCATACACTCCTGTGCATAGATCTTGTGTTGCATGAAATTTTATGCATATATATGTGCGGTTCAATGGGTATCTTTTATTTCAAGTTCATTTGGGTAAATGTGTGAATGGGAATAAGTCTATCTGACTATTATGGAATAATATTCAATTATCGAAGTTTAACTTATACATGTACTCCTCATTCCAATTCCTGTGTTTGGTTTTCCCAGTCTGCGAAGAAATTCTTTTTCATGTGCATGTATGTTCCAAAGGAAATGGGCTTAATGGGTGCCCAGGGGGATGCCTTAGTTTTGCCTAAATGTTGTTTCCCAAGAGTCCACAAAGATATGCTGATAAAGCCCTGTCCTTCAAATATTGTCTTGTCAGTAAACTTGAGATTGCATTGCGTAAATAGTATTATATCCTATACAAACCTGTACAATATAAAAACACATTGCAACAAACAAACAGTAAAACATATGAACCTGAATCAGGTTTTGTCAAGGCGAAATCAAATTAATCATGAGCATTATACAGTGTACCACCTAAATAATAGAGACTGTGGGCTGGATAACATATCATGTAACTTGAGTAAACTACGCATCCTAGGAGTACTTACCGACACAGCACATTTGGCCAGCTGGACACTGGAGACCAGGTACTGGGATATTACAGGTACCACTGGCAACACACCCGATGCCAGGAAGATTGCATTCTGAAAATGAGGAGTTGTCAAAACAGACCTTAGTTGAATTTGGTTTAATAAGAACTATATGAATGGCATTCTCCCTTATTTGGTAAGCATCAAAACTCATTGATTGGTAATAATTTTCCCTTCATTCAAAATTAGAATGTGAATAACCTGTACTAATAGTGGAAGCATTTACATTCGAGAGATATAGCAAACATAATCTTGACATCCTTTCACTAAAATCTCATAGATTGTGATGATTATTCAGTCCTAATTGTTATCTTGCATTCCTTCCAAATCTAACGTTTTCCACTCCAAGACAAAATGTTCTTATTATTATTATTATAAATTTGACCATTATTGAATTCTAGCAGATCATTGAAGCTTGAGATATACACCTTGGGTTATACAGTTGCAGTGGTTTGATTTTGCCCGTCAGTGCAGAAAGTCATGAGTCTTATGCATAAAGAAACAGATCAGGGAGTAGTGGAGCACAATTAGTGCTCATTGGGATGCCTACTTTGTTCATGACAAATTGTCCTGAACCTCTGAATATAGATATGTATCAATGGTCACCAGGGTTTCTAACAAAGGCCCTATGGATCAAAGAATGAAGTTTCCCCTTAAGTTTGTCATGTGGAATCATGGTGTACAAAGGTGAAAAAAATGTTTTGACAGGTTTGAACTTGGTTTTGTTTTGAGATTGCAAAAAATCAAGCTACATCCTTATTTGTCCCACTGTCTAGTTGATGTGTTTTTGTCCGTCTCAATGGTTACTCATAAATCCTAGATCAGACAGGTAAATTAGTGTAAGGGACTTTGTTTTTGAGCTGAGGATTGAGAAATTTATGTGAACACTTATGTAGATCATCTTGTAACTTACGTGGAGGGGGCGTTGTGGTCGGTGCTGTTCCTGAAAGAGTACAAAGGGCATTAATATGAAGCTCACTTCTTCAGTTGTGCTTTGAAAGCTCTGCTAAAAAAGGCTATTGTACAATTCCTTGTACCGGAGTATATAATAAGCATGAATATTTGAATTAATATTAAAATAGTGCTTATACAAGGTGGTTGATGAAAGGTGAGTGTGTTCTGCCCACCTATTGCACCCATCACAAACACACGTTGGTAAGGCAAGAGGTCACCCTAACAAACATGCAATATATGCTACAAGTCAAAATATGAATTTGCATCAGTCATCATTTTGTTCACCGGTGCTTCAAAATTAGAAGTGTCCTCCATGAAACTTTTTGAAAGTTTCACTAAAGCATTGGATACTGCAACATTGATCACAAGTTTTGAGGATGAGTCATATGATTCTCTTTGAAAGAGAGCATGTTCGATTGTACCTCAAAAGATCATCAATGTAGACACCAATGGATAGAGTTGTCATATTCACCCATGATGGCCCTGAAATTGCGCGTGCTACAAGATCATTGGATGCTTAAAAGGCCATGAATAAGAAAATCATCCCATATGCAAAGTACACATGGAACCAAGTCCTCGTGTCTTAACTATGAAAAGCAACTTTGTTGACGACCAAACCTTGTAAACGTTATGGGACGTCCATCACAAAACGTTGGTATAAGGCATTCAGTGGTCATTGGCACTGATGTGCCTCTTCCCGGGGCAAGACAGTAAACTGACTTTAAAAACAATGTGATTGAAAACAGGAACAGGTTTGGTAAATATCTGTTGACAGCGAGTTGGCGGTGCACATGTTTTGCAAATCCTGCAATCGACCGAAATCTGCAAGACAGTTTTCGAACCGGATTTCGATTTTGTTGTGTGATTTTGATAGGACTATATATAGACTCGTTAGTCCAGAACAAATGTAACTCCATAATACAAGCCTAGTTCGGCAAGGGTGGAAATTGGACTTTTATAGTCAGTTAACTCCCTTGCCTCGGGAAGATAAGTGCCAAATTTGGAAATGAGTATTTCAAAGGTGAAGTTATTCCTTTTGTCATACAATCCTATGGATAGATCTTGTGTTACATGGAATTTTATGCATATATGTGTGGGGTTTAATGGGTATCTTTTCTTTCAAGTACATTTCTTGCATGTGTCTGTCATAAACATTTTGAAAGGTGACGCAAAGAGTATTCAAATGTGAAGCTATTTCTCTTCTCATACAATCTTGTGGATAGATCTTTTATTACTCGGAATTTAATGCATAGATCTGTACATAAAACAGATTCGGTGGCTCAAAAGGTCTCATTTATTTCAAGTTTATTTGGGTAAATGTGTGATAGGGAATTAGTCTATTGGGCCATTTTTTTTAAATATATCCGATTATTGAAGTTTAACTTATACTCCTTATCCAAATTCCTGTGCTTTGGTTTTCCCAATCTTTGCAGAAATTCTTATTCATCTGCATAAAGAAACCTGTTCCGAAGGAGAGGAGCTCAAGTGGTGCCCAAGGGGATGCCTTAGGTTTGCCTACATGTTGTTTTCCAAGAGTCTACAAAGATATGCTGATGAAGCCCTGTATTTCATATATTGTTTTCCTAGTAAACTTGTGATGACATTGCTTAAATACTAGTCTATTCTACACAAACGTGTACAATATAGAACCACACTCCAACAATCAAACAGCAAAACACATCACCCTGAAGCAGATTCTCTTAAGACGAAATCACACTGATGACGACCTATTAATTAATGACAGTTATCCAGATTATTACCTAAATAGAACAGAGATGGTGGGCAAATTACCTTTTCGAAAATAACTGTCAAGCAGTGTCATTGGCTGGATAATATATCATATCACTTGAGTAAACTACGCATACTATGAGTACTTACCGACACAACACATTTGACCAGCTGGACACTGGAGACCAGGTAATGGGACAGTACAGAAGGTACCAGTGGGAAAACATCCGACGCCAAGAAAATTGCATTCTGAAAATGAAGATTTGTATCATAAACAGAACTAAGTTGAACTTGGTTTCAAATGAACATTATGATTGACATTCTCTCTCGTTTCTTAAGCATAGAAACTCAGTGATAGCTAATCATTTTCCCTTCATTCAAAATGAGAATGCGAATTACATGTACTAATAGTGAATGTATTGACATTGGAGTGATATGGAAGACCTAATCAGGAAATCCTTTCACTAAAATCTCATAGATTGTGATTAATTTCCAGTCCTGAAAGTTATCATGCATTCCTTCCTAATTTACAGTTTTCCACTCCAAGACAGGATGTTGTTGTTCTTCTTCTTATTATTATTAATATTCAATCAAAGGATGTTACCACACACCATTTCATTAATGTCCTTATTTGATCATACCTTTATGTAGACATTATAGAATTCATGACATAATGGCATAATGCCATCAAGATCGATTTCAGGCAATTACTGAATACTTCTGAGTGTTTTTGAACACTGTGAAAAAAAAATTATAAACTTTTATGTAAATAGACTTGTAACGTACGTGGCGAGGTAGTTGTTGTCGGTGGTGCTGAAATTGTAAACATTCCTTTCCATAATCATAAGAATTTTCTGATTCCAACTATATCATAATCATATGTCTTTGAAAAACTATAGAATAGTGATGATACCACGTGTTTGCTAGAAGGTAAGCGTTTCAGAAAACACCTGTGGTACACATCATATACACAAGCAAATACAAGTCAAGTGTTCTCCTGAATAAATACAGGAACATCAAATTGCATAGAAAAAATTCAGCAAATCGGCAGACAACATTTTTTTTCAACAAAACGTCAATTGAGGAAATGTCCTACTTATGTCCACCATAAAAGGTCTTCAAACTTGTCAGCCATCAGTATGACGCTCTTTAAGATATATTCTTGGAAAGGGCATGCACAATTCACCTCAAACATTATTCAATGCAGACGCCAAAGGTTGGGGCTGCAGGAATATTGCTTGGCATTAAGAGGCAGTTATGACAATTGCAAAATTGAAGTCATCTCAACTCGCCTGCTTCGTATTTTGACAAATTGTCCTGAAGATAGATATGCATTTATGGTCACCAGGGTTTCAAACAAATGCCCTATGGATAAAAAAATGAAGTTTTCCCTTAAGTTTGCCATGTGGGATAACGCTGTACAAAGTCGAACAATACAGTGTTTTGACAGGATTGAATTTGGTTCTTTTTTGAGAATGCAAAAATTCAAGACAAACCCTTATTTGTTTCAGTCTTCTGAATAAGTTTTTGTCCGTCTGAATTTGTTACTCATAAATCTAAAATATGAAACAGTTGGGGTGGTTTCACTTGGTTTTTTTTGTCAAACAATTTCTAGATCAAACAGGTAAATAAGTGAAAGGGAATATGTCTTTTGACTGAAATTCATTTATTTCAGAGCATTGAAGCTTAAGTTATGCACCTTGTCCAAAATTTCACTGTTTTGAATTCGGCAATCTGTGCAGAAATTCTTATTCCTATGCATAAAGGAACTAATCGGGAAGAAGTGGCGTGCAATCGGTGACCATAAGCGTGCCTACTTCTTGCCTGAGTGTCGTTTTTCCAAATTACACATAGATGGTGTGTATGAGAAAGGCTGTTATTTCACAAAATTGTCATCTACGTCATCTTCAGATGACATTTGCTTCAAATAATATTCTAATGCCCACACGTGAAAACATGTTAACACTCTTAATCTACCCACAGTATAACATATTCACCCTGAATCGCATAGCTATTCCCCCTGTTGCCAAGCAACATTAAACTGATAATGAAGTGTCAATACATCTTATAACCCAAATGAAATAGGAGATGAGGGGAATTATCTGTTCTATAATTGATTTATTTCGAAGAACATTGGAGAATTATGGTACACTTAATATTATCATCCCTTCACTTAAACATCATGGATTATGATGAATTATCAGGCCTGAAGGTTTTTTCAATTCATAATAAATACACAGTTGGTATCTCCACGTTAGGTTGTTATTAACTACAAACGCATAACTTCTTTCAGTGGCATTTCAGTTGGTGTGATGAAGCAAGACGAGTTCTATGGATGAACAACTTCCTTATTACAAGTAGTGCGACGTTTCGGTGTGGATCCTTACACCTTTATCAAGCAAGTGATCGCGATGCTTGATAAAGGTGTTAGGATCTACACCGAAACGTCGCACCAATTGTAATAAAGTAGTTGTTCATCCACAGAACTCGTCATACTTCATTCAAACGCATGTTTGATTGTTTTAATGGAATCGGATATTATTAGCAAACATGTTTTTTTTATATTCTAATCTCCCCTCTATATGAATATAAGTGAATTGTGCCAAGCAGCGCTTAAGCCATAATGGCCGGCTGGCTGAGGTTAACATGTTGCCAATAGCATCATATGTTATGGTGTCATTGAGAATTGAGAAATGTGTTTGTGCGCAGTCGATGTATTTCTTTTAATTGACCTTAATGTAGACAGTCTTGTAACTTACGTGGCGTGGTCGTTGGTGGTGCTGAAATGGTAAAGAAGGTGTAAAGATGGCAATCATTTCTTCAATAATGGTCCACATAAAAGCAAGAATACATTTCCATACCCAGCAAAGTATCTGCTAAAAGGTGAGCCCAATGTACGCTTCCAACTGTGTCAACAACATGTAGTTTTAATCAATGTGGAATGTTGACCATATCAAGTGTTCGTTGAACGGCGAGAGGTGGGAATTAATTTATTTGACCATTATTGATTTCTAGCAGATCATTGAAGCTTGAGATATACACCTTAAGTTATACAATTGTCGTGGTTTGATTTTGCCCGTCCGTGCAGAAAGCCATCAGTCTTATGCATAAGAGAAACAGATCAGGGAGTAGTGGAGCACAATTTGTGTTCATGGGGATGCCTACTTCGATTTTGACAAATTGTCCTGAAGCCCTGCAGATAGATATGCATCTATGGTCACCAGGGTTTCAAACAAAAGCCCTATGGCTTAAGGAATGAAGTTTTCCCTTAATTTTGCCATTTGGAATAATGGTGTACAAAGTCGAAAAATACAATGTTTTGACAGGGTTGAACTTGGTTCTTTTCTCCGATTGCAAAAAATCAACCCAAATCCTTTTGGTTTCAGTTTTGTGAATATGTTTTTGTCCGTCTGAATTTGTTACTCAAAAATCTAAAATATGAAACAGTTGGGATGGTTTCACTTGTTGTTTTGTCAAACAATTTCTAGATCAAACAGGTAAATAAGTGAAAGGGAATTTGTCTTTTGACTGTTATTCATTTATTTCAGAGCATTGAAGCTTAAGTTATGCACCTTGTCCAAAATTTCACTGTTTTGAATTCGGCAATCTGTGCAGAAATTCTTATTCTTATGCATAAAGCAACTAATCGGGAAGAAGTGGCGCGCAATCGGTGACCATAAGCATGCCTACTTCTTGCCTGAGTGTCGTATTTCCAAATTACACATAGATGGTGCGTATGAGAAAGGCTGTTATTTCACAAAATTGTCATCTACGTCATCTTCAGATGACATTTGCTTCAAATAATATTCTAATTCCCACACGTGAAAACATGTTAACGCTCTTAATCTACTCACAGTATAACATATTCACCCTGAATCGCATAGCTATTCCCCCTGTTGTCAAGCAACATTAAACTGATAATGAAGTATCATACATCTTATAACCCAAATGAAATAGGAGATGAGGGGAACTATCTGTTCTATAATTGATTTATTTCGAAGAACATTGGAGAATTATGGTACACTTAATATTATCATCCCTTCACTTAAAAATCATGGATTATGATGAATTATCAGGCCTGAAGGTTTTTTCAATTCATAATAAATACACAGTTGGTATCTCCACGTTAGGTTGTTATTAACTACAAACGCATAACTTCTTTCAGTGGCATTTCAGTTGGTGTGATGAAGCAAGACGAGTTCTATGGATGAACAACTTCCTTATTACAAGTAGTGCGACGTTTCGGTGTGGATCCTTACACCTTTATCAAGCAAGTGATCGCGATGCTTGATAAAGGTGTTAGGATCTACACCGAAACGTCGCACCAATTGTAATAAAGTAGTTGTTCATCCACAGAACTCGTCTTACTTCATTCAAACGCATGTTTGATTGTTTTAATGGAATCGGATATTATTAGCAAACATGCTTTTTTTATTTCCTTATTCTACCCTCTATATGAATATAAGTGAATTGTGCCAAGCAGCCCTTGAGCCATAATGGCCGGCTGGCTGAGGTTAACATGTTGCCAATAGCATCATATGTTATGGTGTCATTGAGAATTGAGAAATGTGTTTGTGCGCAGTCGATGTATTTCTTTTAATTGACCTTAATGTAGACAGTCTTGTAACTTAAGTGGCGTGGTCGTTGGTGGTGCTGAAATGGTAAAGAAGGTGTAAAGATGGCAATCATTTCTTCAATAATGGTCCACATAAAAGCAAGAATACATTTCCATACCCAGCAAAGTATCTGCTAAAAGGTGAGCCCAATGTACGCTTCCAACTGTGTCAACAACATGTAGTTTTAATCAATGTGGAATGTTGACCATATCAAGTGTTCGTTGAACGGCGAGAGGTGGGAATTAATTTATTTGACCATTATTGATTTCTAGCAGATCATTGAAGCTTGAGATATACACCTTAAGTTATACAATTGTCGTGGTTTGATTTTGCCCGTCCGTGCAGAAAGCCATCAGTCTTATGCATAAGAGAAACAGATCAGGGAGTAGTGGAGCACAATTTGTGTTCATGGGGATGCCTACTTCGATTTTGACAAATTGTCCTGAAGCCCTGCAGATAGATATGCATCTATGGTCACCAGGGTTTCAAACAAAAGCCCTATGGCTTAAGGAATGAAGTTTTCCCTTAATTTTGCCATTTGGAATAATGGTGTACAAAGTCGAAAAATACAATGTTTTGACAGGGTTGAACTTGGTTCTTTTCTCCGATTGCAAAAAATCAACCCAAATCCTTTTGGTTTCAGTTTTGTGAATATGTTTTTGTCCGTCTGAATTTGTTACTCAAAAATCTAAAATATGAAACAGTTGGGATGGTTTCACTTGTTGTTTTGTCAAACAATTTCTAGATCAAACAGGTAAATAAGTGAAAGGGAATTTGTCTTTTGACTGTTATTCATTTATTTCAGAGCATTGAAGCTTTAGTTATGCACCTTGTCCAAAATTTCACTGTTTTGAATTCGGCAATCTGTGCAGAAATTCTTATTCTTATGCATAAAGCAACTAATCGGGAAGAAGTGGCGCGCAATCGGTGACCATAAGCATGCCTACTTCTTGCCTGAGTGTCGTATTTCCAAATTACACATAGATGGTGCGTATGAGAAAGGCTGTTATTTCACAAAATTGTCATCTACGTCATCTTCAGATGACATTTGCTTCAAATAATATTCTAATTCCCACACGTGAAAACATGTTAACGCTCTTAATCTACTCACAGTATAACATATTCACCCTGAATCGCATAGCTATTCCCCCTGTTGTCAAGCAACATTAAACTGATAATGAAGTATCATACATCTTATAACCCAAATGAAATAGGAGATGAGGGGAACTATCTGTTCTATAATTGATTTATTTCGAAGAACATTGGAGAATTATGGTACACTTAATATTATCATCCCTTCACTTAAAAATCATGGATTATGATGAATTATCAGGCCTGAAGGTTTTTTCAATTCATAATAAATACACAGTTGGTATCTCCACGTTAGGTTGTTATTAACTACAAACGCATAACTTCTTTCAGTGGCATTTCAGTTGGTGTGATGAAGCAAGACGAGTTCTATGGATGAACAACTTCCTTATTACAAGTAGTGCGACGTTTCGGTGTGGATCCTTACACCTTTATCAAGCAAGTGATCGCGATGCTTGATAAAGGTGTTAGGATCTACACCGAAACGTCGCACCAATTGTAATAAAGTAGTTGTTCATCCACAGAACTCGTCTTACTTCATTCAAACGCATGTTTGATTGTTTTAATGGAATCGGATATTATTAGCAAACATGCTTTTTTTATTTCCTTATTCTACCCTCTATATGAATATAAGTGAATTGTGCCAAGCAGCCCTTGAGCCATAATGGCCGGCTGGCTGAGGTTAACATGTTGCCAATAGCATCATATGTTATGGTGTCATTGAGAATTGAGAAATGTGTTTGTGCGCAGTCGATGTATTTCTTTTAATTGACCTTAATGTAGACAGTCTTGTAACTTACGTGGCGTGGTCGTTGGTGGTGCTGAAATGGTAAAGAAGGTGTAAAGATGGCAATCATTTCTTCAATAATGGTCCACATAAAAGCAAGAATACATTTCCATACCCAGCAAAGTATCTGCTAAAAGGTGAGCCCAATGTACGCTTCCAACTGTGTCAACAACATGTAGTTTTAATCAATGTGGAATGTTGACCATATCAAGTGTTCGTTGAAAGGCGAGAGGTGGGAATTAATTTATTTGACCATTATTGATTTCTAGCAGATCATTGAAGCTTGAGATATACACCTTAAGTTATACAATTGTCGTGGTTTGATTTTGCCCGTCCGTGCAGAAAGCCATCAGTCTTATGCATAAGAGAAACAGATCAGGGAGTAGTGGAGCACAATTTGTGTTCATGGGGATGCCTACTTCGATTTTGACAAATTGTCCTGAAGCCCTGCAGATAGATATGCATCTATGGTCACCAGGGTTTCAAACAAAAGCCCTATGGCTTAAGGAATTAAGTTTTCCCTTAATTTTGCCATTTGCAAAAATTGTGTACAAAGTCGAAAAATACAATGTTTTGACAGGGTTGAACTTGGTTCTTTTCTCCGATTGCAAAAAATCAACCCAAATCCTTTTGGTTTCAGTTTTGTGAATATGTTTTTGTCCGTCTGAATTTGTTACTCAAAAATCTAAAATATGAAACAGTTGGGATGGTTTCACTTGTTGTTTTTGTCAAACATCTTTCTAGATCAAACAGGTAAATAAGTGAAAGGGAATTTGTCTTTTGACTGTTATTCATTAATTTCAGAGAATTGAAGCTTAAGTTATGCACCTTGTCCAAAATTTCACTGTTTTGAATTCGGCAATCTTTGCAGAAATTCTTATTCCTATGCACAAAGCAACTAATCGGGAAGAAGTGGCGCATAATCGGTGATGCCTACTTTTCGCCTGAGTGTCGTTTTTCCAAATTTCACATAGATGGTGTGTATGAAAAAGGCTGTTATTTCAACAAAATTGTCGTCTACGTCATCTTCAGATGACATTTGCTTCAAATAATATTCTAATGCCCACACGTGTAAACATGTTAACGCTCTTAATCTACCCACAGTATAACATATTTACCCTGAATCGCATAGCTATTCCCCCTGTTACCAAGCAACATTAAACTCATTATAAAATATTAATACATCTTATAACCCAAATGAAATAGGAGATGAGGGGAATTATCTGTTCTATAATTGACTTATTTCGAAGAACATTGGAGAATACACAGTTTGTATTGCTACGGTAGGTTTTTATTAACATTCAAACGCATGTTTGATCGTTTTAATAGAATCCGATATATTAGCAAACATGCTTTTATATATTTCCTTATGCTCCCCTCTATATGCATATCAGTGAATTGTGTAAAGCAGCCATTGAGCCATAATGGCCGGCTGGCTGAGGTTCACATGTTGCCAGTAGCATCATATATTATGGTGCCATTGAGAATTGAGAAATGTATTTGTACGCAGTCCATGTATTTCTTAAATCGCCGTTAATGTAGATAGTCTTGTTACTTACGTGGCGTGGTCGTTGGTGGTGCTGAAATGGTAAAGAAGGTGTAAAGATGGCACTCATTTCTTCAATAATGGTCCACATAAAAGCAACAATACATGTCCATACCCAGCAAAGTATCTGCTAAAGGGTAAGCCTGATGTACGCTTCCAACTGTGTCAACAACCTCTGAATATACCTAGGCATCTATGGTCACCAGGGTTTCAAACAAAAGGCCTATGGATCAAGGAATGAAGTTTTCCCTTAAGTTTGTCATGTGGAATAATTGTGTAATGGTAAAGCACAAGATCGGGAAGGAAGAAGAGGGTCACAATCGTCGACCATAAGCATGCCCACATCTTGCTTGAATGTCGGATTTCCCAATTTCACATAGATGGTGTCTATGAGGAAGGCCGTCATTTCACAAAATTGTTGTCTACGTCATCTTCAGATGACATTTGCTTCAAATAGTATTTTAATGCACACACGTGAATACATATGTTAACAATCTAAATCTACCCACAGTATAGCATATGCACCCGTAATCGCATGGGTATTCCCCCTGTTGCCAAGCAACATTAAACTGATAATGAAGTATCAATACAGCTTATAACCCAGATGAAAGAGAGATGAGGGTGAATTATCTGTTCTATGATTGATTTATTTCGAAGAACATTGGAGAATTATGGTACACTTAATATTATCATCCCTTCACTTAAACATCATGGATTATGATGAATTATCAGGCCTGAAGGTTTTTTCATTAGAGAATTATGGTACATTTAATCTTGTCATCTCTTCACTCAAACCTCATGGATTATGATATACTATCAGGCCTGAAAGTTATTTTCAATTCATAATAAATACACAGTTTGTAACTACACTGTTGGTTAATAACATTCGAACGCATGTTTTTTTTATGGAATCCGATATCATTAGCAAACATGCTTTTATTTATTTCCTTATTCTCCCCTTTATATAAGCATCAGTGAATTGTGTCAAGCATCCATTGAGCCATAATGGCCGGCTGGCTGAGGTTCATCTGTTGCCAATAGCATCATATGGTATGGTGTCAATGAGAATTGAGAAATTTATTTGCACATAGTCCATGTATTTCTTTAATTGCACTTAATGTAGATAGTCTTGTTACTTACGTGGCGTGGTCGTTGGTGGTGCTAAAATGGTAAAGAAGGTGTTCCTTCAGTAATGGTCTACATAAAAACAACAAACCATTTCTATATTCAGCAAAGTCTCTGCTAAAAGGACAGCCCAATGAATGCTTCCAACTGTATCAACAACATGGATTTGTAATCACTGTGGAATGTTGATCATTGCAGGTGTTCGTTGAAAGGCGAGAGGGGGGAATTAGTTTCTTTGACCATTATTGAATTCTAGCAGATGATTGGAGCTTGAGATATACATCTTGAGTTATACAATTGCCGTTGGTTGATTGTGACCGTCCGTGCAGAATGTCATGAGTCTTATGCATAAAGAAACAGATCAGGGAGAAGTGGAGCGCAAGTTGTGTTCACGGGGATGCCTACTTTGTGTTTGACATATTGTCCCGAACCTCTGAAGATAGATATGTATCTATGGTCACCGGAGTTTTTAACAAAACACAATGGATCAAGGAATGAAGTTTTCCCTTAAGTTTGCAATGTTGAATAATGGTGTACAAATTTGAAAAAATATTGTTTTGACAGGGTTCTGAACTTGGTTCTTTTTCTGAGATTGCAAAAAAAAAAGCCAAATCCTTATTTGCTATAGTCTTGAGGATATGCTTTTGTCCGTCTCAACTGTTTCTTATAAATAGATAATATGACGCATTTGAGGTGGCTTTATTTGTCGTGTTTATACAAAAAAAGACCTCAGGACCAAACAGGTAAATAAGTGTAAGGAAATTTGTCTTTTGAGCTGAGGATTGAGAAAATATATTTATGTAGTTTTATATTTATCTAGAACGTCTTGTAACTTATGTGGCGGGGACGTTGTGGTCGGTGGCGTTCCTAAAAGGGTAAAAAGGGTGTTAAAATGTAGCTCACTTCTTCGGTAGTGCTTTGAAGTTAAAAGCGACAAAACCCTGTCAGTAAACATGAGAAAGCTCCTCTAAAACGGGAGTCCATATTACGTTTCTTTTTACGGGACTACATAATGAGCATGAGTAGTTGAATCACTATTAAAATAGTCCTTATGCCAGGTGTTCGCAAAAAGGTGAGTGTTCTGCCCATCGATTGCACCCAACACAAACACACGCAAAGGTAAGGCAAATGTTCACCTTAACATACACGGAATAAATGCCACAAGTCAAAATATGAATTTCCATCGGTCATCGTTTTGATCACCGATGTATAAAAATAGAAGTGCCCTCCATAAAACATTTTGAATGTTTTACTTAAGCCTTGAATACTGCAACACGGATCACAAGTTTTGAGAATGAGTCATATGACACTCTTTGAAAAAAGCATGTTCGATTGTGCCTCCAAAAATGATCAATATAGACAACAAAGGATAGAGTTCCTGCAATATTACTCATCATGAAGGAAAGTTTATTGTTGAATCTTTATACACTGATCCAAATATGAAACAGATTAGGCGTCTTCACTGGTCTATTTGTTTTAGTCTCTTCTGGTAAATCAATTGCATTTGTCTATGTGACCCTTATTGAACAATATCAGATGATTGACATACCTGAAGTTTAAGTTTAACTTAATTCACGTATTTTGACTTTCCCAACCCGAAATTGATATGCATAAAGAAACAGATTAGAAAGGAGGGGATCACAATTTTAGCTTTTGCCTCATCAAATATGGTCAAACAATCACGTCTAAAAGTCCTCTGTACGAATCCTACTGCACCAACGGAAAAAAATCCACTACACCATAACACAACACACTAAAATCTGTATCATGTCCTCGTGGAACTAAGTTCTTGTGTTTTAGCTGTGAAAAACAACTTTTGTCGACGACCGAACCTTGTAAACGTTATGCGACGTCTATCTGAAAATGAGCGGTTGCATGCAACTGGAATGCTTGAAACCAGAATTGCACAAAAAGTTGGAACTAGGCATATCGGTTGTCGTTAGCAATAGACTGGAAACACTAGGGAGTAAACGTCCACGAATAACTTTACGTGATCATATCCGTCTGGTAACCTGCAAAATCGGTTTCAGAATGCACCTTTGACAACACACAACATCCTTGGCTTACTTCTGATTAGTGCAAGGAGTGTGGGGAATAGATTACTGAAGCATAACATCCAACCACAATGTTTGTACTCCTAATTTTTATACCACGTGGTCATACTGCACGTCTGGTCTTTCAAGTTATTTGATTTCTCCTATTCAAGGATTAGTGGAGGTTTCTCCTTGACAGCAGTGATGGCATCTCACAAGACATCCTCAATTATCTGCGGCAATGAGGCGCCATTGTGAAGCTTGTGTCACTGCAAATGGTACTCAAACCTGATTTTAACTTGTGAAATGGCAATTGACGCCATGCCACTTTTAGCTTTATCTGATGTTTATAGAGGACACGCGTTGACATTATCATGAATTCTTGTTTCACCAGCATGACTATATTGTCCAAAATCCTTTATAATGCACCAGCACTTATTTTAAGCAAATACGAAAGAATAAGATACAAGTAATAACTGCATCGGAAAAAATCCGTATTTCATCAGACATCATATTTGTCACTGATGCGCCAAATTCGGGAAATGTCTTCCATAAACATTTTGAAAGGTGACGCAATGAGTATTTCAAAGGTGAAGTTATTCCTCTTGTCATACACTCCTGTGCATAGATCTTGTGTTGCATGAAATTTTATGCATATATATGTGCGGTTCAATGGGTATCTTTTATTTCAAGTTCATTTGGGTAAATGTGTGAATGGGAATAAGTCTATCTGACTATTATGGAATAATATTCAATTATCGAAGTTTAACTTATACATGTACTCCTCATTCCAATTCCTGTGTTTGGTTTTCCCAGTCTGCGAAGAAATTCTTTTTCATGTGCATGTATGTTCCAAAGGAAATGGGCTTAATGGGTGCCCAGGGGGATGCCTTAGTTTTGCCTAAATGTTGTTTCCCAAGAGTCCACAAAGATATGCTGATAAAGCCCTGTCCTTCAAATATTGTCTTGTCAGTAAACTTGAGATTGCATTGCGTAAATAGTATTATATCCTATACAAACCTGTACAATATAAAAACACATTGCAACAAACAAACAGTAAAACATATGAACCTGAATCAGGTTTTGTCAAGGCGAAATCAAATTAATCATGAGCATTATACAGTGTACCACCTAAATAATAGAGACTGTGGGCTGGATAACATATCATGTAACTTGAGTAAACTACGCATCCTAGGAGTACTTACCGACACAGCACATTTGGCCAGCTGGACACTGGAGACCAGGTACTGGGATATTACAGGTACCACTGGCAACACACCCGATGCCAGGAAGATTGCATTCTGAAAATGAGGAGTTGTCAAAACAGACCTTAGTTGAATTTGGTTTAATAAGAACTATATGAATGGCATTCTCCCTTATTTGGTAAGCATCAAAACTCATTGATTGGTAATAATTTTCCCTTCATTCAAAATTAGAATGTGAATAACCTGTACTAATAGTGGAAGCATTTACATTCGAGAGATATAGCAAACATAATCTTGACATCCTTTCACTAAAATCTCATAGATTGTGATGATTATTCAGTCCTAATTGTTATCTTGCATTCCTTCCAAATCTAACGTTTTCCACTCCAAGACAAAATGTTCTTATTATTATTATTATAAATTTGACCATTATTGAATTCTAGCAGATCATTGAAGCTTGAGATATACACCTTGGGTTATACAGTTGCAGTGGTTTGATTTTGCCCGTCAGTGCAGAAAGTCATGAGTCTTATGCATAAAGAAACAGATCAGGGAGTAGTGGAGCACAATTAGTGCTCATTGGGATGCCTACTTTGTTCATGACAAATTGTCCTGAACCTCTGAATATAGATATGTATCAATGGTCACCAGGGTTTCTAACAAAGGCCCTATGGATCAAAGAATGAAGTTTCCCCTTAAGTTTGTCATGTGGAATCATGGTGTACAAAGGTGAAAAAAATGTTTTGACAGGTTTGAACTTGGTTTTGTTTTGAGATTGCAAAAAATCAAGCTACATCCTTATTTGTCCCACTGTCTAGTTGATGTGTTTTTGTCCGTCTCAATGGTTACTCATAAATCCTAGATCAGACAGGTAAATTAGTGTAAGGGACTTTGTTTTTGAGCTGAGGATTGAGAAATTTATGTGAACACTTATGTAGATCATCTTGTAACTTACGTGGAGGGGGCGTTGTGGTCGGTGCTGTTCCTGAAAGAGTACAAAGGGCATTAATATGAAGCTCACTTCTTCAGTTGTGCTTTGAAAGCTCTGCTAAAAAAGGCTATTGTACAATTCCTTGTACCGGAGTATATAATAAGCATGAATATTTGAATTAATATTAAAATAGTGCTTATACAAGGTGGTTGATGAAAGGTGAGTGTGTTCTGCCCACCTATTGCACCCATCACAAACACACGTTGGTAAGGCAAGAGGTCACCCTAACAAACATGCAATATATGCTACAAGTCAAAATATGAATTTGCATCAGTCATCATTTTGTTCACCGGTGCTTCCAAATTAGAAGTGTCCTCCATGAAACTTTTTGAAAGTTTCACTAAAGCATTGGATACTGCAACATTGATCACAAGTTTTGAGGATGAGTCATATGATTCTCTTTGAAAGAGAGCATGTTCGATTGTACCTCAAAAGATCATCAATGTAGACACCAATGGATAGAGTTGTCATATTCACCCATGATGGCCCTGAAATTGCGCGTGCTACAAGATCATTGGATGCTTAAAAGGCCATGAATAAGAAAATCATCCCATATGCAAAGTACACATGGAACCAAGTCCTCGTGTCTTAACTATGAAAAGCAACTTTGTTGACGACCAAACCTTGTAAACGTTATGGGACGTCCATCACAAAACGTTGGTATAAGGCATTCAGTGGTCATTGGCACTGATGTGCCTCTTCCCGGGGCAAGACAGTAAACTGACTTTAAAAACAATGTGATTGAAAACAGGAACAGGTTTGGTAAATATCTGTTGACAGCGAGTTGGCGGTGCACATGTTTTGCAAATCCTGCAATCGACCGAAATCTGCAAGACAGTTTTCGAACCGGATTTCGATTTTGTTGTGTGATTTTGATAGGACTATATATAGACTCGTTAGTCCAGAACAAATGTAACTCCATAATACAAGCCTAGTTCGGCAAGGGTGGAAATTGGACTTTTATAGTCAGTTAACTCCCTTGCCTCGGGAAGATAAGTGCCAAATTTGGAAATGAGTATTTCAAAGGTGAAGTTATTCCTTTTGTCATACAATCCTATGGATAGATCTTGTGTTACATGGAATTTTATGCATATATGTGTGGGGTTTAATGGGTATCTTTTCTTTCAAGTACATTTCTTGCATGTGTCTGTCATAAACATTTTGAAAGGTGACGCAAAGAGTATTCAAATGTGAAGCTATTTCTCTTCTCATACAATCTTGTGGATAGATCTTTTATTACTCGGAATTTAATGCATAGATCTGTACATAAAACAGATTCGGTGGCTCAAAAGGTCTCATTTATTTCAAGTTTATTTGGGTAAATGTGTGATAGGGAATTAGTCTATTGGGCCATTTTTTTTAAAAATATCCGATTATTGAAGTTTAACTTATACTCCTTATCCAAATTCCTGTGCTTTGGTTTTCCCAATCTTTGCAGAAATTCTTATTCATCTGCATAAAGAAACCTGTTCCGAAGGAGAGGAGCTCAAGTGGTGCCCAAGGGGATGCCTTAGGTTTGCCTACATGTTGTTTTCCAAGAGTCTACAAAGATATGCTGATGAAGCCCTGTATTTCATATATTGTTTTCCTAGTAAACTTGTGATGACATTGCTTAAATACTAGTCTATTCTACACAAACGTGTACAATATAGAACCACACTCCAACAATCAAACAGCAAAACACATCACCCTGAAGCAGATTCTCTTAAGACGAAATCACACTGATGACGACCTATTAATTAGTGACAGTTATCCAGATTATTACCTAAATAGAACAGAGATGGTGGGCAAATTACCTTTTCGAAAATAACTGTCAAGCAGTGTCATTGGCTGGATAATATATCATATCACTTGAGTAAACTACGCATACTATGAGTACTTACCGACACAACACATTTGACCAGCTGGACACTGGAGACCAGGTAATGGGACAGTACAGAAGGTACCAGTGGGAAAACATCCGACGCCAAGAAAATTGCATTCTGAAAATGAAGATTTGTATCATAAACAGAACTAAGTTGAACTTGGTTTCAAATGAACATTATGATTGACATTCTCTCTCGTTTCTTAAGCATAGAAACTCAGTGATAGCTAATCATTTTCCCTTCATTCAAAATGAGAATGCGAATTACATGTACTAATAGTGAATGTATTGACATTGGAGTGATATGGAAGACCTAATCAGGAAATCCTTTCACTAAAATCTCATAGATTGTGATTAATTTCCAGTCCTGAAAGTTATCATGCATTCCTTCCTAATTTACAGTTTTCCACTCCAAGACAGGATGTTGTTGTTCTTCTTCTTATTATTATTAATATTCAATCAAAGGATGTTACCACACACCATTTCATTAATGTCCTTATTTGATCATACCTTTATGTAGACATTATAGAATTCATGACATAATGGCATAATGCCATCAAGATCGATTTCAGGCAATTACTGAATACTTCTGAGTGTTTTTGAACACTGTGAAAAAAAAATTATAAACTTTTATGTAAATAGACTTGTAACGTACGTGGCGAGGTAGTTGTTGTCGGTGGTGCTGAAATTGTAAACATTCCTTTCCATAATCATAAGAATTTTCTGATTCCAACTATATCATAATCATATGTCTTTGAAAAACTATAGAATAGTGATGATACCACGTGTTTGCTAGAAGGTAAGCGTTTCAGAAAACACCTGTGGTACACATCATATACACAAGCAAATACAAGTCAAGTATTCTCCTGAATAAATACAGGAACATCAAATTGCATAGAAAAAATTCAGCAAATCGGCAGACAACATTTTTTTTCAACAAAACGTCAATTGAGGAAATGTCCTACTTATGTCCACCATAAAAGGTCTTCAAACTTGTCAGCCATCAGTATGACGCTCTTTAAGATATATTCTTGGAAAGGGCATGCACAATTCACCTAAAACATTATTCAATGCAGACGCCAAAGGTTGGGGCTGCAGGAATATTGCTTGGCATTAAGAGGCAGTTATGACAATTGCAAAGTTGAAGTCATCTCAACTCGCCTGCTTCGTATTTTGACAAATTGTCCTGAAGATAGATATGCATTTATGGTCACCAGGGTTTCAAACAAATGCCCTATGGATAAAAAAATGAAGTTTTCCCTTAAGTTTGCCATGTGGAATAACGCTGTACAAAGTCGAACAATACAGTGTTTTGACAGGATTGAATTTGGTTCTTTTTTGAGAATGCAAAAATTCAAGACAAACCCTTATTTGTTTCAGTCTTCTGAATAAGTTTTTGTCCGTCTGAATTTGTTACTCATAAATCTAAAATATGAAAAAGTTGGGGTGGTTTCACTTGGTTTTTTTTGTCAAACAATTTCTAGATCAAACAGGTAAATAAGTGAAAGGGAATATGTCTTTTGACTGAAATTCATTTATTTCAGAGCATTGAAGCTTAAGTTATGCACCTTGTCCAAAATTTCACTGTTTTGAATTCGGCAATCTGTGCAGAAATTCTTATTCCTATGCATAAAGGAACTAATCGGGAAGAAGTGGCGTGCAATCGGTGACCATAAGCGTGCCTACTTCTTGCCTGAGTGTCGTTTTTCCAAATTACACATAGATGGTGTGTATGAGAAAGGCTGTTATTTCACAAAATTGTCATCTACGTCATCTTCAGATGACATTTGCTTCAAATAATATTCTAATGCCCACACGTGAAAACATGTTAACACTCTTAATCTACCCACAGTATAACATATTCACCCTGAATCGCATAGCTATTCCCCCTGTTGTCAAGCAACATTAAACTGATAATGAAGTATCATACATCTTATAACCCAAATGAAATAGGAGATGAGGGGAACTATCTGTTCTATAATTGATTTATTTCGAAGAACATTGGAGAATTATGGTACACTTAGTATTATCATCCCTTCACTTAAAAATCATGGATTATGATGAATTATCAGGCCTGAAGGTTTTTTCAATTCATAATAAATACACAGTTGGTATCTCCACGTTAGGTTGTTATTAACTACAAACGCATAACTTCTTTCAGTGGCATTTCAGTTGGTGTGATGAAGCAAGACGAGTTCTATGGATGAACAACTTCCTTATTACAAGTAGTGCGACGTTTCGGTGTGGATCCTTACACCTTTATCAAGCAAGTGATCGCGATGCTTGATAAAGGTGTTAGGATCTACACCGAAACGTCGCACCAATTGTAATAAAGTAGTTGTTCATCCACAGAACTCGTCTTACTTCATTCAAACGCATGTTTGATTGTTTTAATGGAATCGGATATTATTAGCAAACATGCTTTTTTTATTTCCTTATTCTACCCTCTATATGAATATAAGTGAATTGTGCCAAGCAGCCCTTGAGCCATAATGGCCGGCTGGCTGAGGTTAACATGTTGCCAATAGCATCATATGTTATGGTGTCATTGAGAATTGAGAAATGTGTTTGTGCGCAGTCGATGTATTTCTTTTAATTGACCTTAATGTAGACAGTCTTGTAACTTACGTGGCGTGGTCGTTGGTGGTGCTGAAATGGTAAAGAAGGTGTAAAGATGGCAATCATTTCTTCAATAATGGTCCACATAAAAGCAAGAATACATTTCCATACCCAGCAAAGTATCTGCAAAAAGGTGAGCCCAATGTACGCTTCCAACTGTGTCAACAACATGTAGTTTTAATCAATGTGGAATGTTGACCATATCAAGTGTTCGTTGAACGGCGAGAGGTGGGAATTAATTTATTTGACCATTATTGATTTCTAGCAGATCATTGAAGCTTGAGATATACACCTTAAGTTATACAATTGTCGTGGTTTGATTTTGCCCGTCCGTGCAGAAAGCCATCAGTCTTATGCATAAGAGAAACAGATCAGGGAGTAGTGGAGCACAATTTGTGTTCATGGGGATGCCTACTTCGATTTTGACAAATTGTCCTGAAGCCCTGCAGATAGATATGCATCTATGGTCACCAGGGTTTCAAACAAAAGCCCTATGGCTTAAGGAATGAAGTTTTCCCTTAATTTTGCCATTTGGAATAATGGTGTACAAAGTCGAAAAATACAATGTTTTGACAGGGTTGAACTTGGTTCTTTTCTCCGATTGCAAAAAATCAACCCAAATCCTTTTGGTTTCAGTTTTGTGAATATGTTTTTGTCCGTCTGAATTTGTTACTCAAAAATCTAAAATATGAAACAGTTGGGATGGTTTCACTTGTTGTTTTGTCAAACAATTTCTAGATCAAACAGGTAAATAAGTGAAAGGGAATTTGTCTTTTGACTGTTATTCATTTATTTCAGAGCATTGAAGCTTTAGTTATGCACCTTGTCCAAAATTTCACTGTTTTGAATTCGGCAATCTGTGCAGAAATTCTTATTCTTATGCATAAAGCAACTAATCGGGAAGAAGTGGCGCGCAATCGGTGACCATAAGCATGCCTACTTCTTGCCTGAGTGTCGTATTTCCAAATTACACATAGATGGTGCGTATGAGAAAGGCTGTTATTTCACAAAATTGTCATCTACGTCATCTTCAGATGACATTTGCTTCAAATAATATTCTAATTCCCACACGTGAAAACATGTTAACGCTCTTAATCTACTCACAGTATAACATATTCACCCTGAATCGCATAGCTATTCCCCCTGTTGTCAAGCAACATTAAACTGATAATGAAGTATCATACATCTTATAACCCAAATGAAATAGGAGATGAGGGGAACTATCTGTTCTATAATTGATTTATTTCGAAGAACATTGGAGAATTATGGTACACTTAATATTATCATCCCTTCACTTAAAAATCATGGATTATGATGAATTATCAGGCCTGAAGGTTTTTTCAATTCATAATAAATACACAGTTGGTATCTCCACGTTAGGTTGTTATTAACTACAAACGCATAACTTCTTTCAGTGGCATTTCAGTTGGTGTGATGAAGCAAGACGAGTTCTATGGATGAACAACTTCCTTATTACAAGTAGTGCGACGTTTCGGTGTGGATCCTTACACCTTTATCAAGCAAGTGATCGCGATGCTTGATAAAGGTGTTAGGATCTACACCGAAACGTCGCACCAATTGTAATAAAGTAGTTGTTCATCCACAGAACTCGTCTTACTTCATTCAAACGCATGTTTGATTGTTTTAATGGAATCGGATATTATTAGCAAACATGCTTTTTTTATTTCCTTATTCTACCCTCTATATGAATATAAGTGAATTGTGCCAAGCAGCCCTTGAGCCATAATGGCCGGCTGGCTGAGGTTAACATGTTGCCAATAGCATCATATGTTATGGTGTCATTGAGAATTGAGAAATGTGTTTGTGCGCAGTCGATGTATTTCTTTTAATTGACCTTAATGTAGACAGTCTTGTAACTTACGTGGCGTGGTCGTTGGTGGTGCTGAAATGGTAAAGAAGGTGTAAAGATGGCAATCATTTCTTCAATAATGGTCCACATAAAAGCAAGAATACATTTCCATACCCAGCAAAGTATCTGCTAAAAGGTGAGCCCAATGTACGCTTCCAACTGTGTCAACAACATGTAGTTTTAATCAATGTGGAATGTTGACCATATCAAGTGTTCGTTGAACGGCGAGAGGTGGGAATTAATTTATTTGACCATTATTGATTTCTAGCAGATCATTGAAGCTTGAGATATACACCTTAAGTTATACAATTGTCGTGGTTTGATTTTGCCCGTCCGTGCAGAAAGCCATCAGTCTTATGCATAAGAGAAACAGATCAGGGAGTAGTGGAGCACAATTTGTGTTCATGGGGATGCCTACTTCGATTTTGACAAATTGTCCTGAAGCCCTGCAGATAGATATGCATCTATGGTCACCAGGGTTTCAAACAAAAGCCCTATGGCTTAAGGAATGAAGTTTTCCCTTAATTTTGCCATTTGGAATAATGGTGTACAAAGTCGAAAAATACAATGTTTTGACAGGGTTGAACTTGGTTCTTTTCTCCGATTGCAAAAAATCAACCCAAATCCTTTTGGTTTCAGTTTTGTGAATATGTTTTTGTCCGTCTGAATTTGTTACTCAAAAATCTAAAATATGAAACAGTTGGGATGGTTTCACTTGTTGTTTTGTCAAACAATTTCTAGATCAAACAGGTAAATAAGTGAAAGGGAATTTGTCTTTTGACTGTTATTCATTTATTTCAGAGCATTGAAGCTTAAGTTATGCACCTTGTCCAAAATTTCACTGTTTTGAATTCGGCAATCTGTGCAGAAATTCTTATTCTTATGCATAAAGCAACTAATCGGGAAGAAGTGGCGCGCAATCGGTGACCATAAGCATGCCTACTTCTTGCCTGAGTGTCGTATTTCCAAATTACACATAGATGGTGCGTATGAGAAAGGCTGTTATTTCACAAAATTGTCATCTACGTCATCTTCAGATGACATTTGCTTCAAATAATATTCTAATTCCCACACGTGAAAACATGTTAACGCTCTTAATCTACTCACAGTATAACATATTCACCCTGAATCGCATAGCTATTCCCCCTGTTGTCAAGCAACATTAAACTGATAATGAAGTATCATACATCTTATAACCCAAATGAAATAGGAGATGAGGGGAACTATCTGTTCTATAATTGATTTATTTCGAAGAACATTGGAGAATTATGGTACACTTAATATTATCATCCCTTCACTTAAAAATCATGGATTATGATGAATTATCAGGCCTGAAGGTTTTTTCAATTCATAATAAATACACAGTTGGTATCTCCACGTTAGGTTGTTATTAACTACAAACGCATAACTTCTTTCAGTGGCATTTCAGTTGGTGTGATGAAGCAAGACGAGTTCTATGGATGAACAACTTCCTTATTACAAGTAGTGCGACGTTTCGGTGTGGATCCTTACACCTTTATCAAGCAAGTGATCGCGATGCTTGATAAAGGTGTTAGGATCTACACCGAAACGTCGCACCAATTGTAATAAAGTAGTTGTTCATCCACAGAACTCGTCTTACTTCATTCAAACGCATGTTTGATTGTTTTAATGGAATCGGATATTATTAGCAAACATGCTTTTTTTATTTCCTTATTCTACCCTCTATATGAATATAAGTGAATTGTGCCAAGCAGCCCTTGAGCCATAATGGCCGGCTGGCTGAGGTTAACATGTTGCCAATAGCATCATATGTTATGGTGTCATTGAGAATTGAGAAATGTGTTTGTGCGCAGTCGATGTATTTCTTTTAATTGACCTTAATGTAGACAGTCTTGTAACTTACGTGGCGTGGTCGTTGGTGGTGCTGAAATGGTAAAGAAGGTGTAAAGATGGCAATCATTTCTTCAATAATGGTCCACATAAAAGCAAGAATACATTTCCATACCCAGCAAAGTATCTGCAAAAAGGTGAGCCCAATGTACGCTTCCAACTGTGTCAACAACATGTAGTTTTAATCAATGTGGAATGTTGACCATATCAAGTGTTCGTTGAACGGCGAGAGGTGGGAATTAATTTATTTGACCATTATTGATTTCTAGCAGATCATTGAAGCTTGAGATATACACCTTAAGTTATACAATTGTCGTGGTTTGATTTTGCCCGTCCGTGCAGAAAGCCATCAGTCTTATGCATAAGAGAAACAGATCAGGGAGTAGTGGAGCACAATTTGTGTTCATGGGGATGCCTACTTCGATTTTGACAAATTGTCCTGAAGCCCTGCAGATAGATATGCATCTATGGTCACCAGGGTTTCAAACAAAAGCCCTATGGCTTAAGGAATGAAGTTTTCCCTTAATTTTGCCATTTGGAATAATGGTGTACAAAGTCGAAAAATACAATGTTTTGACAGGGTTGAACTTGGTTCTTTTCTCCGATTGCAAAAAATCAACCCAAATCCTTTTGGTTTCAGTTTTGTGAATATGTTTTTGTCCGTCTGAATTTGTTACTCAAAAATCTAAAATATGAAACAGTTGGGATGGTTTCACTTGTTGTTTTGTCAAACAATTTCTAGATCAAACAGGTAAATAAGTGAAAGGGAATTTGTCTTTTGACTGTTATTCATTTATTTCAGAGCATTGAAGCTTAAGTTATGCACCTTGTCCAAAATTTCACTGTTTTGAATTCGGCAATCTGTGCAGAAATTCTTATTCTTATGCATAAAGCAACTAATCGGGAAGAAGTGGCGCGCAATCGGTGACCATAAGCATGCCTACTTCTTGCCTGAGTGTCGTATTTCCAAATTACACATAGATGGTGCGTATGAGAAAGGCTGTTATTTCACAAAATTGTCATCTACGTCATCTTCAGATGACATTTGCTTCAAATAATATTCTAATTCCCACACGTGAAAACATGTTAACGCTCTTAATCTACTCACAGTATAACATATTCACCCTGAATCGCATAGCTATTCCCCCTGTTGTCAAGCAACATTAAACTGATAATGAAGTATCATACATCTTATAACCCAAATGAAATAGGAGATGAGGGGAACTATCTGTTCTATAATTGATTTATTTCGAAGAACATTGGAGAATTATGGTACACTTAATATTATCATCCCTTCACTTAAAAATCATGGATTATGATGAATTATCAGGCCTGAAGGTTTTTTCAATTCATAATAAATACACAGTTGGTATCTCCACGTTAGGTTGTTATTAACTACAAACGCATAACTTCTTTCAGTGGCATTTCAGTTGGTGTGATGAAGCAAGACGAGTTCTATGGATGAACAACTTCCTTATTACAAGTAGTGCGACGTTTCGGTGTGGATCCTTACACCTTTATCAAGCAAGTGATCGCGATGCTTGATAAAGGTGTTAGGATCTACACCGAAACGTCGCACCAATTGTAATAAAGTAGTTGTTCATCCACGGAACTCGTCTTACTTCATTCAAACGCATGTTTGATTGTTTTAATGGAATCGGATATTATTAGCAAACATGCTTTTTTTATTTCCTTATTCTACCCTCTATATGAATATAAGTGAATTGTGCCAAGCAGCCCTTGAGCCATAATGGCCGGCTGGCTGAGGTTAACATGTTGCCAATAGCATCATATGTTATGGTGTCATTGAGAATTGAGAAATGTGTTTGTGCGCAGTCGATGTATTTCTTTTAATTGACCTTAATGTAGACAGTCTTGTAACTTACGTGGCGTGGTCGTTGGTGGTGCTGAAATGGTAAAGAAGGTGTAAAGATGGCAATCATTTCTTCAATAATGGTCCACATAAAAGCAAGAATACATTTCCATACCCAGCAAAGTATCTGCTAAAAGGTGAGCCCAATGTACGCTTCCAACTGTGTCAACAACATGTAGTTTTAATCAATGTGGAATGTTGACCATATCAAGTGTTCGTTGAACGGCGAGAGGTGGGAATTAATTTATTTGACCATTATTGATTTCTAGCAGATCATTGAAGCTTGAGATATACACCTTAAGTTATACAATTGTCGTGGTTTGATTTTGCCCGTCCGTGCAGAAAGCCATCAGTCTTATGCATAAGAGAAACAGATCAGGGAGTAGTGGAGCACAATTTGTGTTCATGGGGATGCCTACTTCGATTTTGACAAATTGTCCTGAAGCCCTGCAGATAGATATGCATCTATGGTCACCAGGGTTTCAAACAAAAGCCCTATGGCTTAAGGAATGAAGTTTTCCCTTAATTTTGCCATTTGGAATAATGGTGTACAAAGTCGAAAAATACAATGTTTTGACAGGGTTGAACTTGGTTCTTTTCTCCGATTGCAAAAAATCAACCCAAATCCTTTTGGTTTCAGTTTTGTGAATATGTTTTTGTCCGTCTGAATTTGTTACTCAAAAATCTAAAATATGAAACAGTTGGGATGGTTTCACTTGTTGTTTTGTCAAACAATTTCTAGATCAAACAGGTAAATAAGTGAAAGGGAATTTGTCTTTTGACTGTTATTCATTTATTTCAGAGCATTGAAGCTTAAGTTATGCACCTTGTCCAAAATTTCACTGTTTTGAATTCGGCAATCTGTGCAGAAATTCTTATTCTTATGCATAAAGCAACTAATCGGGAAGAAGTTGCGTGCAATCGGTGACCATAAGCATGCCTACTTCTTGCCTGAGTGTCGTATTTCCAAATTACACATAGATGGTGCGTATGAGAAAGGCTGTTATTTCACAAAATTGTCATCTACGTCATCTTCAGATGACATTTGCTTCAAATAATATTCTAATTCCCACACGTGAAAACATGTTAACGCTCTTAATCTACTCACAGTATAACATATTCACCCTGAATCGCATAGCTATTCCCCCTGTTGTCAAGCAACATTAAACTGATAATGAAGTATCATACATCTTATAACCCAAATGAAATAGGAGATGAGGGGAACTATCTGTTCTATAATTGATTTATTTCGAAGAACATTGGAGAATTATGGTACACTTAATATTATCATCCCTTCACTTAAAAATCATGGATTATGATGAATTATCAGGCCTGAAGGTTTTTTCAATTCATAATAAATACACAGTTGGTATCTCCACGTTAGGTTGTTATTAACTACAAACGCATAACTTCTTTCAGTGGCATTTCAGTTGGTGTGATGAAGCAAGACGAGTTCTATGGATGAACAACTTCCTTATTACAAGTAGTGCGACGTTTCGGTGTGGATCCTTACACCTTTATCAAGCAAGTGATCGCGATGCTTGATAAAGGTGTTAGGATCTACACCGAAACGTCGCACCAATTGTAATAAAGTAGTTGTTCATCCACAGAACTCGTCTTACTTCATTCAAACGCATGTTTGATTGTTTTAATGGAATCGGATATTATTAGCAAACATGCTTTTTTTATTTCCTTATTCTACCCTCTATATGAATATAAGTGAATTGTGCCAAGCAGCCCTTGAGCCATAATGGCCGGCTGGCTGAGGTTAACATGTTGCCAATAGCATCATATGTTATGGTGTCATTGAGAATTGAGAAATGTGTTTGTGCGCAGTCGATGTATTTCTTTTAATTGACCTTAATGTAGACAGTCTTGTAACTTACGTGGCGTGGTCGTTGGTGGTGCTGAAATGGTAAAGAAGGTGTAAAGATGGCAATCATTTCTTCAATAATGGTCCACATAAAAGCAAGAATACATTTCCATACCCAGCAAAGTATCTGCTAAAAGGTGAGCCCAATGTACGCTTCCAACTGTGTCAACAACATGTAGTTTTAATCAATGTGGAATGTTGACCATATCAAGTGTTCGTTGAACGGCGAGAGGTGGGAATTAATTTATTTGACCATTATTGATTTCTAGCAGATCATTGAAGCTTGAGATATACACCTTAAGTTATACAATTGTCGTGGTTTGATTTTGCCCGTCCGTGCAGAAAGCCATCAGTCTTATGCATAAGAGAAACAGATCAGGGAGTAGTGGAGCACAATTTGTGTTCATGGGGATGCCTACTTCGATTTTGACAAATTGTCCTGAAGCCCTGCAGATAGATATGCATCTATGGTCACCAGGGTTTCAAACAAAAGCCCTATGGCTTAAGGAATTAAGTTTTCCCTTAATTTTGCCATTTGCAAAAATTGTGTACAAAGTCGAAAAATACAATGTTTTGACAGGGTTGAACTTGGTTCTTTTCTCCGATTGCAAAAAATCAACCCAAATCCTTTTGGTTTCAGTTTTGTGAATATGTTTTTGTCCGTCTGAATTTGTTACTCAAAAATCTAAAATATGAAACAGTTGGGATGGTTTCACTTGTTGTTTTTGTCAAACATCTTTCTAGATCAAACAGGTAAATAAGTGAAAGGGAATTTGTCTTTTGACTGTTATTCATTAATTTCAGAGAATTGAAGCTTAAGTTATGCACCTTGTCCAAAATTTCACTGTTTTGAATTCGGCAATCTTTGCAGAAATTCTTTTTCCTATGCACAAAGCAACTAATCGGGAAGAAGTGGCGCATAATCGGTGATGCCTACTTTTCGCCTGAGTGTCGTTTTTCCAAATTTCACATAGATGGTGTGTATGAAAAAGGCTGTTATTTCAACAAAATTGTCGTCTACGTCATCTTCAGATGACATTTGCTTCAAATAATATTCTAATGCCCACACGTGTAAACATGTTAACGCTCTTAATCTACCCACAGTATAACATATTTACCCTGAATCGCATAGCTATTCCCCCTGTTACCAAGCAACATTAAACTCATTATAAAATATTAATACATCTTATAACCCAAATGAAATAGGAGATGAGGGGAATTATCTGTTCTATAATTGACTTATTTCGAAGAACATTGGAGAATACACAGTTTGTATTGCTACGGTAGGTTTTTATTAACATTCAAACGCATGTTTGATCGTTTTAATAGAATCCGATATATTAGCAAACATGCTTTTATATATTTCCTTATGCTCCCCTCTATATGCATATCAGTGAATTGTGTAAAGCAGCCATTGAGCCATAATGGCCGGCTGGCTGAGGTTCACATGTTGCCAGTAGCATCATATATTATGGTGCCATTGAGAATTGAGAAATGTATTTGTACGCAGTCCATGTATTTCTTAAATCGCCGTTAATGTAGATAGTCTTGTTACTTACGTGGCGTGGTCGTTGGTGGTGCTGAAATGGTACAGAAGGTGTAAAGATGGCACTCATTTCTTCAATAATGGTCCACATAAAAGCAACAATACATGTCCATACCCAGCAAAGTATCTGCTAAAGGGTAAGCCTGATGTACGCTTCCAACTGTGTCAACAACCTCTGAATATACCTAGGCATCTATGGTCACCAGGGTTTCAAACAAAAGGCCTATGGATCAAGGAATGAAGTTTTCCCTTAAGTTTGTCATGTGGAATAATTGTGTAATGGTAAAGCACAAGATCGGGAAGGAAGAAGAGGGTCACAATCGTCGACCATAAGCATGCCCACATCTTGCTTGAATGTCGGATTTCCCAATTTCACATAGATGGTGTCTATGAGGAAGGCCGTCATTTCACAAAATTGTTGTCTACGTCATCTTCAGATGACATTTGCTTCAAATAGTATTTTAATGCACACACGCGAATACATATGTTAACAATCTCAATCTACCCACAGTATAGCATATGCACCCGTAATCGCATGGGTATTCCCCCTGTTGCCAAGCAACATTAAACTGATAATGAAGTATCAATACAGCTTATAACCCAGATGAAAGAGAGATGAGGGTGAATTATCTGTTCTATAATTGATTTATTTCGAAGAACATTGGAGAATTATGGTACACTTAATATTATCATCCCTTCACTTAAACATCATGGATTATGATGAATTATCAGGCCTGAAGGTTTTTTCATTAGAGAATTATGGTACATTTAATCTTGTCATCTCTTCACTCAAACCTCATGGATTATGAGGCCTGAAAGTTATTTTCAATTCATAATAAATACACAGTTTGTAACTACACTGTTGGTTAATAACATTCGAACGCATGTTTTTTTTATGGAATCCGATATCATTAGCAAACATGCTTTTATTTATTTCCTTATTCTCCCCTTTATATAAGCATCAGTGAATTGTGTCAAGCATCCATTGAGCCATAATGGCCGGCTGGCTGAGGTTCATCTGTTGCCAATAGCATCATATGGTATGGTGTCAATGAGAATTGAGAAATTTATTTGCACATAGTCCATGTATTTCTTTAATTGCACTTAATGTAGATAGTCTTGTTACTTACGTGGCGTGGTCGTTGGTGGTGCTAAAATGGTAAAGAAGGTGTTCCTTCAGTAATGGTCTACATAAAAACAACAAACCATTTCTATATTCAGCAAAGTCTCTGCTAAAAGGACAGCCCAATGAATGCTTCCAACTGTATCAACAACATGGATTTGTAATCACTGTGGAATGTTGATCATTGCAGGTGTTCGTTGAAAGGCGAGAGGGGGGAATTAGTTTCTTTGACCATTATTGAATTCTAGCAGATGATTGGAGCTTGAGATATACATCTTGAGTTATACAATTGCCGTTGGTTGATTGTGACCGTCCGTGCAGAATGTCATGAGTCTTATGCATAAAGAAACAGATCAGGGAGAAGTGGAGCACAAGTTGTGTTCACGGGGATGCCTACTTTGTGTTTGACATATTGTCCCGAACCTCTGAAGATAGATATGTATCTATGGTCACCGGAGTTTTTAACAAAACACAATGGATCAAGGAATGAAGTTTTCCCTTAAGTTTGCAATGTTGAATAATGGTGTACAAATTTGAAAAAATATTGTTTTGACAGGGTTCTGAACTTGGTTCTTTTTCTGAGATTGCAAAAAAAAAAGCCAAATCCTTATTTGCTATAGTCTTGAGGATATGCTTTTGTCCGTCTCAACTGTTTCTTATAAATAGATAATATGACGCATTTGAGGTGGCTTTATTTGTCGTGTTTATACAAAAAAAGACCTCAGGACCAAACAGGTAAATAAGTGTAAGGAAATTTGTCTTTTGAGCTGAGGATTGAGAAAATATATTTATGTAGTTTTATATTTATCTAGAACGTCTTGTAACTTATGTGGCGGGGACGTTGTGGTCGGTGGCGTTCCTAAAAGGGTAAAAAGGGTGTTAAAATGTAGCTCACTTCTTCGGTAGTGCTTTGAAGTTAAAAGCGACAAAACCCTGTCAGTAAACATGAGAAAGCTCCGCTAAAACGGGAGTCCATATTACGTTTCTTTTTACGGGACTACATAATGAGCATGAGTAGTTGAATCACTATTAAAATAGTCCTTATGCCAGGTGTTCGCAAAAAGGTGAGTGTTCTGCCCATCGATTGCACCCAACACAAACACACGCAAAGGTAAGGCAAATGTTCACCTTAACATACACGGAATAAATGCCACAAGTCAAAATATGAATTTCCATCGGTCATCGTTTTGATCACCGATGTATAAAAATAGAAGTGCCCTCCATAAAACATTTTGAATGTTTTACTTAAGCCTTGAATACTGCAACACGGATCACAAGTTTTGAGAATGAGTCATATGACACTCTTTGAAAAAAGCATGTTCGATTGTGCCTCCAAAAATGATCAATATAGACAACAAAGGATAGAGTTCCTGCAATATTACTCATCATGAAGGAAAGTTTATTGTTGAATCTTTATACACTGATCCAAATATGAAACAGATTAGGCGTCTTCACTGGTCTATTTGTTTTAGTCTCTTCTGGTAAATCAATGGCATTTGTCTATGTGACCCTTATTGAACAATATCAGATGATTGACATACCTGACGTTTAAGTTTAACTTAATTCACGTATTTTGACTTTCCCAACCCGAAATTGATATGCATAAAGAAACAGATTAGAAAGGAGGGGATCACAATTTTAGCTTTTGCCTCATCAAATATGGTCAAACAATCACGTCTAAAAGTCCTCTGTACGAATCCTACTGCACCAACGGAAAAAAATCCACTACACCATAACACAACACACTAAAATCTGTATCATGTCCTCGTGGAACTAAGTTCTCGTGTTTTAGCTGTGAAAAACAACTTTTGTCGACGACCGAACCTTGTAAACGTTATGCGACGTCTATCTGAAAATGAGCGGTTGCATGCAACTGGAATGCTTGAAACCAGAATTGCACAAAAAGTTGGAACTAGGCATATCGGTTGTCGTTAGCAATAGACTGGAAACACTAGGGAGTAAACGTCCACGAATAACTTTACGTGATCATATCCGTCTGGTAACCTGCAAAATAAGTTTCAGAATGCACCTTTGACAACACACAACATCCTTGGCTTACTTCTGATTAGTGCAAGGAGTGTGGGGAATAGATTACTGAAGCATAACATCCAACCACAATGTTTGTACTCCTAATTTTTATACCACATGGTCATACTGCTCGTCTGGTCTTTCAAGTTATTTGATTTCTCCTATTCACGGATTAGTGGAGGTTTCTCCTTGACAGCAGTGATGGCATCTCACAAGACATCCTCAATTATCTGCGGCAATGAGGCGCCATTGTGAAGCTTGTGTCACTGCAAATGGTACTCAAACCTGATTTTAACTTGTGAAATGGCAATTGACGCCATGCCACTTTTAGCTTTATCTGATGTTTATAGAGGACACGCGTTGACATTATCATGAATTCTTGTTTCACCAGCATGACTATATTGTCCAAAATCCTTTATAATGCACCAGCACTTATTTTAAGCAAATACGAAAGAATAAGATACAAGTAATAACTGCATCGGAAAAAATCCGTATTTCATCAGACATCATATTTGTCACTGATGCGCCAAATTCGGGAAATGTCTTCCATAAACATTTTGAAAGGTGACGCAATGAGTATTTCAAAGGTGAAGTTATTCCTCTTGTCATACACTCCTGTGCATAGATCTTGTGTTGCATGAAATTTTATGCATATATATGTGCGGTTCAATGGGTATCTTTTATTTCAAGTTCATTTGGGTAAATGTGTGAATGGGAATAAGTCTATCTGACTATTATGGAATAATATTCAATTATCGAAGTTTAACTTATACATGTACTCCTCATTCCAATTCCTGTGTTTGGTTTTCCCAGTCTGCGAAGAAATTCTTTTTCATGTGCATGTATGTTCCAAAGGAAATGGGCTTAATGGGTGCCCAGGGGGATGCCTTAGTTTTGCCTAAATGTTGTTTCCCAAGAGTCCACAAAGATATGCTAATAAAGCCCTGTCCTTCAAATATTGTCTTGTCAGTAAACTTGAGATTGCATTGCGTAAATAGTATTATATCCTATACAAACCTGTACAATATAAAAACACATTGCAACAAACAAACAGTAAAATATATGAACCTGAATCAGGTTTTGTCAAGGCGAAATCAAATTGATCATGAGCATTATACAGTGTACTACCTAAATAATAGAGATTGTGGGCTGGATAACCCATCATGTAACTTGAGTAAACTACGCATCCTAGGAGTACTTACCAACACAGCACATTTGACCAGCTGGACACTGGAGACCAGATACTGGGATATTACAGGTACCACTGGCAACACACCCGATGCCAGGAAGATTGCATTCTGAAAATGAGGAGTTGTCAAAACAGACCTTAGTTGAATTTGGTTTAATAAGAACTATATGAATGGCATTCTCCCTTATTTGGTAAGCATCAAAACTCATTGATTGGTAATAATTTTCCCTTCATTCAAAATTAGAATGTGAATTACCTGTACTAATAGTGGATGCATTTACATTCGAGAGATATGGAAAACATAATCTTGACATCCTTTCACTAAAATCTCATAGATTGTGATGATTATTCAGTCCTGAAAGTTATCTTGCATTCCTTCCAAATTTAACGTTTTCCACTCCAAGACAGGATGTTGTTATTATTATTATAAATTTGACCATTATTGAATTCTAGCAGATCAATGAAGCTTGAGATATACACCTTGGGTTATACAGTTGCAGTGGTTTGATTTTGCCCGTCCGAGCAGAAAGTCATGGGTCTTAGGCATAAAGAAACAGATCAGGGAGTAGTGGAGCACAATTAGTGCTCATGGGGATGCCTACTTTTTTCATGACAAATTGTCCTGAACCTCTGAATATAGATATGTATCAATGGTCACCAGGGTTTCCAACAAAGGCCCTATGGATCAAGGAATGAAGTTTCCCCTTAAGTTTGTCATGTGGAATCATGGTGTACAAAGGTGGAAAAAATGTTTTGACAGGTTTGAACCTTGTTTTGTTTTGAGATTGCAAAAAATCAAGCTAATCCTTATTTGTCCCACTGTCTAGTGGATGTGTTTTTGTCCGTCTCAATTGTTACTCATAAATCCTAGATCAGACAGGTAAATTAGTGTAAGGGACTTTGTTTTTTGAGCTGAGGATTGAGAAATTTATGTGAACACTAATGTAGATCATCTTGTAACTTACGTGGCGGGGGCGTTGTGGTCGGTGGCGTTCCTGAAAGAGTACAAAGGGCATTAATATGAAGCTCACTTCTTCAGTAGTACTTTGAAAGCTCTGCTAAAAAAGGCTATTGTACAATTCCTTGTACCGGAGTATATAATAAGCATGAATATTTGAATTAATATTAAAATAGTGCTTATACAAGGTGGTTGATGAAAGGTGAGTGTGTTCTGCCCACCTATTGCACCCATCACACACACACGTTGGTACGGCAAGAGGTCACCCTAACAAACACGCAATATATGCCACAAGTCAAAATATGAATTTGCATCCGTCATCATTTTGTTCACCGGTGCTTCAAAATTAGAAGTGTACTCCATGAAACTTTTTGAAAGTTTCACTAAAGCATTGGATACTGCAACATCGATCACAAGTTTTGAGGATGAGTCATATGACTCTCTTTGAAAGAGAGCATGTTCGATTGTACCTCAAAAGATCATCAATGTAGACACCAATGGATAGAGTTGTCATATTCACCCATGATGGCCCTGAAATTGCGCGTGCTACAAGATCATTGGATGCTTAAAAGGCCATGAATAAGAAAATCATCCCATATGCAAAGTACACATGGAACCAAGTCCTCGTGTCTTAACTATGAAAAGCAACTTTGTTGACGACCAAACCTTGTAAACGTTATGGGACGTCCATCACAAAACGTTGGTATAAGGCATTTCTGTGGTCGTTTGGCACTGATGTGCCTCTTCCCGAGGCAAGACAGTAAACTGACTTTAAAAGTCAAGTTTCCACTCTTGCCGAACTATGCTGGAATTCCTGGGGTCGATCGTAGCGCCACCAGTGGTTATTATGAGTTATGATCCTTCTGAGCCTCTCCAATCGACCAACCGATTCCATTACTTGAATTTGTTTCAAACAAAATGGCGGCGACCAGTCAAGACGATCTGATCGATTACAAAGATCTATAGTGTTATAAAACGGGTCTTACATCGCCAAGTGCATCAAATCACGCGAGCAACTTGATTGAAAACAGGAACAGGTTTGGAAAATATCTGTTGACAACGAGTTGGCGTCGCACAAATTTTGCAAATCCTGCAATCGACCAAAATCTGCACGAAAGTTTTCGAACCGGAATTCGATTTTGTTGTGTGATTTTGATTGGACTATATATAGACTCGTTAGTCCAGACCAAATGTAACTCCATAATAACAGCCTAGTTCGGCAAGGGTGGGGTTAAATGGGTATCTTTTATTTCAAGTGCATTTCTTGCATGTGTCTACCATAAACATTTTGAAAGGTGACGCAATGAGTATTTCAAAGGTGAAGTTATTCCTCTTGCCATACACTCCTGTGGATAGATCTTGTGTTGCATGAAATTTTATGCATATATATGTGCGGTTCAATGGGTATCTTTTATTTCAAGTTCATTTGGGTAAATGTGTGAATGGGAATAAGTCTATCTGACTATTATGGCATAATATCCAATTATCGAAGTTTAACTTATACATGTACTCCTCATTCAAATTCCTGTGTTTGGTTTGCCCAGTCTGCGAAGAAATTCTTTTTCATGTGCATGTATATTCCAAAGGAGATGGGCTTAATGGGTGCCCAGGGGGGATGCCTTAGTTTTGCCTAAATGTTGTTTCCCAAGAGTCCACAAAGATATGCTGATAAAGCCCTGTCCTTCAAATATTGTCTTGTCAGTAAACTTGAGATTGCATTGCGTAAATAATATTATATCCTATACAAACCTGTACAATATAAAAACACATTGCAACAAACAAACAGTAAAACATATGAACCTGAATCAGGTTTTGTCAAGGCGAAATCAAATTGATCATGAGCATTATACAGTGTACTACCTAAATAATAGAGATTGTTGGCTGGATAACACATCATGTAACTTGAGTAAAATACGCATCCTAGGAGTACTTACCAACACAGCACATTTGACCAGCTGGACACTGGAGACCAGATACTGGGATATCACAGGTACCACTGGCAACACACCCGATGCCAGGAAGATTACATTCTGAAAATGAGGAGTTGTCAAAACAGACCTTAGTTGAATTTGGTTTAATAAGAACTATATGAATGGCATTCTCCCTTATTTGGTAAGCATCAAAACTCACTGATTGGTAATAATTTTCCCTTCATTCAAAATTAGAATGTGAATTACCTGTACTAATAGTGGATGCATTTACATTCGAGAGATATGGAAAACATAATCTTGACATCCTTTCACTAAATTCTCATAGATTGTGTTGATTATTCAGTCCTGAAAGTTATCTTGCATTCCTTCCAAATTTAACGTTTTCCACTCCAAGACAGGATGTTGTTATTATTATTATTATAAATTTGACCATTATTGAATTCTAGCAGATCAATGAAGCTTGAGATATACACCTTGGGTTATACAGTTGCAATGGTTTGATTTTGCCCGTCCGAGCAGAAAGTCATGGGTCTTAGGCATAAAGAAACAGATCAGGGAGTAGTGGAGCACAATTAGTGCTCATGGGGGTGCCTACTTTGTTCATGACAAATTGTCCTGAACCTCTGAATATAGACATGTATCAATGGTCACCAGGGTTTCAAACAAAAGCCCTATGGCTTAAGGAATGAAGTTTCCCCTTAAGTTTGTCATGTGGAATCAGGGTGTACAAAGGTGGAAAAAATGTTTTGACAGGTTTGAACCTGGTTTTGTTTTGAGATTGCAAAAAATCAAGCTAATCCTTATTTGTCCCACTGTCTAGTGGATGTGTTTTTGTCCGTCTCAATTGTTACTCATAAATCCTAGATCAGACAGGTAAATTAGTGTAAGGGACTTTGTTTTTTGAGCTGAGGATTGAGAAATTTATGTGAACACTTATGTAGATCATCTTGTAACTTACGTGGCGGGGGCGTTGTGGTCGGTGGCGTTCCTGAAAGAGTACAAAGGGCATTAATATGAAGCTCACTTCTTCAGTAGTGCTTTGAAAGCTCTGCTAAAAAAGGCCATTGTACGATTCCTTGTACCGGAGTATATAATAAGCATGAATATTTGAATTAATATTAAAATAGTGCTTATACAAGGTGGTTGATGAAAGGTGAGTGTGTTCTGCCCACCTATTGCACCCATCACACACACACGTTGGTACGGCAAGAGGTCACCCTAACAAACACGCAATATATGCCACAAGTCAAAATATGAATTTGCATCCGTCATCATTTTGTTCACCGGTGCTTCAAAATTAGAAGTGTACTCCATGAAACTTTTTGAAAGTTTCACTAAAGCATTGGATACTGCAACATCGATCACAAGTTTTGAGGATGAGTCATATGACTCTCTTTGAAAGAGAGCATGTTCGATTGTACCTCAAAAGATCATCAATGTAGACACCAATGGATAGAGTTGTCATATTCACCCATGATGGCCCTGAAATTGCGCGTGCTACAAGATCATTGGATGCTTAAAAGGCCATGAATAAGAAAATCATCCCATATGCAAAGTACACATGGAACCAAGTCCTCGTGTCTTAACTATGAAAAGCAACTTTGTTGACGACCAAACCTTGTAAACGTTATGGGACGTCCATCACAAAACGTTGGTATAAGGCATTTCTGTGGTCGTTTGGCACTGATGTGCCTCTTCCCGAGGCAAGACAGTAAACTGACTTTAAAAGTCAAGTTTCCACTCTTGCCGAACTATGCTGGAATTCCATGGGTCGATCGTAGCGCCACCAGTGGTTATTATGAGTTATGATCCTTCTGAGCCTCTCCAATCGACCAACCGATTCCATTACTTGAATTTGTTTCAAACAAAATGGCGGCGACCAGTCAAGACGATCTGATCGATTACAAAGATCTATAGTGTGATAAAACGGGTCTTACATCGCCAAGTGCATCAAATCACGCGAGCAACTTGATTGAAAACAGGAACAGGTTTGGAAAATATCTGTTGACAACGAGTTGGCGTCGCACAAATTTTGCAAATCCTGCAATCGACCAAAATCTGCACGAAAGTTTTCGAACCGGAATTCGATTTTGTTGTGTGATTTTGATTGGACTATATATAGACTCGTTAGTCCAGACCAAATGTAACTCCATAATAACAGCCTAGTTCGGCAAGGGTGGGGTTAAATGGGTATCTTTTATTTCAAGTGCATTTCTTGCATGTGTCTACCATAAACATTTTGAAAGGTGACGCAATGAGTATTTCAAAGGTGAAGTTATTCCTCTTGCCATACACTCCTGTGGATAGATCTTGTGTTGCATGAAATTTTATGCATATATATGTGCGGTTCAATGGGTATCTTTTATTTCAAGTTCATTTGGGTAAATGTGTGAATGGGAATAAGTCTATCTGACTATTATGGCATAATATCCAATTATCGAAGTTTAACTTATACATGTACTCCTCATTCAAATTCCTGTGTTTGGTTTGCCCAGTCTGCGAAGAAATTCTTTTTCATGTGCATGTATATTCCAAAGGAGATGGGTTTAATGGGTGCCCAGGGGGGATGCCTTAGTTTTGCCTAAATGTTGTTTCCCAAGAGTCCACAAAGATATGCTGATAAAGCCCTGTCCTTCAAATATTGTCTTGTCAGTAAACTTGAGATTGCATTGCGTAAATAATATTATATCCTATACAAACCTGTACAATATAAAAACACATTGCAACAAACAAACAGTAAAACATATGAACCTGAATCAGGTTTTGTCAAGGCGAAATCAAATTGATCATGAGCATTATACAGTGTACTACCTAAATAATAGAGATTGTTGGCTGGATAACACATCATGTAACTTGAGTAAAATACGCATCCTAGGAGTACTTACCAACACAGCACATTTGACCAGCTGGACACTGGAGACCAGATACTGGGATATCACAGGTACCACTGGCAACACACCCGATGCCAGGAAGATTGCATTCTGAAAATGAGGAGTTGTCAAAACAGACCTTAGTTGAATTTGGTTTAATAAGAACTATATGAATGGCATTCTCCCTTATTTGGTAAGCATCAAAACTCATTGATTGGTAATAATTTTCCCTTCATTCAAAATTAGAATGTGAATTACCTGTACTAATAGTGGATGCATTTACATTCGAGAGATATGGAAAACATAATCTTGACATCCTTTCACTAAATTCTCATAGATTGTGTTGATTATTCAGTCCTGAAAGTTATCTTGCATTCCTTCCAAATTTAACGTTTTCCACTCCAAGACAGGATGTTGTTATTATTATTATTATAAATTTGACCATTATTGAATTCTAGCAGATCAATGAAGCTTGAGATATACACCTTGGGTTATACAGTTGCAATGGTTTGATTTTGCCCGTCCGAGCAGAAAGTCATGGGTCTTAGGCATAAAGAAACAGATCAGGGAGTAGTGGAGCACAATTAGTGCTCATGGGGGTGCCTACTTTGTTCATGACAAATTGTCCTGAACCTCTGAATATAGACATGTATCAATGGTCACCAGGGTTTCAAACAAAAGCCCTATGGCTTAAGGAATGAAGTTTCCCCTTAAGTTTGTCATGTGGAATCAGGGTGTACAAAGGTGGAAAAAATGTTTTGACAGGTTTGAACCTGGTTTTGTTTTGAGATTGCAAAAAATCAAGCTAATCCTTATTTGTCCCACTGTCTAGTGGATGTGTTTTTGTCCGTCTCAATTGTTACTCATAAATCCTAGATCAGACAGGTAAATTAGTGTAAGGGACTTTGTTTTTTGAGCTGAGGATTGAGAAATTTATGTGAACACTTATGTAGATCATCTTGTAACTTACGTGGCGGGGGCGTTGTGGTCGGTGGCGTTCCTGAAAGAGTACAAAGGGCATTAATATGAAGCTCACTTCTTCAGTAGTGCTTTGAAAGCTCTGCTAAAAAAGGCCATTGTACGATTCCTTGTACCGGAGTATATAATAAGCATGAATATTTGAATTAATATTAAAATAGTGCTTATACAAGGTGGTTGATGAAAGGTGAGTGTGTTCTGCCCACCTATTGCACCCATCACAAACACACGTTGGTAAGGCAAGAGGTCACCCTAACAAACACGCAATATATGCCACAAGTCAAAATATGAATTTGCATCGGTCATCATTTTGTTCACCGGTGCTTCAAAATTAGAAGTGTACTCCATGAAACTTTTTGAAAGTTTCACTAAAGCATTGGATACCGCAACATCGATCACAAGTTTTGAGGATGAGTCATATGACTCTCTTTGAAAGAGAGCATGTTCGATTGTACCTCAAAAGATCATCAATGTAGACACCAATGGATAGAGTTGTCATATTCACCCATGATGGCCCTGAAATTGCGCGTGCTACAAGATCATTGGATGCTTAAAAGGCCATGAATAAGAAAATCATCCCATATGCAAAGTACACATGGAACCAAGTCCTCGTGTCTTAACTATGAAAAGCAACTTTGTTGACGACCAAACCTTGTAAACGTTATGGGACGTCCATCACAAAACGTTGGTATAAGGCATTTCAGTGGTCGTTTGGCACTGTGCGTCTTCCCGAGGCGAGGCAGTAAACTGACTTTAAAAGTCAAGTTTCCACCCTTGCCGAACTATGCTGGAATTCCTGGGGTCGATCGTAGCGCCACCAGTGGTTATTATGAGTTATGTTCCTTCTGAGCCTCTCCAATCGACCAACCAATTCCATAACTTGAATTTGTTTCAAACAAAATGGCGGCGACCAGTCAAGACGATCTGATCGATTACACAGATCTCTAGTGTGATACAACGGGTCTTACATCGCCAAGTGCATCAAATCACGCGAGGAACGTGATTGAAAACAGGAACAGGTTTGGAAAATATCTGTTGACAACGAGTTGGCGGTGCACATGTTTTGCAAATCCTGCAATCGACCGAAATCTGCACGACAGTTTTCGAACCGGAATTCGATTTTGTTGTGTGATTTTGATTGGACTATATATAGACTCGTTAGTCCAGACCAAATGTAACCATAATACCAGCCTAGTTCGGCAAGGGTGGACTTTGGACTTTTATAGTCAGTTAACTCCATTGCCTCGGGAAGATGCTGATGTGCCAAATTCGGAAATGTCTTGCATGTGTCTACCATAAACATTTTGAAAGGTGACGCAATGAGTATTTCAAAGGTGAAGTTATTCCTTTTGTCATACAATCCTATGGATAGATCTTGTGTTACATGGAGTTTTATACATATATATGTGGGGTTTAATGGGTATCTTTTATTTCAAGTGCATTTCTTGCACGTGTCTGCCATAAACATTTTGAAAGGTGACGCAAAGAGTATTCAATTGTGAAGCTATTTCTCTTCTCATACAATCTTTTGGATAGATCTTTATTACTCGGAATTTAATGCATAGATCTGTGCCTAAAACAGATTCAGTGGCTCAACAGGTTTCACTTATTTCAAGTTTATTTGGGTAAATGTGTGAAAGGGAATAAGTCTATTGGGCAATTATTGAAATATATCTGATTATTGAAGTTTAACTTATACTCCTTATCCAAATTCCCGTGTTTTGGTTTTCCCAATCTTTGCAGAAATTCTTATTCATCTGCATAAAAAAAACCTGTTCCGAAGGAGAGGAGCTCAATTGATGCCCAAGGGGATGCCTTTGTGATGCCTACATGTTGTTTTCCAAGAGTCTACAAAGATATGCTGATGAAGCCCTGTATTTCATATATTGTTTTCCCAGTAAACTTGTGATGACATTGCTTAAATAATATTCTATTCCACACAAACTTGTACAATATAGAACCACACTCCAACAAACAAGACGAAATCACACTGATGATGACCTATCGATTAATGACAGTTATACAGATTATTACCTAAATAGAACAGAGATGGTGGGCAAATTACCTTTTCGAAAATAACTTTCAAGCACTGTCATTGGCTGGATAATATATCATGTCACTTGAGTAAACTACGCATACTAGGAGTACTAACCAACACAGCAAATTTGACCAGCTGGACACTGGAGACCAGGTAATGGGACAGCACAGGAGGTTCCAGTGGCAAAACATCCGACGCCAAGAAAATTGCATTCTGAAAATGAAGATTTGTATCATAAACATAACTAAGTTGAATTTGGTTTCATATCAACAGTATGATTGACATTCTCTCTCGTTTCTCAAGCATAGAACTCAGTGATAGCTAATCGTTTTCCCTTCATTCAAAATGAGAATGCGAATTACATGTACTAATAGTGAATGTATTGACATTGGAGTGATATGGAAGACCTAATCAGGAAATCCTTTCACTAAATTCTCATAGATTGTGGTTAATTTTCAGTCCTGAAAGTTATCATGCATTCCTTCCTAATTTACAGTTTTCCACTCCAAGACAGGATGTTGTTGTTATTATCATTATTATTATTATTATTATTATTATTATTATTATTATCATTATTAAATCAAAGGATGTTACCACACACCATTTCATCAATGTCCTTATTTGATCATACCTTTATGTAGACATTATAGAATTCATGACATCGATTTCATCAAGATCGATTTCAGGCAATTACTGAATACTTCTGAGTGTTTTTGAACACTGTGAAAATATATTTATAAACTTTTATGCAAATAGACTTGTAACGTACGTGGCGATGTAGTTGTTGTTGATGGTGCTGAAATTGTAAACATTTCTTTCCATAATCATAAGAATTTTCTGATTCCAACTATATCATAATCATATGTCTTTGAAAAACTATAGAATAGTGATGATACCACGTGTTTGCTAGAAGGTAAGCGTTTCAGAACACACCTGTGGTACACATCATATACACAAGCAAATACAAGTCAAGTGTTGTCCTGAACAAATACAGGAATATCAAATTGCATAGAAACAATTCAGAAAATCGGCAGACATCATTTTGTTTCAACGAAGCGTCAATTGAGGAAATGTCCTACACATGTCCACCATAAAAGGTCTTCAAACTTGTCAGCCATCAGTATGACGCTCTTTAATATATTCGTGGAAAGAGCATGCACGATCACCTAAAACATTATTAAATGCAAACGCCAAAGGTTGGGGCTGCAGGAATATTGCTTGGCATTAAGAGGCAGTTATGACAATTGCAAAGTTGAAGTCATATCAACTCGCCTGCTTCGTATTTTGACAAATTGTCCTGAAGATAGATATGCATTTATGGTCACCAGGGTTTCAAACAAATGCCCTATGGATCAAGGAATGAAGTTTTCCCTCAAGTTTGCCATGTGGAATGATGGTGTACAAAGTCGAAAAATACAATGTTTTGACAGGATTAAACTTGGTTCTTTTTTGAGAATGTAAAAAATCAAGCCAAACCCTTATTTGTTTCAGTCTTGTGAATATGTTTTTGTCCGTCTGAATGTGTTCCTCATTAATCTAAAATATCAAACAGTTGGGGTGGTTTCACTTGTTGTTTTTGTCAATCAATTTCTAGATCAAACAGGTAAATAAGTGAAAGGGAATTTGTCTTTTGACTGTTGGTCATTTATTTCAGAGCATTGAGGCTTAAGTTATGCACCTTGTCCAAAATTTCACTGTTTTGAATTCGGCAATCTGTGCAGAAATTCTTATTCCTATGCATAAAGCAACTAATCTGGAAGATGTGGCGCACAATCGGTGACCATAAGCATGCCTACTTCTTGCCTGAGTGTCGTATTTCCAATTTTCACATAGATGGTGTGTATGAGAAAGGCTGTTATTTCACAAAATTGTCGTCTACGTCATCTTCAGAGGACATTTGCTTCAAATAATATACTAATGCACACACGTGAAAACATGTTAACACTCTTAATCTACCCACAGTATAACATATTCACCCTGAATCGCATAGCTATTCCCCCTGTTACCAAGCAGCATTAAACCGATTATGAAATATTAATACATCTTATAACCCAAATGAAATAGGAGATGAGGGGAATTATCTGTTCTATAATTGATTTATTTGGAAGAACATTGGAGCATTATCGTACGCTTAATATTATCATCCCTTCACTTAAACATTATGGATTATGATGAATTATCAGGCCTGAAGGTTTTTCAATTCATCATAAATACACAGTTTCTATCGTCACGGTAGGTTGTTATCAACATTCAAACGCATGTTTGATTGTTTTAATGGAATCGGAAATTATTAGCAAACATGCTTTTATATATTTCCTTATTCTCCCCTCTGTATGAATATCAGCGAATTGTGTCAAGCATCCTTTGAGCCATAATGGCCGGCTGGCTGAGGTTCACATCTTGTCAGTAGCATCATATGTTATGGTGTCATTGAAAATTGAGAAATGTGTTTGACCGCAGTCCATGTATTTCTTTTAATTGACCTTAACGTTGATAGTCTTGTTACTTACGTGGCGTGGTCGTTGGTGGTGCTGAAATGGTACAGAAGGTGTAAATATGGCGCATTTTCTTCAATAATGGTCTACATAAAAGCAACAATACATTTCCATACCCAGCAAAGTATCTGCTAAAAGGTGAGCCCAATGTACGCTTCCAACTGTGTCAACAACATGAATGTTTAATCAATGTGGAATGTTGACCATATCAAGTGTTCGTTGAAAGGTGAGAGGTGGGAATTAATTTATTTGACCATTATTGAATTCTAGCTGATCATTGAAGCTTGAGATATACACCTTAGGTTATACAATTGCCGTGGTTTGATTTTGCCCGTCCGTGCAGAAAGCCATTAGTCTTATGCATAAAAAAACAGATCAGGGAGTAGTGGAGCACAATTTGTGTTCATGGGGATGCCTACTTCGATTTTGACAAATTGTCCTTAAGCCCTGAAGATAGATATGCATCTATGGTCACCAGGGTTTCAAACAAAAGCCCTATGGCTTAAGGAATGATGTTTTCCCTTAAGTTTGCCATTTGGAAAAATGGTGTACAAAGTCGAAAAATACAATGTTTTCATAGGGTTGAACTTGGTTCTTTTCTCCGATTGCAAAAAAATCAACCCAAATTCTTTTGTGTTTGAGTTTTGTGAATATGTTTTTGTCCGTCTGAATTTGTTACACAAAAATCTAAACTATGAAACAGTTGGGGTGGTTTCACTTGTTGTTTTGTCAATCAACTTCTAGATCAAACAGGTAAATAAGTGAAAGAGAATTTGTCTTTTGAGTGTTAGTCATTTATTTCAGAGCATTGAAGCTTAAGTTATGCACCTTGTCCAAAATTTCACTGTTTTGAATTCGGCAATCTGTGCAGAAATTCTTATTCTTATGCATAAAGCAACTAATCGGGAAGAAGTGGCGCACAATCGGTGACCATAAGCATGCCTACTTCTTGCCTGAGTGTCGTATTTCCAAATTTCACATAGATGGTGTGTATGAGAAAGGCTGTTATTTCACAAAATTGTCGTCTACGTCATCTTCAGAGGACATTTGCTTCAAATAATATACTAATGCACACACGTGAAAACATGTTAACACTCTTAATCTACCCACAGTATAACATATTCACCCTGAATCGCATAGCTATTCCCCCTGTTACCAAGCAACATTAAACCGATTATGAAATATTAATACATCTTATAACCCAAATGAAATAGGAGATGAGGGGAATTATCTGTTCTATAATTGATTTATTTCGAGGAAATATTGGAGAATTATCGTACGGTTAATATTATCATCCCTTCACTTTAACATTATGAATTATGATGAATTATCAGGCCTGATGGCTATTTTCAATTCATAATAAATACACAGTTTCTATCGTCACGGTAGGTTGTTATCAACATTCAAACGCATGTTTGATTGTTTTAATGGAATCGGAAATTATTAGCAAACATGCTTTTATATATTTCCTTATTCTCCCCTCTATATGAATATCAGCGAATTGTGTCAAGCATCCCTTGAGCCATAATGGCCGGCTGGCTGAGGTTCACATCTTGTCAGTAGCATCATATGTTATGGTGTCATTGAAAATTGAGAAATGTGTTTGACCGCAGTCCATGTATTTCTTTTAATTGACCTTAACGTTGATAGTCTTGTTACTTACGTGGCGTGGTCGTTGGTGGTGCTGAAATGGTACAGAAGGTGTAAATATGGCGCATTTTCTTCAATAATGGTCTACATAAAAGCAACAATACATTTCCATACCCAGCAAAGTATCTGCTAAAAGGTGAGTCCAATGTACGCTTCCAACATGAATGTTTAATCAATGTGGAATGTTGACCATATCAAGTGTTCGTTGAAAGGTGAGAGGTGGGAATTAATTTATTTGACCATTATTGAATTCTAGCTGATCATTGAAGCTTGAGATATACACCTTAGGTTATACAATTGCCGTGGTTTGATTTTGCCCGTCAGTGCAGAAAGCCATTAGTCTTATGCATAAAGAAACAGATCAGGGAGTAGTGGAGCACAATTTGTGTTCATGGGGATGCCTACTTCGATTTTGACAAATTGTCCTGAAGCTCTGAAGATAGATATGCATCTATGGTCACCAGGGTTTCAAACAAATGCCCTATGGCTTAAGGAATGATGTTTTCCCTTAAGTTTGCCATTTGGAATAATGGTGTACAAAGTCGAAAAATACGTTTTGACAGGGTTGAACTTGGTTCTTTTCTCCGATTGCAATAAATCAACCCAAATTATTTTGTGTTCAGTTTTGTGAATATGTTTTTGTCCGTCTGAATTTGTTACTCAAAAATCTATACTATGAAACAGTTGGGGTGGTTTCACTTGTTGTTTTTGTCAATCCATTTCTAGATCAAACAGGTAAATAAGTGAAAGGGAATTTGTCTTTTGAGTGTTATTCATTTATTTCAGAGCATTGAAGCTTAAGTTATGCACCTTGTCCAAAATTTCACTGTTTTGAATTCGGCAATCTGTGCAGAAATTCTTATTCTTATGCATAAAGCAACAAATCTGGAAGATGTGGCGCACAATCGGTGACCATAAGCATGCCTACTTCTTGCCTGAGTGTCGTATTTCCAATTTTCACATAGATGGTGTGTATGAGAAAGGCTGTTATTTCACAAAATTGTCGTCTACGTCATCTTCAGAGGACATTTGCTTCAAATAATATACAAATGCCCAAACGTGAAAACATGTTAACACTCTTAATCTACCCACAGTATAACATATTCACCCTGAATCGCATAGCTATTCCCCCTGTTACCAAGCAACATTTAACCGATTATGAAATATTAATACATCTTATAACCCAAATGAAATAGGAGATGAGGGGAATTATCTGTTCTATAATTGATTTATTTCGAGGAAATATTGGAGAATTATCGTACGGTTAATATTATCATCCCTTCACTTTAACATTATGAATTATGATGAATTATCAGGCCTGATGGCTATTTTCAATTCATAATAAATACACAGTTTCTATCGTCACGGTAGGTTGTTATCAACATTCAAACGCATGTTTGATTGTTTTAATGGAAACGGATATTATTAGCAAACATGCTTTTATATATTTCCTTATTCTCCCCTCTATACGAATATCAGCGAATTGTGTCAAGCATCCTTTGAGCCAAAATGGCCGGCTGGCTGAGGTTCACATCTTGTCAGTAGCATCATATGTTATGGTGTCATTGAAAATTGAGAAATGTGTTTGACCGCAGTCCATGTATTTCTTTTAATTGACCTTAACGTTGATAGTCTTGTTACTTACGTGGCGTGGTCGTTGGTGGTGCTGAAATGGTACAGAAGGTGTAAATATGGCGCATTTTCTTCAATAATGGTCTACATAAAAGCAACAATACATTTCCATACCCAGCAAAGTATCTGCTAAAAGGTGAGCCCAATGTACGCTTCCAACATGAATGTTTAATCAATGTGGAATGTTGACCATATCAAGTGTTCGTTGAAAGGTGAGAGGTGGGAATTAATTTATTTGACCATTATTGAATTCTAGCAGATCATTGAAGCTTGAGATATACACCTTAGGTTATACAATTGCCGTGGTTTGATTTTGCCCGTCAGTGCAGAAAGCCATTAGTCTTATGCATAAAGAAACAGATCAGGGAGTAGTGGAGCACAATTTGTGTTCATGGGGATGCCTACTTCGATTTTGACAAATTGTCCTGAAGCTCTGAAGATAGATATGCATCTATGGTCACCAGGGTTTCAAACAAATGCCCTATGGCTTAAGGAATGATGTTTTCCCTTAAGTTTGCCATTTGGAATAATGGTGTACAAAGTCGAAAAATACGTTTTGACAGGGTTGAACTTGGTTCTTTTCTCCGATTGCAATAAATCAACCCAAATTATTTTGTGTTCAGTTTTGTGAATATGTTTTTGTCCGTCTGAATTTGTTCCTCATTAATCTAAAATATCAAACATTTGGGGTGGTTTCACTTGTTGTTTTTGTCAATCCATTTCTAGATCAAACAGGTAAATAAGTGAAAGGGAATTTGTCTTTTGAGTGTTATTCATTTATTTCAGAGCATTGAAGCTTAAGTTATGCACCTTGTCCAAAATTTCACTGTTTTGAATTCGGCAATCTGTGCAGAAATTCTTATTCTTATGCATAAAGCAACAAATCTGGAAGATGTGGCGCACAATCGGTGACCATAAGCATGCCTACTTCTTGCCTGAGTGTCGTATTTCCAATTTTCACATAGATGGTGTGTATGAGAAAGGCTGTTATTTCACAAAATTGTCGTCTACGTCATCTTCAGATGACATTTGCTTCAAATAATATACAAATGCCCAAACGTGAAAACATGTTAACACTCTTAATCTACCCACAGTATAACATATTCACCCTGAATCGCATAGCTATTCCCCCTGTTACCAAGCAACATTTAACCGATTATGAAATATTAATACATCTTATAACCCAAATGAAATAGGAGATGAGGGGAATTATCTGTTCTATAATTGATTTATTTCGAGGAAATATTGGAGAATTATCGTACGGTTAATATTATCATCCCTTCACTTTAACATTATGAATTATGATGAATTATCAGGCCTGATGGCTATTTTCAATTCATAATAAATACACAGTTTCTATCGTCACGGTAGGTTGTTATCAACATTCAAACGCATGTTTGATTGTTTTAATGGAATCGGAAATTATTAGCAAACATGCTTTTATATATTTCCTTATTCTCCCCTCTATATGAATATCAGCGAATTGTGTCAAGCATCCCTTGAGCCAAAATGGCCGGCTGGCTGAGGTTCACATCTTGTCAGTAGCATCATATGTTATGGTGTCATTGAAAATTGAGAAATGTATTTGTACGCAGTCCATGTATTTCTTAAATCGCCCTTAATGTAGATAGTCTTGTTACTTACGTGGCGTGGTCGTTGGTGGTGCTGAAATTGTAAAGAAGGTGTAAAGATAGCGCTCATTTCTTCAGTAATGGTGTACATAAAAGCAAGAAAATATTTCTATATTCAGCAAAATCTCTGCTTAAAGGTTAGCCCAATGTACGCTTCCAACTGTGTCAACAACATGGATTTGTAATCACTGTGGATTGTTGATCATTGTAGCTGTTCGTTGAAAGGTCAGAGGAGGGAATTAGTTTCTTTGACCATTATTGAATTCTAGCAGATTATTGGAGCTTGAGATATACATCTTGAGATATAACATTGCCGTGGGTTGATTGTGACCGTCCGTGCAGAATGTCATGAGTCTTATGCATAAAGAAACAGATCAGGGAGAAGTGGAGCACAAGTTGTGTTCACGGGGATGCCTACTTTGTGTTTGACATATTGTCCCGAACCTCTGAGATAGATATGTATCTATGGTCACCGGAGTTTTAAACAAAACACAATGGATCAAGGAATGAAGTTTTCCCTTAAGTTTGCCATGTGGAATAATGGTACACAAAGTTGAAAACAAATGTTTTGACAGGGTTTTGAACTTGGTTCTTTTTCTGAGATTGCAAAAAAACAAGCCAAATCCTTATTTGCTATAGTCTTGAGGATATGCTTTTGGCCGTCTCAACTGTTTCTCATAAATTGATGATATGAGGCATTTGAGGTGGCTTTATTTGTCGTGTTTTTAAAAAAAAGACCTCAGGACCAAACAGGTAAATAAGTGTAAGGAAATTTGTCTTTTGAGCTGAGGATTGAGAAAATATATTTAGGTAGTTTTATATTTATGTATAACGTCTTGTAACGTATGTGGCGGGGACGTTGTGGTCGGTGGCGTTCCTAAAAGGGTAAAAAGGGTGTTAAAAATGTAGCTCACTTCTTCAGTAGTGCTTTGAAGTTAAAAGCGACAAAACCCTGTCAGTAAACATGAGAAAGCTCTGCTAAAAGGGGAGTCCATTTTACGATTTCTTTTACGGGACTACTTAATGAGCATTAGTAGTTGAATCACTATTAAAATAGTGCTTATGTCAGGTGTTCACGAAAAGGTGAGTGTTCTGCCCACCGATTGCACCCGACACAAACAAACACAAAGGTAAGGATTCACGTATTTTGACTTTCCCAACCCGAAATTGATATGAAACAGATCAGAGGGGAGGGGATTACACTTTTAGCTTTTGCCTCATCAAATATGTTCAAACAATCACGTCTAAAAGTCCTCTGTACGAATCCTACTGCACCAACGGAAAACAAATCCACTACACCATAAAACAACACCCGAAAATCTGTATCATGTCCTCGTGGAACTAAGTTCTCGTGTTTTAACTGTGAAAAACAACTTTTGTCGACGACCAAACCTTGTAAACGTAATGCGACGTCTATCTGAAAATGAGCGGTTGCCTACAACTGGAAGGCTTGATACCAGAATTGCAAAAAACGTTGGAACTAGGCATATCGGTTGTCGTTAGCAATAGACTGGAAACACTAGGGAGTAAACGTCCACGAATAACATAACGTCGACAAGATGATCATATCCGTCTGGCAACCTGCAAAATCGGTTTCAGAATGCACCTTTGACAACACACAACATTCTTGGCCTACTTCTAATTAGTGCAAGGAGTGTGGGGAATAGATTACTGAAGCATAACATCCAACCACAATGTTTGTACTCCTAATGTCATACCACGTGGCCATACTGCACGTCTGGCCTTTCAATGTCATTTGACTTGTCCTCTTCACGGATTAGTGGAGGTTTCTCCTTGACAGCAGTGATGGCAGTCGGTGTGTTGATCGACGATGGAGGGAACGTTACGCGACGCGTGTGTACTTCAACGTCCTGCATTCTGTGGTTAGAGCGTCAGGGCACAGGGGGGCATCACTGCTCATCACATGCCCCCTTAAAATGTCTTCGTTGGCAATTTTACTTGTGTACGCTACAGTGACGAAGTTATCTTCAAGTACACCCGTTCCTTCAGACCCACAAATGACACATCACATGATGTCATTGCAGCAGTAAAATGCACACCCTCACGTAGGACAACACAACACACCAACACTCATCAAACGTGTGGAATACATTGAAACGTTCAACCCAACCTGGGACGTTGGTTCGACTCCAACAGGCCTTGGTCCAGATTTGGGATGGCATCTCACAAGACATCCTCAATAATCTACGTCAGTGAGGCGACATTGTGAAGCTTGGGTCACTGCCAATGGTACTCAAACCTGATTTTAACTTGTGAAATGGCAATTGACGCCATGCCACTTTCAGCTTTATTTGACGTTTATAGAGGACACGTGTTGACATTATCATGAATTCTTGTTTCACCGGCATAAATATATTGTCCAAAATCCTTAATAATGCACCGGTACTTATTTTAAGCAAATACGAAAGAATAAGATACAAGTAATAACTGCTGCAGAACAAATCCGCATTTCATCAGACATCATATGTGTCACTGATGCGCCAAATTCGGAAATGTCTTCCATGTGTCTGCCATAAACATTTTGTAAGGTGACGCAATGAGTATTTCAAAGGTGAAGTTATTCCTCTTGTCATACAATCCTGTGGATAGTTCTTTTGTTACGTGACATTTTATGCATATATATGTGCGGTTTAATGGGTATCTTTTATTTCAAGTTCATTTGGGTAAATGTGTGAATGGGAATTAGTCTATCTGACCATTATGGAATGATATCCAATTATCGAAGTTTAACTTATACTCCTTATTCCAATTCCTGTATTTGGTTTTCCCACTCTGCGAAGAAATTCTTTTTCATGTGCATGTATGTTCCAAAGGAGAGGGGCTTAATGGGTGCCCAGGGGAATGCCTTAGTTTTGCCTAAATGTTGTTTCCCAAGAGTCCACAAAGATATGATAATTAAGCCCTGTCCTTCAAATATTGTCTTGTCAGTAAACTTAAGATGGCATTGCGTAAATAATATTATATCTTATACAAACCTGTACAATATAAAAACACATTGCAACAAACACACAGCAAAACATATTAACCTGAATCAGGTTTTGTCAAGACGAAATCAAATTGATCATGAGCATTATACAGTGTACCACCTAAATAATAGAGATTGTGGGCTGGATAACATATGTAACTTGAGTAAACTACGCATCCTAGGAGTACTTACCGACACAGCACATTTGACCAGCTGGACACTGGAGACCAGGTACTGGGATATCACAGGTACCACTGACAACACACCCGATGCCAGGAAGATTACATTCTGAAAATGAGGAGTTGTCAAAACAGACCTTAGTTGAATTTGGTTTAATAAGAACTATATGAATGGCATTCTCCCTTATTTGGTAAGCATCAAAACTCATTGATTGGTAATAATTTTCCCTTCATTCAAAATTAGAATGTGAATTACCTGTACTAATAGTGGTTGCATTTACATTCGAGAGATATGGAAAACATAATCTTGACATCCTTTCACTAAATTCTCATAGATTGTGTTGATTATTCAGTCCTGAAAGTTATCTTGCTTTTCTTCAAAATTTACAGTTTTCGACTCCAAGACAGGATGTTGTGAAAATTATTATAAATTTGACCATTATTGAACTCTAGCAGATCATTGAAGCTTGAGATATTCACCTTAAGTTATACAGTTACCGTGTTTTGATTTTGCCCGTCCGTGCATAAAGTCATGAGTCTTAGGCATAAAAAAACAGATCAGGGAGTAGTGGAGCACAATCAGTGCTCATGGGGGTGCCTTCTATGTTTATGACAAATTGTCCTGAACCTCTGAATATAGATATGTATCTATGGTCACCAGGGTTTCAAACAAAAGCCCTATGGATCAAGGAATGAAGTTTCCCCTTAACTTTGTCATCTGGAATAATGGTGTACAAAGGTGAAAAAAATGTTTTGACAGGTTTGAACTTGGTTCTTTTTTGAGATTGCAAAAAAACAAGCTACATCCTTATTTGTCCCACTATCTTGTGGATGTGTTTTTGTCTGTCTCAATTGTTACTCATAAATCTTAAATATGAAACAGTTCAGATGGTTTTACATATTGTTTTTATAAAACAAATTCTAGATCAGACAGGTAAATTAGAGTGAGGGTTTTTTGAGCTGAGGATTGAGAAATTAATGTGAACACTTATGTAGATCTTCTTTTAACTTACGTGGCGATGGCGTTGTGGTCGGTGGCGTTCCTGAAAGAGTACAAGGGCATAAATATGAAGCTCACTTCTTCAGTAGTTTCTGTAAGCTCTGGTTAAAAAGTCCATTGTACGATTCCTTGTACCGGAGTATATAATAAGCATGAATATTTGAATTACTATTAAAATAGTGTTTTATGCAAGGTGTTCGCTGAAAGGTGGGTGTGTTCTCCCCACCGATTGCACCGATCACAAACACACGCAGGTAAGGCAAGAGGTCTCCCTAACAAACACGCAATATATGCCACAAGTCAAAATATGAATTTGCATCGGTCATCATTTTGTATACCGGTGCTTCAAAATTAGAAGTGTCCTCCATGAAACAAGGAGTGTGGGGAATAGATTACCGAAGCATAACATCCAACCACAACAAACAGATGTACTCCTAATTTCCTGCGACATCATCATACTGCATGTCTGGCCTTTCCAGGTTAGTCCTATTCACGGATTAGTGGAGGTTTCTCCGAGACAGCAGTGATGGCAGTCTGCGTTCAGTACTAGTAGCGTGAAATGACAATAGACGCCATGCCACGAAGGACACTGTGTTGACACTTTCATGAGTTCTTGTTTCATGGGCATCACTATATTGTCCAAAATTGTTTCTGATACACAGATACTTATTTTCCGCAAATAGGGAAGAATAAGGTACAAGTAAAAACTGCATCAGAACAAATATCTGTTGACAGCGAGTTGGCGGTGCACATGTTTTGCAAATCCTGCAATCAACTGAAATCTGCACGACAGTTTACGAACCGGATTTCGATTTTGTTGTTAGATTTTGATTGGATTATGCATAGATTCGTTAGTCCAGACCAAATGTAACTCCATAATACCAGCCTAGTTCGGCAAGGGTGGAAATGGGACTTTTATAGTCAGTTAACTCCCTTGCCTCGGGAAGATGCTGATGTGCCAAATTTGGAAATGTCTTGCATGTGTCTACCATAAACATTTTGAAAGGTAACGCAGAGTATTCAAAGGTGAAGCTTTTCCTCTTCTCATACATGTTTTCCAAGAGTCTACACAGATATGCTGATGAAGCCCTGTATTTCATATATTGACCTATCAATTAATGACAGTTATACAGATTATTACCTAAATAGAATAGAGATGGTGGGCAAATTACCTTTTCAAAAATAACTTTCAAGCACTGTCATTGGCTGGATAATATATCATGTCTCTTGAGTAAACTACGCATACTAGGAGTACTTACCGACACAGCACATTTGACCAGCTGGACACTGGAGAGTAGGTAATGGGACAGTACAGGAGGTACCAGTGGCAAAACACCCGACGCCAAGAAAATTGCATTCTGAAAATGAGGATTTGTATCATCAACAGAACTAAGTTGAATTTGGTTTCATATGAACATTATGATTGACATTCTCTACCGTTTCTTAAGCATAGAAACTCAGTGATAGCTAATCATTTTCCCTTCATTCAAAATGATAATGCGAATTACCTGTACTTATAGTGAATGTATTGACATATGGAGGACCTAATCATGGATTCCTTTCACTAAAATCTCATAGATTGGGATTGATTTTTAAGTCCTGAAAGTGACCATGCATTCCTTCCTAATTTACAGTTTTCCACTCCAAGACAGGATGTTCTTCTTCTTATTATTATGATTATTATTTTTATTTTTATTTTTATTGTTAAATAAAAGAATGTTACCAGAAACCATTTCATTAATGTCCTTTTTTGATCAAACCTCTATGTAGACATTATAGAATTCATGACATAATGGCATCATGCCATCAAGATCGATTCCAGGCAATTACTGAATACTTCTGAGTGTTTTTGAACACTGTGAAAATAAAATGTATATATCCCATGTATTTCTGACATTGCCTTTTATGTGAATAGACTTGTAACGTACGTGGCGAGGTCGTTGTTGTCGGTTGTGCTGAAATTGTAAACATTCCTTCCATAATCATAAGAATTTTCTGATTCAAACTATATCATAATCATATGTCTTTGAAAAACTATAGAGTAGTGATGATACCACGTGTTTGCTAGAAGGTAAGCGTTTCAGAACACACCTGTGGTACACATCATATACACAAGCAAATACAAGTCAGGTGTTGTCCTGAACAAATACAGGAACATATGGTATTGTCAAAATTGCATAGAAACAATTCAGAAAATCGGCAGACATCATTTTTTTCAATGAAGCGTCCATTGAGGAAATGTCCTACACATGTCCACCATAAAAAGGTATTCAAACTTGTCAGCCATCAGTATGACCCTCTTTAACATATTCGTGGAAAGGGCATGCACGATTCACCTAAAACATTATTAAATGTAGACGCCAAAGGTTGAGGCTGCAGGAATATTGATTGGCATTAACAGGCAGTTTTGACAATTGCAAAGTTGAAGTCATCTCAACTCGCCTGCTTCGTTTCTGACAAATTGTCCTGAACCTCTGAAGATAGGTATGCATTTATGGTCACCAGGGTTTCAAACAAATGCCCTATGGATCAAGGAATGAAGTTTTCCCTTAAGTTTGCCATGTGGAATAATGTTGTACAAAGTCGAAAAATACGATGTTTTGACAGGGTTTAACTTGGTTCTTTTTGGAGAATTCAAAACATCAAGCCAAACCCTTATTTGTCTCACAGGCTTGTGGATATGTTTTTGTCCCTCTTAATTGTTACTCATTCATCTAAAATATGAAACAGTTGGGGTGGTTTCACTTGTTGTTTTTGTCAAACAATTCCTAGATCAAACAGGTAAATAAGTGAAAGGGAATTTGTCTTTTGACTGTTATTCATTTATTTCAGAGCATTGAAGCTTAAGTTATGCACCTTGTCCAAAATTTCACTGTTTTGAATTCGGCAATCTGTGCAGAAATTCTTATTCCAATGCAGAAAGCAACTAATCGGGAAGAAGTGGCGCACAATCGGTGACCATAAGCATGCCTACTTCTTGCCTGAGTGTCGTATTTCCAAATTTCACATAGATGGTGTGTATGAGAAAGGCTGTTATTTCACAAAATTGTCGTCTACGTCATCTTCAGAGGACATTTGCTTCAAATAATATACTAATGCCCAAACGTGAAAACATGTTAACACTCTTAATCTACCCACAGTATAACATATTTACCCTGAATCGCATAGCTCTTCCCCCTGTCACCAAGCAACATTAAACTGATCATGAAATATTAATACATCTTATAACCCAGATGAAAAAGGAAATGAGGGGAATTTTCTGTTCTATAATTGATTTATTTTGAAGAACATTGGAGAATTATGGTACACTTAATATTATCATCCCTTCACTTAAACATCATAGATTATGATGAATTATCAGGCCTGAAGGTTATTGTCAATTCATAATAAATACACTGTTTGTATCTCCACGGTAGGTTGTTCTTACATTTGAACGCATGTTTGATTGTTTTAATTGAATCTGATATTATTAGCAAACATGCTTTTATATATTTCCTTATTCTCCCCTCTATATGAATATCAGTGAATTGCCTCAAACAGCCCTTGAGCCATAATGGCCGGCTGGCTGAGGTTCACATCTTGTCAATAGCATCATATGTTATGGTGTCATTGAGAATTGAGAAATGTATTTGTACGCAGTCCATGTATTTCTTAAATCGCCCTTAATGTAGATAGTCTTGTACTTACGTGGCGTGGTCGTTGGTGTTGCTGAAATTGTAAAGAAGGTGTAAAGATGGCGCTCATTTCTTCAGTTATGGTCTACATTAAAGCGACAAAATATTCCTATATTCAGCAAAGTCTCTGCTTAAAGGAGAGCCCAATGTTCGCTTCCAACTGTGTCAACAACATGTATTTTTAAACACTGTGGAATGTTTATCATATCAGGTATTCGTTGAAAGGTGAGAGGTGGGAATTAGTTTATTTGACCATTATTGAATACTAGCAGATCATTGAAGCTTGAGTTATACACCTTAAGTTATACAATTGCCATGTTTTGATTTCACCCGTCCGTGAAGAAAGTCATGAATATTATGCATAAAGAAACAGGTCAGGGAGAAGTAGAGCACAATTAGTGCTCATTGGGTTGCCTACTGTGTTTATGACAAATTGTCCTGAACCTCTGAGTATAGATATGCATCTATGGTCACCAGGGTTTCAAACAAAAGCCTTATGGATCAAGGAATGAAGATTTCCCTTAAGTTTGTCACGTGGAATGGTGTAATGGTAAAGCACAAGATCGGGAAGGAAGAAGAGGCGCACAATCGCTGACCATAAGCATGCCTACTTCTTGCCTGAATGTCGTATTTCCAAATTTCACATAGATGGTGTCTTTGAGGAAGGCCGTCTTTTCACAAAATTGTTGTCTACGTCATTTTCAGATCACATTTGCCTCAAATAATATTCTAATGCACACACGTGAATACATATGTTAACAATCTATATCTACCCACAGTATAGCATATTCACCCGTAATCGCATTGGTATTCCTCCTGTTGCGAAGCAACATTAAACTGATAATGAAATATTAATACAGCTTATGTAACACAGATGAAAGGGAGATGAGGGTAAATTATCTATTCAATAATTGATTTATTTCGAAGAACATTGGAGAATTATGGTACACTTAATTTTCTCATCCCTTCACTCAAACCTCATAGATTATGATGTATTATCTGGCCTGAATGTTATTTTCAATTCATAATAAATACACAGTTTATATTTACACTGTTGGTTAATAACATTCGAACGCATGTTTGATTGTTTTTATGGAATCGGATATTATTAGCAAACATGCTTTTATTTATTTCCTTATTCTCCCCTCTATATGAATATCAGCGAATTGTGTCAAGCAGCCCTTGAGCCATAATGGCCGACTGGCTGAGGTTCACATGTTGCCAATAGCATCATATGGTATGGTGTCATTGAGAATTGAGAAACGTATTTCCATGCAGTCCGTGTATTTCTTTGTTGCCCTTAATGTAGATAGTCTTGTTACTTACGTGGCATGGTCGTTGGTGGTGCTGAAATGGTAAAGAAGATATTAAAATGTCACTAATTTCTTCAGTAATGGTCTACATAAGCAATACATTTCTATACTCAGCAAAGTCTCTGCTAAAAGGGGGCGGTCGGGTAGCCTTGTGGTTAAAGCGTTCGCTCGTCACGCCGAAGACCCGGGTTCGATTCCCGACATGGGTACAGTGTGTGAAGCCCCTTTCTGGTGTCCCCCGCCGAATATTGTTAAAAGCGGCGTAAAACCATACTCACTCACACTGCTAAAAGGTGAGCCCAATGTGTCCAACTGTGTCAACAACATGTAGTTTTAATCACTGTAGAATGTTGATGATACCTGGTGTTCGTTGAAAGATGACAGTGTCCTGCCCAAACGCATCAGCCACATACACATGTCAAGAGTATTTGATTAAAAGAATTCTCGTCCCCACAAACCTGTATGATCTACAAACACTAGGAAATCACTAACAGCAAAATATATTCATTCTGAAACATGATGACCTATCAATTATACAGATTATTACCCAAATGGATGAGAGATGGCGGCCAATGAGCTTTTCATTTCATTCGAAAAACTTACCACTTTCAACTGGATAAATAATATGTCATGTAACTTGAGTAAACTCCGTGTGTCACGAGTACTTACAGATGCAGCACACCTGACCGCTTGGACACTGGCGACCAGTAACTGGGATAGAACAGCTACCACTGCTGACACAAGCGACGCCATTAAAATTGCAGGCTGAAAATAATGATTCGAATTATATATTGAATTAAGTTACATTGGATTAATATGGACTCTGAAGCATTGACATTCTCTCTCATTTGGTAAGCCTAAATCTCTGGAGACCAGATACTGGTATAGAACAGGTACTACTACCAACACACTGGGTGCCATTGACACTGCATACTGAAGATGTGGATTCGTATCATAACCATAATTAAGTTACATAAGAATAATGTGGGCAATGTACAATAAAAGCGACAAACCCAGGACAAAATGCAAGACAGGTTGTTATCAACACTAAAATGGTTGTTTGGCTGGGGTTTTTTTTATAGAATTGGAGAATATTAACACGCATGCTCTTATTGACTACCTTATTCACCCCTCTATATAATAATTTCTCAAGCCCTGGAGGCACCAGGGGCTTCTTGCTGAACACCTAATAGTGTCATTGAGTAATGATAAATGTAAAGCTTCCACTCCCAACACACTACCAACACACGCGATGCCATTTAGATTGCAGGGTGAAAATGAGGATTCGTATAATATATCGAATTCAGTTTCATCGGGGTATATGGACACTGTGTGTTTGACAATATCTCTCATTCATAGCTGTTCATTTTCCTTACATTTTGAACTTGTCATTTTCCAATGTTTCCTAAAGTGGCTGTTTATTTCCAGATTCACTCCATTAATGAATTATGTCAAGCTCTGGACCACGGTATCTCATTATCAAGATCGTGTTTAGCCAATTGTGGACCGATTCTCTCATTTACCCTTACACTTTTCGCGAACACATGGTGTGACAATTTACAAATATTGAATCACCCTTTATATAGCTATTCTTTGTTACTTACGTGGCGTGGTCGTTGTTGGAACAGACGTGGCCGTTGCTGAAACATGGTGTTAAAATGTAGCTCACTTTGTATTTACCATCATTTTGGGCATTGAAACGATGAGGATTGATTAACTTTCCGATGATTCTTTATCTTTGGAAAAACTGATCACATACCATCAATGTGATTTGCGGAATATTTTGTAAAATGGTAAAAGGGTGTTAACATGTAGTTCACTTCTTCATGCTTTGACGGTAAAAAGTAGGGCAACTGTTCATCTTATCCAACACGAGAACATACGCTACAAGTTAAAATAGGAAATTGTATCAGTCATCATGTTGGTCACCGATGCAACAAAATTTGTTATGTCCTCCATTAATTTTTTGAAAGCCTTTGAAGCCCTTTGAATACCGCAACACTGGGCACACGTCATATGGCGCTCTTTGATTTCTTCCAAAATAGGGCATGTTCGATTGCATCTCACAAAAGTTGTGAAATATATGCAAAACTACGCTTGAACTGCTAAAATTTTGCTCGACATGTCAGAAACGTCACTGTTATACCTTTATACACTTAACTAAATATGAAAAAAAGACAAGACTAAGCTATATCAGTTCGTGTGGGTAAATGTGTTCCTACCATGATGTTGCATATCCATCATACTTCATATATTTGTGTCAGTAAACATGAGATGACATTTGCTTATAAAATAGTCTAGTCCACACAAACCTGTAATATTTAAAAATATTCTGAAAATATCAATTACAAAATATATCCACATTGAAACAGATTTTTTCAAGACAAACTCACCCTTTTGGTGCCCTAATAGTTATACAGATTATTACCCAAATGGAAGAGAGATAGGGGCAAATAAGCTTTTTTATTTTATTCTTTCGAAAAAAAGTATCATTTTTTAACAAATCGATTAGCTGCATTATGTAACTTGAGTAAACTACGCATACTAGGAGTACTTACCGACACAGCACATTTGACCAACTGGACACTGGGGACCAGGTACTTGGATAGTACAGGTACCACTGGCAACACACCCGATGCCAGGAAGATTGCATTCTGAAAACGAGGATATGTCAAAACAGAACTAAGTTGAATTTTGTTTAATATGAACAATATGAATGACATTTGGTAAGCATTCAAACTCAGTGGTAGGTAATCATTTCCCCTTCATTCAAAATTAGAATGTGAATTACCTTACTAATAGTCGATACATTTACATTGGAGTGATATGGAAAACATAATCTTGACATCTTGTTGCTAAAATCACATAGATTGTGATGAATTTTCAGTCCTGAAAGTTATCTTGCATTCCTTCCAAAATTACACTTTTTGTTCACTCCAAGACAGGATGTTGTTATTATTATTATTGAATCAAAGAATGTTAACATATACTATTTCATTTATGGCCTTGTTTGATCATCCTTCTATGTAGACATTACAGAATTAATGACATCATGCTATCAAGGTCGACTCGAGGCAATTACTGAATACTTCCTAGTGTTATTGAGGACTGTGAATTTAAATGTACATATCCTGTGTATTTCTGTAATTTTCTTTTATGGAAATAGACTTGTAACGTACGTGACACGGCCGTTGTTGTCGGTGGTGCTGAAATTGTAAAAATTCCTTTCCATAATCATAAGAAATTTCTGATTCCTACTATATCATAATCATATTACAGGAACCACACAAGATTGCAGACTGAAAATGAGGGTGTTTGTCATAAACGGAACTAAATTACATTGAAATAATATGAACATGCTTGACATCCCTGCTCTTATTCCTTCAGCACAGAACATAGTGATAGCTGTTATTGTCCCTTCATTTTAAAAAGGGCTTTGTTTATTTGTTGTTTGACGCCGCACTCAGCAATATTCCAATTATATCGCTTCTTACAAGCATTGGCTGCTGAAGACCTATTCTAGCCCGGATCTTCACGGTTAAAAGGCGACTATGTTTGTTGTTAGAGGCGACTAACGGGATTGGGTGGTCAGACTCGCTGAAGTGGTTGATGCATGTCACCGTATCCCAATTCCGTAGATCGATGCTCATGATGTCATTCATTGGTTTATCTTGACTCGATTATTTACAAACCGCCGTCATTCAGCTGGAATATTGCTGAGTACAGCGTTAAACAGCCAACCAACAAACAAACATTTTTTTTTTGGTTACACTATAAAATCAATTTGAGTTTTGCCACTTTGATTGGCCTCACTCAAGAATCAGTCATATTATGAAACTGATAAAATGTTTTATTATATGTTCTGCTCCTTTACTATTGTTCGCAATAAACTTGAAGAAATAAATATGATCATATCGATAAATTGTCTAATTTTCTTGCGTTTAAAAACACAAAGCATTTGATACAAATTTGTTTTCGGTACAAAATCACAGGGCCTACATACACTCTCCATCCAGTCGCCATGTACCTAGTTTCAACGGTTCTGAGGACGGTAGAAAAGTTTTCAACAACATCTATTCTACAATATATATTTTTGGTCCCTTTTTGCAATGATAGACCAATAACAATATTATGTTGTTATTATTATGTCATATCAATATGTTATATCGCTCTCCGAAGCCGCCATCGAGAGTGGAATAGATACATTACAATATCGGATTTAGACTTCAAACATTTGATGTTACGCACCGGAGGCAATCGCGAAAAGATATAAGACATAGGAGTGAAAACTGCTACCCAGCTCAATACATTGGAAACAGGTGACGATAGATTTTTAACTATGTTATTTCTTTTTTATTTGAATCTACTTCGGAATTTTGTCGACGACAGTTGATCAATTTTTGCATAGTTTGCCTCGATGTGTGATGTGCGGTACGTGCTTCCGGCTTTAGCAATGATAAATAAAATTGCAACTGTTTCTATTGTTATAGATAATCTGCATTATTTTTCTCCTGATTTGTTTACCTAGAATGTATATATGTTTAGATTTTGTGTATCATCAAACATTTTTAATTAATCGCAGCGTCTGTTTACTTTGTTCAAGGTAAACAAATTGCGAGTTAGAGCACGCCCAAACGAGTCACTTACGTTTGTCTGATTGTCAACAGCAGGTCAATGTCCAAACGTTTATCAAACGGAATCATTTCCAAACTCGATAAAAATGAGATATTTGATTTTCCAAAGATTTATTAATCTGTATAAATAATTCCAGAAAACAATGTAACACCATCACGTACATGTGGATTTGTTTGTTTACCGCCGTTGCCATGATCGTACATTTTTATCCAATCGAGGATGTTACGATTCAGATTGTTTTTAGCCTGGTTCCCTTGGTATGCTGCGCTGGCGCTACACTTGCCCAGGCGATGACTGCACTATGGCGGCCTCCATTAGTCAAACCAACATGGAGGACACGACATGTTTTTACTACAGAAAAACGCTAGAACGGGTGATTGTTTTTCTTAGCATTTTCACCAATACTGTTGCAATGTATACGTCACGAGAATAACGTGTTTTGTTACTTTAAGTGAAGGAAAACATTATATGAGCTGTCTCGAGACTCGAAAGGAGTCGTCAATCGGTGAAATGTAAATAATGATACACACCATTTTCAACGCTGATATGTGCGTTAATATTTCGTGTCATCTAGATATTGTCACGACATCGTATACATAATACATGGAATTGAACAACCACATTAATGAAATATCGTTTAAATCTTTGCTTCAGCAAATTTGATGACGCAAATGTCGCCGATTATCCCCAGTTTTTCTCCCATTGTTAAATGGAGTTTAGAGGAATTATTGAATGCCCAGTGTAAAATAACTAGAAAAAAGAGACACTTTTGATCCATAATAATGTTGTTTAACGATAGGGTGTGTCGTTGGTCCTGGTATTTGGCGTCTTGATTTTATTCACATGAAAGGCATTTATTTGGCAATTATTTGATTACATAATGAAATTAGTTTTGTTTGCTTGTTGTTTGTGTGTTGTTTAATTAGTTGTACTAAATACATTGTGTTATCTGTTTTGACAAATCAACTCGTAGAGCTGACAGTGTATATATTAATAACGTAATGACAAATAGGTTGTGAGGAATTAAAATGTTACGTCGTGAAACATGTCACCATCCAGTTGAAATACGTCAAGAATTGTATATGTATTTTCTGTAACTAGGAACTTAATACATAGATTTTATATGGTTATGCAGGATCCTAGAATGTCAACGAGTATGTTTTTATTTCCACCATACAGGGCTGAGTACACTTGTTGTTAAAGCTTTTACCAAAAAGGACCAACGACACGGGTTCGAAAGTATTTTGTACGCATTAGTATTATTGCGGGAATACTGCTAAAGTAGCGTCAAATCTCCCCACTTTGTAGTCCCATCTTCGCCCATGCATACATTTGTGAACATAGCATACCTGTACCTACATTACCCGTCGCAAATAGTCGTATTCCTCACATTTGCATGGAATATAACTTTGCATAGACTTATCTTTACGTATATTTATAAAAACAAACATTTATTACCCTTTTCGCGAACTTCTGATGTCAACACTGATTTTCAGTAGTCCATTTATATTATTTCCACAGCTAGTTTGGCTTTTACGCCAAATAGAATCTGGTTATTCTTTTGCATTGACAACTTATATTTCTTCAATATACTTCCTCACAGATAACAGTATATATGTACGTATTACCCCTGAATCAGAGTTACATGAACATAATTACTCAGATAATCTCTCTTTTCCAATATTTTTGTAATGGTCTTAATCATGAACATATTATTGAGAATGTCGATGAATGTATCCATTTTGAAAACTATTATCAATCCATTCCAAAACGAACGTTTTCCACTCCACAACAAAATGTTTGTAACATTCCAGCATAAAACGTCAACGCCAAGGAATAGTCAGTCTCGTTCATTTGCCGAAATAGATACCATTTGGCGTAAAAGGCGAAATAGTAAATATACCCATTTGACAAAACCCATTTGGCACAAGAAATCTATGCTAAAAGCCAAATCGAATGTACGATTCAGACTGTATAATTAGTATGTTTTTATGAAACACTATCAAAATGTGATAATGCCAGGTGCTCGCGAAAAGATGAGCGTATTCTGCCGCACTGGTGGCAGCCGTCACAACGCAAGCGTTGACGTATCTGGACAACAGACACAGCAAAGAAATTGAACAAAGTAGCCTGGACTGAACTCAGATATGCAGTTTCTCACTCACCAGTCGAAGTCGTTATCGGGGCGGATGTTGAAGTAAAGACAGCTGAAATGATTGAAAATGTAATTTGTGGTCATGTTTCAACAAAAGGGTGTGAGTGAGTGAGTTAAAAGTTAACGTCACATCGGCAATATTTCAGCCACAACGTGACGAGAACTTAGACATTTATAACAATAATAAGACCAGTCAGCGATGGACAGTATAATAACTAGAGTATCACAGTTTCGATTTTAAAACTAGTTGGAACATTTAAAAGAATATATTATTATTCAACAATACAACATAAAAACGGCCTGTAGATCACCTGTAACCACAGTTAGGCCACCGTGCGAGGGATCGTGAGGAGTTACGATACTTCTGCTACATGCACGGTTCCCCAGCAGGATTTATACCACCCTTCATCTGCTAGTGATGGTACGCAATTTAGCCATCGGTTGAAATAGACAAATATACTACATATAAAACTGTGGTTTGAATAAACGTACATCAAATGATGATGTCTTAAACATCCTCGGGGTCATTGACACACATATTCTACATACAAAAGGGGATAAAACAAGGACTGTTCCGTTGGGAGTCAGCATATTGTGTCTGAGTGGGGGATCCATGTTAAGCTCTGTATCTCAATGGGCTGGCACTATTAAAACCGACGTACGTCAGGACGATAACAAGAAGCCAGCCAACCATACACATACATACGTGCGTGCAAGCACGTCGCTAAGTGAACTAATTTTGAACACGACGATCACAGAAACACCAGGTGTTGTCGAAAATGGTAAGCACCTCCGCACCAGCCACGCAAGTGTCATTAGGGGGGTAAGTACCAGTGATCAAGGAGCTGCAAGAACTCCATTTAAAGGCCATATCATTTGATATCAGCCAAGATCATGTTGACAAGTGACATGTTAACATGAACCCTGATTCGGAATAGCTTAGTTGTAAGCAATATGTATCTGTTTTTACATATATATGAAATGGTGTCATAATTAACATAAAAAACGTGCAGGTTACATATCCGCTGGTAACTTATTAGTATCCCGACAGAGTGGTTAGATTACTTACTCGCACAGCACACCTGGCCACTTGGACACATTCCATTTGTTCTTCCTATGGGGTTGCAGTTACTGTCGAGAATACACACGACTCCAGGTCCAGAACATACTGAAAATACATTTATTTGTGAAAATAAGATAGCGACGCAATAAATCGCAAAGAACAATGAATAACGAAGGGTGGTTTGTTGAAGGATTCACTAGAATTGTTTCGGTTCATTGAGATATGAATCGAAAAACTTATGTGCAAACGGTGTGAATCCTGTGCTACGTGGATTCATACCGTTTTCACATCGGTTTTTCGAGTCATACCTCAATGAACCCACAACAATCCACAGCCAATCCTTATAATTGAATTCGAAAACGAAAGCATGTGTTATCAAAATAGTTTAACCAAAAAACAGTTATATATACCAAAGCAGACCAAAAAGATTGATAAACATTCCTGGTGTAGGAATACATACTGTGGGGTGACATGAATCACGTGATTGCTTAATTCATGCACATAACTTGACACGCCAACAAAGACAGCAGCCACTCAACGTAGAGTAGGATCAAAACAAAGTTCACTGGGCCTGTGAATCAAGGCATGAGGCGAGAAGAACTGCAACAGTCAGACTGTGACGAACCGGAACAAATATGTCCGGGAGAAGGCGGCTGTTTCAAATGACATAGTCCATAACCGCCAGATTCAAACGTTAGTTCTCTAAGAACGGGAAGACACAGTTGGAAAAATGCAGGTTAGAATTTAAACCCGAAGACATGAAGTTTGTTGAACCCAGGCGAGCGGGGGAAAAAACAAGCGGGTGAGCCTGCACGTTTGCTTATTCTTTCATTTTCGGCCTTATTTCTCAAACAGTAGTTTGGACAATGAATATGTATAAATATTTATAAATACCCTGTGCATGACAATACACGTGAACAGAAAGGGAATTCCCTCCACTGTAAGATTGGTATTCCCCGACATTCTGTCGTAACAAAAGTAGTCCGCTTCGGTGGGCGTAGCTTAATTTGTTAGATTCATGGGGAAATGAATGCAATAACATGTAACTAATTCAGCTAATCAGAATGCAGGAATTACAATGAACACAACGAAAAGTTAATCACTACACGTTAAACAACTCGCACTGGTCGTTTTTTTAGTAACGACAAATAGTCAAAGGTTTAGGTTTAGTCAAGGTACTAAGTGGCTGCTTTCCAAAAAGATTCACGATATATGGTCCTATCTGACTTGTACCCAGGACTTGACGACAATCATGTACAAGTAGAGAGCTTATCACATTGGTATGTGCAGCGATATTTGTGAAAAGGTCACTATTTCAAGGGTAAGTGCAGGCTTATACCTCTTTCTTCGCTTTTTCTGCTCCCTATTGTTTAGGATTTTCTTTTCAACGTCCAAAGTTTGGACGCGAATATATTGAGTCCTTAACCTCGATATTTGCAGGAAGTCTTCACGTGTTATCGTATGTATACATTCGTGACCAAAGGGAATCCGTGAAGATCCGGGTTAGAATAGGTCTTCAACAATCCCTCTTTCCGTAAAAGTTTACTGGGCTTGTCGTAAAAGGCGATTAACAGGATCAGGTCGTCATGCTCGCATGTTGATGTATGTCATCGTTTCCCAATATTGTGGAATGATGCTCATGATATCCATCAATGGAGTGCCTGGTTCAAACTCGATTACTTACAGACCACAGTCATATTGCTCGAATATTGCTGACTGCGGCGTTAAACAGCAAAGAAACAAATCGTGAACAGGGCATCATTGAACCAACAAATTCCTGCTGTAAATATCCGTATTCATGAAGAATGTCGGTATGCGTAACTGCATGTATCAGGTCATTTATTATTGTTTATGGTAAATGAAAACTCAGTTCGATTCGTCAATACCGTATTCGACGTAATAAGCGCCCCGCTCTAATAAGCGCCGACGGCGACATTTGCAAAGATATTGACTAGTGAACAATCCCGATTAGTACCCCTTCCGATTGATCAATGTACACAAAACGTATTTATTCGCGTATAATACGCACTCGTGTGTTATATGCATCCTTAACTATGGGCAATTAAATTCTGGGGGAAAAAACAGTATCTATCTGTCGTACATAAACATTTCAGGTTGTCAGCATAAACCATAAAATTTATCTTTCAACTCTTATGAGAGACCCTTATTTCTAATTTTGAGAGCTCCCTGGGCGCTTATTACGTCGAATACGGTAGTTAAACCTTACGCCCATGTGCTGCTTCGCAAATAACAGTATATGGATACAACGTTAAAGTAAAGGACCCAATTGTCACCACTCTCTCAGTCTTAGATTTCCTATACACTGTTAATGCTTCAAAACATACACTCTTTAGAAGGCCCCTGATATGTTCTATGAGAGCTTCTGTTATGTAACTCTCATTGTTATCATTCTTTTACTCCAAAGAAATTATACTCTAAAATGAATTGCAGTTAATTTGAAATAATAATAATAATTATACTACGGATTTCGCTAAAGAATAGCGTACACGCCCGCTTGGAAACGACAAACAATATATAGTACTGACGTTATTGTCTAAGAATTACATCGCCTGACCACATGGACAGGTTCAGCATGTCCGCTTGTTTCACAGCTCCTAGTTTTTTATGCACTCGATATCATTATCAACGGAGGTTGAAATAAAAATTAAACTAACCGACCATAAATAAAACCCGTTCTAATGGAATGATGGAAAGGTAATTTTGACGTTCTATTTCTGGATTGAGGAGAATTATCGAAGACATTCTAAAAAACACACCTTACAGTTAAAAGACATAATTCCTCAAGTTCTAAAGGCACCATTGACATGCTTATAAATCGGGAAATTGGGAAAAAGCCGAGGCTTCATTACCTTGACCATCCGCTTGAGAGAGGAATAGTATCAGAAGAAGGCAGCCTGCTTGCACAACCGCCATTTAGAGTTTAGGTGTATTTCCCCTTCTTAACAACTCCGGAGCGCCGTCTGCTGTGACTGGTGTCGGTTGCCTGGCTCAGGATAAATGGTACATAAAACTTATAAAAGGGTTTTTATTGCCCAGAAAACGTATATTTACCCGAGGCGCAGTATGACTGTAATCATATTTGCGACTGATTACCCTTAGTGCCACAAAGATTACTGCCTCCTCTCGGGGCTGCGAGTAAAAAACACATTTCTTGATATCTTTTCGGTGAGATGATTTTGATGATAATGATGAAATACCACAAATGACTTCTACATAAATATATTTTGGCAACTTACATTAGGGGACGACTACACATTGTGGCATTGTAGCTCATGTTTTTGTATATGTATTCTACCTGAATAGGTTTATTTAAACATTGATGGTTGGTATTTCCAAATGTGAAGCAATAGTGACAACACTTTTGTCCGATACAACTTGCACAGTGTGTTCCCGTGTTTTGTCGGAGATCATTCGTGTTTGATTGTGGCAGGGTGAAACAGACAGACACACAGACACACATCCATGGTTCTTGGCATAAAGAACGTTGTTTTTTCACAACCTACTCCTCCGTCAAATCCGGGTTAGTCGCCTCTTGCAACTTGGATGCTATGCTAACTTGGCCCCTTAATTGCAAAAAAACACTATGAGGATTACAAACATTCCAGTTAAAAATAACACATTTCAGGTGCATGGGAACCCTATCTTCCAACCTGATTATTATGTCTGAATAATTTTGCATTGTTCCTCACCATCACTCTATGATATAAACTAAATACTGTTCAATGACAACAATTGGTTCATATGCTGGTGCGGTATTAAACTATTTTCCAAATTCAGAGAAATGAATCAGCTTCAGTTTCTTAAACACAATTCACATAGTAAGCAATTTTTCTTATAGAATGAAATATCTTCAGGTAGAATGGAGCCAGAATATACCTTTCAGGAGAATAATTAAATTCCAGAAGGTAATCGGTTGCTTTTGTCTGAATCCATCTGAAACAATTATAAAATATTCTGATGACTTTCCCCAATACAGTATGACTTTTGAAGTTTATTAAGATAGGTTGAATCAGATGTCGCAATAATCATCCATACGGGTTTATCAATTGGAGCAGGTGCGTTGTGCCCTTAAACCTACAATGGTCTTCAGTGTACAGTGGGAACAGATTGTGTGATCACGTGACACTATCTTCCGCAAAACTAGTTGACGTCAAACGAATTCACATTTATTTATGAAACATTCAGCAAATAACAAAATGAAATGAAATACATGAACAGTAATAATATTTTCCCTTAATCCCAATATTACTAGATGAGCATCCAGTTAGACATCAATAAAAACGACTAACAATGATTAATATCGTGAGCATCGATCCACACAATTGGGATCGATGACATGCATCAACCAAGTCAGCGAGTTGGTATCTATTTGTGCATGAAGATGTGTTACAGTATTATGACCATTGAGTTTATATAGCAATGCTTTATTTCTTACTTTTCCTGTATGTCATAAACCTCATGGTTATTGAACCTGTATTTTGTGTTTGTGTTTGCAGTAAGTAAATCATTAGAACTGCACAGAATCGCAAATGAAATATATGGGTTGATACATGTCATCGTATATCAATTGCGTGGATCGATGCTCATGATGTCAATCCCTGGATTGTCTGGTCCAGACTCGATTATTTTACAGACCGTCGTCAGAAAGCAGCAATATTGCTGAGTGCGGCGAAAAACAACAAACAAACTGATTCTGAAGAAAAACTGTTTTGCGTAAAACAATTCGCGATGGTGGGATGTTATATTAAAGAAGTCATGAATTAAAGTGTCAAAAGACTTGTAACCATGCCTTCGGGTGTCATTTGTAAACGTTGCATGTATATAATTGCTGACTTTGCAAAAAAAGAATCTATCCTCACAACAGCAAAAAAGCAATTCACTCAAATTCTCGTGGGATTTTGTATGGCGGCTTGGTATTTGATGAGCTGCAGCTGCAATCCCAGATGGTGTTTTGACTAAAACTGTGCGTCTGTATATTTTGGAACACTGTATTAGTGTCAAAACAATTTAAGTAGCACAAAACAAATGTCGGAAGTAATAGTTTTGGTAACAAATCAACCTGACAAGACGTGATATAACAGAATTACTGTTTATCACGGAGTTAAGCCCGAATATCTTGTGACGTCAATGATTTTCAGTGATCCATTTATATAATTTCTATCACAAGTTTGCCTCTTCTGCACTATATAATCTGTTTGGCCCGATATTAAAAGGCGTCTCCCTTTAACAGGAAGTAATGCTTCAGGGTAAGGACGAACAGCACTCAGTTGAGATAATAATAATATCCACCTCATCTGACAAAGGATCAGCTGAATCATCCCACTCACATGGCATCATGATGCCGATCTGGCATGTGCCAATATGCTTGAAGGAACTATCCGACTTCTCTCATCTTATATTTGCCGCTTGAAATTTATGATTTAGTTACAGTGATGAGACATCTGCATCGCCCTCACTATCAGACCCACTGTCATAAGACATACGACGATACGAAAACAAACAACAAGATGGGTATATCAATTGAAAAGTATGTGTTGACAAATTTTCACTATGTGAATGATATTAGTAAACTTCTGTTGATGTTCACGATAATCAACCACTATCACTTGTGACATGGGCAGATCGTTACTGCAAATACATCGCGACCACCCTACTCCATTCAAAATAGCAGTAATACATACGGGAGGCAAACATGGTATCCTTGTATCCAAATTGGAGAGACACGGAGCACCAACCCAATTAGCTCAGATCATTGATCATGTTTGTTTGTTTGTTTGTTCAACGCCGAACTCAGCAATATTCCAGCTATATGACGGCGGTCTGTAAATAATCGTGTCTGGACCAGACAATCCAGTGATTGACAACATGAGCATTGATCCACGCAATTGGGATCGATGAGATGCATCAACCTAGTCAGCGAGCCTGACCTTCCGATCCCGTTAGTCGCCTCTTACGACAAGCATGGTAGAGCATGATCAACCATAATGGTAATCAATAACAACCACTGACTCTTTAAGGCACACATTCTGAATCCCACAGCTGTTACATGCTGCATGACGCTGACACTAAATTGCTGATTATCTTTGTGGGGGTTAAAACTTAATATACAGACATAATTTGACATTCATGTGTATGCGTATTAATGTGTTCCATTACTTTATCAGAAAGCGTTTCATGACTTCTTACTATCTTCACTCACAATAGTTAATGGCGGCATCACCAAATGAATTACTAATCTGTTTTTATGATACTCTAAGAATATTCTTTTCAATAACGTACTATTAACTTTGATTTTCCAAAAAATCCGTCTCAATAAACAACAACGTTCCCTTCCTGACAATTGCCAAGTGGTATGAGTGGAAGCAATTTTCTCGACTCCAAAGTTCAGTCACCTCTGACATTTCTGATGTACTTTACGTATTGGAGATTTAAGGTTTTGAGATCGGAGCACTGATTTTGTCATCGCCTAAGCGCATATGACTTGAAGTGTTTGGCTCAATGACAGGTTAATGGTATCTCTAAACCTCATTTAACATAATTGTCCGTTAATGTACGGATGATGCTATGAAATGTTTGATACAACCGAATTTAATTGTACAGCAGCTGATGGAGGTATACTGACACGTTGACGTATCATTAAAGATGGAAACAGCCGAGTCTCTGTTACGGATCACAACAGCATTAGACCCGTGAAGATCTGGGTCAGGATAGGTCTTCAGCAAACCATGCTTGCAGTAAAAAGCGACTTGCTTGTCATAAGAGGCGACTAACGGGATCGGGTGGTCAGGCTCGCTGACTTGATGCATGTCATCGTATCCCAATTGCGTGGAACGATGCCCGATGCTAGATTGTCTGGTCCAGACTAAATTATTTATAGACCGCCATCATACAGCTGGAATATTGCTGAGTGCGGCGTTAAACAACAAACAAACACAACATCATTATATATTTATCTCGTCAGTCAAAAGCATCAATAATTACACATAAATGTATACAAGAAACAAAAGAGTTATGTCGCTTTTAATTATTATGTTGTAGAATTGTTGAAGATGTGAGGTAAAATGGGGTTTAATGTTGCCTTCAAAAATAATGTGTGTGTGTGTGTGTGTGTGTGTGTGTGTGTGTGTGTGTGTGTGGTCCGGACTAATGCCGATTTTAATGTGGGAGCAGTTTAACATGAATACCTCACTCAGACACAGTATACTGACTCCCAACCGACCAGCGGCGGTGGGGTATCCTAGTGGTGAAAGCGTTCGCTCGTCACGCCGAAGGCCCGGGTTCGATTCCCAACATGAGTACAATGTGTTGAGCCCATTTCTGCCGTGGTATTGCTGGAATATTGCTAAAAGCGGCCCAAAACCATACTCACTCACTCACACACTACGAACCTACCAGTCCTTGTTTAAGCCCCTAATGCCGAGCGCCTGGCAGGGTATAAAATACCAACTTTTCGTATGACGCAGCCGGGGATCGAAGCCCCGACATTCCGTCTTCCGGCCAAACGCTCTTCACCTAGACCACGGAGGCGGTCAGATTTGTTGAAGGCTAAAAAATTGTGCGTTGTTCTCCACAAGTCAAAATACATAATTCATTAAACCTTATTCATATTCATTAAAGTAAATTCGCAACCATCTCTCCAATTGGACTAATAATTAAGAATGCTCTTTCATTTGAGTATAAAGGTTCATACGCCAATCAACTAAAATAAGTGAAAGGTATTTCATATAATCTTTATATCCCTATTTCATATCTCCTAGGATCTCTACACCATTTCATTCAAGTAATTCCTCAAAGCGAGAGATGAAATGAGCGTATGTGCCCTGCAGCAACATCCATTGTAGATTAGTTATATAAAAAATATTTTATCGTTAGATGAACAAGTCTTTGAAAGAAAAGCGTCAGTCATTCTGTCACAGGGGCAGTGCACCCTAAGAGCTCACTTCAAATACGCACCTAAAAAACCTTCTGATACTTACCCACTTTGCCC